GTGGGGGGAAACTTTGTGTCCACCTCCCACTATGCAAACGCTTGCAACATGTTGCGACTTCAAAGGGTCGTACTTTTGTTGGTCACATCTTCAACAAATGTCTAACAAACTTAACGAATGTATGAATAATGAAAATCGCTCACAAAATTGTAAAAAATTATTCTATACCCTGAGCAGAAACACAGCGCTTTTTTTCAATACGACTAACCGAACTTAATAACTTTTAGGGTTGACCGAGGGGGGAAAGGGGTTTTTTTCGGTGCGAGATTAAGTTTTTTTCATTTTCGTGTCCTGTGAAAATATAACCTTAAGACCCCGTGAAATGAGAATGTTTTTCTTTTCGCGACATGAGAATTATCCTATTTTTCGTGATGTGTTATTTCTACTTTCTGATGTGCTTGAAACGTGCACAGGACCCTTCACCCCCTTCCTAGTTGATTGATGACAGTTGGATTTTCCATAAAAAAAATCGAGACAACAGGAAATTGCGGATATGTCGCGCGAAACTCTCAGAGGAAGGCGAAGCGAAGCGAGTAAAAAAAATTCAAATCGGAAAGTTCTTATAGCTCACGTAGACTATGGAGAAAAATTAATTTTCCAATGAGGCATTTGTTTGCTGACAATTTACTGATTAATCAGCCAGAACTAAGGTAAAATCTTTGGCAAGGAAGTTGCTCGGCTTACACTTTCAACTGGAAAAAACTGCTGTAAAGCAACAAGACAACACAAGTTTCTCACGTACTTGTGAGCCCGCACATCAGTATGCGGCTTCCTTTAACAAAAATCAACATGGCGGAAAACTAGGCGTTCTTTCGGATATCCAGACTACGTTGTTTTTTAGCGGCACATCAAAACGTGGCTTTGAGGCCAAACTGTTTTCCGGCTTTTCAAATCTGTCACATATTAAGTGTTATGTGAACTAAGCATCAGAAATGAACATCTATGAAGTGCAGGATCAGTACGATTTTTACGTCAAATGGAACTGATTACTAAAGCAGAAGAAACCTTTAAAGGGATTCAATCATATTGCAGTACTTGTTCCAGGTGAGGTGAGCCCAAGTTTATTATCTCCATTTTGTTCCATTTCTGCTTTACCAAGTTTAAGTTAAAGCTTTCAGCATCCATCCGTCTGTAATAGACCTTTTTACAGTTCCCGGCGCTATATTGGATCAGTAATCGCGCATACACGACAACGAGGCTGGGGTAGACCCGGCGGTTCTTTCATACAGTTGATCTGCTGACATTTCACGATCTTATGCACTTTTCAATGCGATTTCTCCCTTCAAAATAGTTCTTTAACGCAACAATATGAAAATTTCGTCATTAGATGACATCCAGAAACTCGAAGCAAAAGATCTCGGGGAGATTTTAAAATCTAATTTAAAACCGACGGGCTGAGTTAGAGCCGACTTCGTGTTGAAAGTTTATGCTTTGCTAATGTGACACATCCTTCCATCGAGTAGTGGAGAAAACCGATAACTTCTCACAGATGTCCAGGACTTAGAACAAAACCAGAGCGACTTCAGATACGAAGTAACTATGGTAAGGATTTCAGCCCTTAGATGGGCGAGTAATCTCCGTAATTTACCTGAGATGAATTTCAGTCAGCTTCACGATTACCCCTTTTACACATCGTGTTGAGAAGAACGCATTACAGGAAGTACCACAGAAGCTGTTCAGGATGGCTTAGAAAGCGAGGCAACGGCTGCAGCCCTCTAGGTAGAGGAGATTTGTTATTGCTGCTGTTGTTGATGTAGTACTTGTTGTCGTACCATATTCTTCAGTTAAAGTTGTTCGCATTTTGTTCACCAAGATGTCTTTTAGTTTGCCATTTGTACATTTTATCTTATGGGAAACTATACAATAGAGCCCGTAGAACCACTTGATTATAACCCTTGTTTCTATCAACCCATGAGGAAAACTGTAACTAAAAGATGTCATAATATTTTCACACCCATCTGGTTCAGGACAACTTATGCTCGTGATACATCGAAAACCATTTCAGTTCGTGACTCATGGTAATTCATTAGGTGGCAAGACACCATTGAAAGAATTAGACCAAAATATTAGACAATTTAAAAACTCACAGAAGTGACTGATTCATGTTACTTCTCCATACACTATCCAGCAAACAGATAATGTTAATACTGAAACTTATCAGGCAGAAGTTATCTTGATCTTACATCAAATTCTCATAACTTATTTACAAGTAAATGTGTAGCAACTAGAAGGGAGAATTGACAATCAGATTTTGGGTATTTAAGGGTTAAAGGAAGAGAACAGAAATGCTTCCTCTCAGCTACTGATCTCAACAATGCTAGTCCTTTACACACATTTAAGTTTCTGTCAGTGATAAACATTCAGTGAATTGATATTCCCATTCTTAGCACTCAGAGGCCTTCTGACACAAAAGTTTGCTATACTAGTTCTTATTGCATTGTGTTAACCAATGTTATGATATAATTTTGAGATGTAAAGAAGCTACTTAAAAGATTGAGAAATATATCCAAATCAAGGTATTTATTTTATCCTGTTATAGTTACCATAAGATTTGTTTGAAAGAGAATCTTTCAGACCATCAAAATGTATGAGAAATTATTTTTTGTGAGACTTATATCAAACTTTTTATTATGAGGACGATTTTGTGAATAATAAAATTTAGTGTCATAGTTCATCTTTGTGTCAAGAACTCTTTTAGTTAGTGAAACTCACTTTTTTCTTTTTTTCAATTTGAAGCATCAAATTGATTGATACATAAAGCACAAAATATTTTTTGAGAGTTCCATGTGGCATCCATAGTGGATTACTATGCTATCATAAAAAACAAAAACAACAACTACTGAAAACTGCTTTTGTCACAATTGCTACCAAATTTGAGTCAGTTTTCTGGGTCTGCCATAATAAGTGAAAACTCTGAAGATACAGTGTCTTGGTTATTTTATTAAAAGCAATTACTTTCCAAGAGTTTCTCTGCTAGGAGTGTTCTAGTCAAGCCTTGTAGTAAACAGGTGATTAGCACTGAACTTCTTGACTTGCTGCCGAAATAAAAAAATACTCTACTGAATTTAAAACAATTTAGGTACCTACTAGAAAATTTGTACCAATTTTGCAACAATAGTTACCCTCATCCACTATTTACAAAGAATAAGATAAGTATAGAACGATAAATACTTAGCAAAAATGCATGCCTCCATGCATAAACTTGAAGAAGTGAAAGCTCGTAGGCAAACCATTGTGGCCATAAAATGTATTTGAACAACCAAAAGCGGCACACTGCTTTCCTTTCTTTTTGGGAGAAAAATTAGCTTTATCGAGATTTCGGTTAGGAGCATCCATTTTCCTTAAAAATCGAACAATTTTGCTGCCCACGTACGAATTTCACCAAAAGCGCTCACAGAGATTTAACGCGAGTCAACCCCAGCCTCGTTCTCACGTGTGCGCGGTTGCATTCCCAATATGGCGCTGGGAACTGTGAAAAGGGCTATTAGCTTGTGCACCGTTGCATGTCCACAATTTCTGCCCAAAACAACGCAACGATGAAAATTTACATTAAAATAGATTGATTCACATACCTATGTTAGGGTTTAAAAATCTTGCACCATCATAAATTATTCATCAAGTAAGTTTTCTTGCAGTCTGTTATTTATACAACTATTTGGTAATAGAACTTTGTCTCCTATAACCCAACACTAACGGTGCTCAATTTTCTGTTCATGTTGTAAAAGAACATTTCAATAATGAAAACTCGTCCATGCAAAAAGATATCTATTCCTGCCAGGACAAAGAATATAAAGGCATTGACGTCAAGATTATTATGAGCGAAAACGACCCCGCTAATCTACGCCTTTATGAAGTATTTTACATTAGAAAGTGCAAGCTTACACTCAATTCCCGGGAAGAATGTATTGAATTCCCATGCCTTCTATTTTATTATTTTATTTTATAGACCATTCTTTAGCGCTTTTAGAGGTCCTTCGTTTGGAGACAGTCCATCATTAAAGCCTTGTATTGCATTCACAGTTTATTTCTATAGCTTTCATACCTAAGTCACATCTTTTAGACATTTCAACCTACACTTTCTTTGCCTATGTATATCGTACACGAATATTTTCTCATCCCTGATGATGCCGTTGATCGGCGAAAGCTTGGATTGTAGATTTTACTTTTTAAACAGCAGTTTAAGGCCCCATTAGAACAGTTTTATATCACTAATTGTGCTTGTTGAAACCGCCTCACTCTCATGCGCAACACGAGTTGGATTACATGTAACACCAGTTTTCAAGTAGAGTTAATGTGATTTGAGTTTCACCGATTAAAGTTGATATTCTAACAAGCAAAGCTCGAGTGATCATTACAGTGCTCATAATTTCAAATTAGACTCGTGCTAAGTGTTTATTCAATTTAAATCACCAATCCAATTATTCCTGTAATAGTATTGTGGCTGACACCATAATGCAAGAAACTTACTGATGGATTGTTTGTGTTGTAAGAAAAAAAAATCACACATTATTTGGCCTATAGCTTGATTTGTTATACTGTAACTTTAGCAACAACTTAGTGTACTTTTCACATAGCCTTAAACAGACCACTATGTCCAATTTATTTTCATTTTTAAGCTACTGCTATAGTTGCTATTTGTATTACGGCGATTTAATGCGATTGGCGGATTTCGATCCCCATTGTTCCGGTTAGTGCTGGTTTTTCAAGAGGCCTGAATCCAAGTTGTTGGCGGCGGTTTGCTGTAGTACCAGTCTCTCTTTGTGTTTCTTGATCGTTGGTATCCACGCTTCAGGAATTTCGATTCCGTTAAGCCTGTTGATGGTATCGGGGTGAAGTCTTATGTGGGTAGCTTCCTTGACTCTTCGGGTTTACCAGTGTGAGTCTCGATCACTAGACTTTACTTCGTTCCAAAGCGAGCGGTGGCCGGTCTTGTTGACATGCTCAGAAACGGCTGAGGTCCGGGTACGGACTAAACGTATATCCTATTGTTCTCTTCTTTTAGAGGGAAGCCGAGTCCACCTCTCAGGACATAACAGGAGCTCTCTCAGCTGACGATGCCCGGGTGGACTGGGTAAAATCAGATCCAACGCCCACCGGCGAGTCTTAAACAACACGAAAGACCGTCAACAACGCAAGTTGGAAATGCTTATGTGCGAGAAACTGGTCTCTGTTTCACCAACAAGAACAACCTACAGAGAAAGGTTTTTCGTCCTGTCACGAGCGTGGGACGAAGAAAAATTTTGAGTCCCCATGAGGAATCGAACCTCAGACCTTTCCGCCCTCCGATGCTCTACTACTGAACCACAGAGACTTAACGGTGAGCGAGGTCTATTACGAAGTACATATGACATGTGTCCTGCATACGCGTCTTAGCAATGCTGAGGTGTCCCTGTTAAAGAAAGGATTGAATTTTGTCGTGACTCCTGCGAACATCCTAGCTATCGAGATTATCGATAATGTTGAATCAGCAGTAAGACCACCCAATGTGGAACAAGCAGAGAACGTTAGAAGAGCCGTCAACGATATCCTTACAGCCTTAAAGAAGAAAACTCGATCATGATCTTTGGATGAGGGTCGTGCTAGCGTAGGCCTCGATACTGACACATACAATGTCACATACTAAGATGTCAGGGCTGATCGGGACCGGACCATACACGCTCCTTAGGGAAAGATCCGACAAACCGTCTGACCGGCAAGCTGTCTGAGAAGCTGCTCTCCTTAATGAGGAACGGACACATATCAGAGGCTGTTTACCTCAAGATCAGACCGCGACACAAACAACCGCCCAGGATCTATGGTTTACCTAAGATCCACGAGGCTAACGTACCGTCGAGGCCTATTGTGTCCTACGTAAACACCTTTGCGTATGACTCGTCTGCTTTCTTACCTGACTTTCTATTTCCCCTAGCAGGAAATTCAGATTTCACGGTGACCAACTCAGCTCACTTCTCTTCCACCATCAGCAGGGAGAAGATTCAGAACCACAAGATCGTAGTGTCCTTCGACGTCTTATTATCGAGGGCGCTGTAGAAGCCGCACGACGAAAGTTCGAGTACGAGCCAAGCCTTGCAGACCGCACGACGCTAACACCTGCTCAGATTGTGGACCTCCTAGACTTCGTATTGTGATCCTCATACTTCCAGTATAACGGTTCGATCTACGAACAGCGAGAGGGTGCAGCCATGGAGAGCCTGGTTTCCGCGGTTATTGCTAACCTCTACATGGAGGTATTTGAAGAAAAAGAGACATAATCCACAACATAGAAACCCAAAATCTGGAAGCGCTACGTTGATGACACCTTCGCAATCTTGGATCGCAGTTATGTCCAATGTTTCCTACGGCATCTCAAAAGTCAGCAACCCACCATCTGATTCACCATGAATACTGAGAAAGACAACGAGATCGCCTTTCTCGAAACGTCAGTTACGAGGGAACCAGACAAACGTTAGACCACCAGTGTCTACAGAGAACCAACTCACATTGATCAGTACTTAGTGTATGATTCAAACCACCCTCAATCAGTAAAGCGCGGTATTATTAAGTGTTTGTATGACTGGGCGAAACGTCACGTGACAAAATCATCAGTCATCTCCGAGGAAAAGAAACATTTGTCATCAGTTCTTGTTTCTAACGGTTATCCCTCCTCCTTTGTACTGTCGGAAACAGGATAACTGGTATTGATTGAAGCTGAGTTAATGTGATGATTGTGGAATATCTGGCAGGAAATCGAGCGTACGTTCTTTCTGCTCTAATGAATGTGTTTGTTTATCTTTTGTCTGAAAGATCTTTCTAGCCAATCAGCTTACGTTTGATCAAGGTGTGTCCATACAATAAAGAAGCAGTTGATTGTGGTTTTTTAGTCAGTCTGAGATAATAGTTGCGCATGCGAGAGGATCTAAAAGAAGATAATTAAAAATCTAGATGATAAAAGCAACAGTGTGGGTTCCTTACTTAGTCCCCACAGTACAGAAGGTTACAGAAACAAGAAACTGCTCCCTAAGCAGAGAGTATGTGATGCAGTTCAAGTCCACAGCGGTTTTGCACTATGTAGAAGGTGTATCAGAGCTTCTTCGCCGTTGCCTACAACAACAAGGCATCGGCGCGGACTTCAGGTCCGACACTCAGATCGCATGCAGCGAAATCTACATCGGTGAAACGGGTAGACCTATGCAAGAGAGGATGAAAGAACACGAGAGAGATGAGGTTCCTCCACATAAAGGGTTGCGCAAAAAGAGTATATATATGCAAAACAAAATGTCTGTGCTTGACAGCACTCTTTCAATTGCTCCTCCACGGGAGTGATCAAGTACAAAGAAAACTTTGACCCCCAGGCTTCATGGAGTCTGTAAATCTGACTTTTTACAAAAGATACTTATCAAGCTTGCTTTTTTGAAAGGGAAATTTATTTGAGCACAAAGCGCTGTTTTTGATTGACATTGGCATTGTGTTAATCTAGATCGTAACCACTGGTTATCCATAAGGTAACGAGTTGGTTCTAGCACTAACCTTCATCTACTTTAAATGCTTTTATCCGATTTTTTTAATTGAGCTTATTTTGTTTATTATCATTTTCATTTTAACATGTAAGCAACCACGGTAACTTACAGTATGTGTGCACTTTATTCTAGTAGAGTTTATGATTACAGTCAAAGACTGTAGTCTCCTTAATGGCCATTTTTAATGCTAACTGCAATCATATAATCCTAAAAATACTACAATGTTAAATTAATGAAATACTACAATGTTAAATTAATGAAATAGTTGAAATCTCTTTTATCACTTCCGAAGCAGTATGGAGTAAATTTTCTCAAGATAAAGTCAAAGTAATTTGTTTTAATTTCGGCACATTAATCATAATCATAAACGGTGTTCCACAGTTTAACAGTTTTATCAAAGAGACTTTCGCTTCATGTTATTGGTACGTGGAATAGGAAGACAATAGGATAGGTTAGACCTAGTATTATATGGCTTATGGTAATCGGAGGTTGAAAAATTGTTAGTCAGGTAATTCAGCTCATGTCCATCCAAGAAGTCGCATTGTACATGAGTATGACAGTTCACGAACTGTCTGCTAGAGGAATACATAAACATTAACAGAAAGGAAATGGATAGAATACTGATCCTATCTTTCGCATGTTTTCCAGAAGTTTAGTCTACAATGTGAAGGCTTCCCAAAGCTTAGTAACATCAAGAAGATGTTAAACTTTTCCTTTCTACGAGAGTATTGGCCAAACTTGAACACACGTTAGCTTGTGATAGTATAGAGGAAAGATTGATTAAACCTTTGTTTGCTTATTATGATAAAGATATATCATACCTCCGTTGGATACATTGATCATCGATCCACAAGATCGATTCTAGACTTCGAACGTCTTGAACCTTCGTGTCAGCGTTCGCTTTCAATTCCGGCAAGCGGAAAGATGAAGAGAAAACTGCGTATTTACGGCGAGATCTTGAGAAGGGCGGTAATGTTCATGAAGATACTACTTCCCGTCGCTCTGCAAAGAAACTGAATCAGCAATGGAACAACGCTGTACCCTCCACTGTTTATTTTACACCTAAGATAGAACATAGTGGAACAATCTAACCTTGATGCAAGAAGAAAACGCAGCAGCTATGTTGTATTTTTAACTTGACAAAGAAAAAATAACTGACCAATCAGAGGCGCTACTTAACAAAAGCGGTGGTTCAAAACAAAAACAAACGACCGCGTTGCATCAAGGTTGGAAATGGGCCTATAACGTCACGGAACTCTTCCCTTCAACAACTAGACCCTGTGAGCAGGGTAACTGAGATACCTGGATGGTAGTGGATCCTTGGAATCAAGTGTAATGATACTACAGGTGTCGGACTAGTAAACTGAAATAGTGAGCTCAAGTCTGGCCAGGGGCATACGTCTATCTCAAAACATAGGCATGCTATGCTTGCAAGAGTTATTTTTTGTAGGGTGGGTGGATTACTTGAAACATTGTAAGTGATGTCTACATTCTTACAAGAGGAAAGAAGAGTATTAACGCGGAAAAGAACAAAAATGTCGAATTAACACACACACAGGTATTTCGTGGTAGATTGTGTGTGTTGTGCGAATAAATGTAACCAAAAATAAACTGTATTGGTGCCGTGGATACCTGTTAGTACAAAATGCAGACAGCAGACTGCAGAGTGGGTACAAAATGTAGACTGAGAATCTGAAGAGTTTTTACGTCTGGTATATAATAACATGTCGTCTTAATTACATCTTACCGAGCGTTACGCAATCGCTTTTCCGCGATCAGCTTTCACGATTATTTGCATTGTTGTGGAATATTCCGGGCCCATTTCTTGATGGAAATCGATCGTAATATAATTTCAAGCCTTCAATATGGTCTTCTTACCTTGCACGCGAGTTGGTTGGTGTGATGTCTGAACAGATTTTGCCAACGTAATAAAAAAATTCTGTTTTTAAGCACCAACCAGGTAAAAAAGAAAGCATCCAGAAAGGAAACTAGGATATTGGAATTGCGGCATGTCTACAATTTCTCCATTTTTTTTATTAACAGAGTAAACACGTTTTGCAATTACGAACGTCTGCGTCCAGTTTCTACTATAATGGAGCTCTTTCTATTGCCTTCACCTCCCCAACCTCTTGCGTTTAAACGAACAGCTCCTGTCATCCCGTATAATTAGCTAATGCCACCGCCATAACTCACTTTCGGACTTTGCAAGATTGTAACGTCGCAGATTGATGCGTGACGGAGAGAATTGACCCAAGGCAAAAAGGTCTACCGTGAAAAAGCTTCGGCGTAGTGAACTTCTTCATAGAGTTCGCAAACATCACGGACGGGAGAGAAACCTAATGTTAAACAATAAAGCGACACTGTATTTATATTCCCGGCGAGAGATATACTCGACATAAAGTGAATGTGGCGAAGAAAAAAAGGAACGCCAAAATCTCATTTCAAATCATGAAAGCCGAATTTATGAAGCCATCTACTGCGATGAGACAAACAACCTCTGAGTTTCATTATGCAGAATGCTAAAACACGAATACGCCAGAAACTGACAGCTCGGAAGTTACAGAATCTTAGCATTTTGGAAATGAGAAATTAAAACGAAAGAAAAAAGTTTGAAATAGCTAAATCAAACAAATTTAAATAATTACTCAAAGAATTAATGAAAGGCTGCAATGATGCATTTACTCTATTGCAGACACACTTAGATTATTTCTTATTACGGAAGCTGGAATGAGGCTTCTATTTCAGGCTTTCCGTTGCGTGCGCACCTTAATGGCTGTATCAGCCACTGAGGAAAAAAGTACTTCAAGCTTCGCTTCCTTAATAGCAGATTCAGAAATAAGGAAACAAACGTTACCTTTGGACTGTTATTAGGTAACTCTGGAGACACATCAAAACAAACTAGCAGGCGACCAATTAGTTTGTAGTTTCGGTTATCACGTGACGTAAGTTAACCCTTTCCCTATCATGCCTATTTACAGCTAAAAGTGCTTCAGACCTTACATAATTATTTGATTGGCATAGGAGCATAAAGGACGATCAGTCGAAGGTGAGTAGTTTGGTCACAGATAACGAAGTTCAAATGAGGAGGGCCGAGAAGGACATAGTTGCATTGTATAGTTTGGCATCTTTAACCATAACTATTTCTGGGTATCGGTTTCGAGCTTTGTGATTGGGTGAGATCAAAACTAAAACAAAACAAATTTGGCCGAGAGGTGCTGGAAACAAAAAGAAGCTATTTTTTTGTGGCGGCCATGTTGTAATGCGGTAGTAAGCCGAAAAAAAATTCGCTAATAAGGACTGGATGTAAGATACCATTAAAAATATTCGTTTATTTCAAACATTCAACATGCATGTCCTCGACATTCTTGCATTGTGGAAGAGTACAGCGGATCTTTCCAGCACAAATTCTTTGTAACGCTGTGGTCCTTCCACCAAGAGCGTCACAGGAATAAAAGCTCCTCCGCCAACCTGTTTGTATCTGGAGAATTTCTGGGTAGAGCTTGGCCTCGATTTTACTGTCCGTTCTCCGTTGATTTCCCTATTATGGGTTACAAGAAAACCAATTAAATAAGGTTGAATCAAATAACGTGCACTGATAACAATTGGGACGAGAGAGGTGTGAGATCCCGGAATCGGGACAATTTCATTTCTCTCCAGTATAGGTCGAGGAAAGACAATATCTTGCTTCTCTCCGATTTTTAAATAGACATTATCAATTTCAGTCCATCAAGCCTTTACAAAAAAGTAACGGTAAAGCAAGAAAACAGTAACTTACCCTCCAATTCCTGGTTATTTTGCCACATCGAAGCAAAGCATGCAGCTGTATGCTTAGAGAGTGCTGAACCCTGCCGATCTGCTGCCCTTTGACATCTTCTAAAGCGTATGTCTTTCTCTGCGATTTGCTGAAAATCTGTACTTCTCGTAGAGCCTCTGGAATGCGTCCCATTTCTCGTGAAAGAAAGCAAGCCAGTGCATGCGAGTCATACGTGTTGTAGTCTTCACTTTGAATAACAAGCGGTGTTCCACGTGGAGCTTTGATCTTGAAATTATGATACCTAGAAAATAAACGCCAATAAACACATGAGTGGGATAAAATAAAAGCAAGTAGTCACTCTATATTAAGACGAATAGACATGATCGAATTAAATGCAAGAGAATCATGTAAGGTATTTTGCGCGCTATTGATCGATTCGCGGGAGAATCTAGGTCTCAGAACACTACAAACTCGGTCCTACAGCTTTTAGTCAGCAATAATATATCCTTTACAATTACCCTTTATTTGAACACCCTGTAGAGAAATTTTGTTTCGGTAATCACTGCAAAATGTGAAAGTACGAGCGGTGTTTCTAAACGAGTTTCACAATTACAGACAAGTCCCTCGTGGTTGTAGACGAAAATTTCACTCTCATCAATAGGCCATTTTACAGTTGTGTACTTTGTTGCCAAGCCTTTGATTTGGAGTGAGGCTGAAGGCGACCTTGTTGTGTTAGAGACCAGAATCTAGTTAGCATGATAACAAATTAATTTGCATTTCAAAAGCAGCAAGGTTTGTATCATAACAAGGTCACCCTTAGCCTCACTCCTGTTCAAAGGCTTGGCAACCAAGCACACAACTGTAAAATGGACTATTCGTGTAGTTAAACTCCAACCTTTGTTTCCGGAATGCTGTCAATAGAGACACTTCGGCAAGGCTTTCCACCAATGTGATTTCTTTATTTTCATCTTCTTGCCGCTCTTATCGCACATTTCCCGGATACGATACCTGGAGATGTGAGAGCCCAGTGAACGAATACCTCTTTGTTTTATGTTTGCCCGAAGGAGAACTTACTCGCTTGATAATCACGTTTATGTGTAAGATCCGTGATTTCCTGAAATTATTTTTTAGTGTGCATTCGCCTTGGCTGAATGAATCTCTCTGATGTCAAGATCGACATTGATTCGAAATTTCATCCAGAGCTCCGATTTAAAAGATTCTTTGTTTGTAGCACTGACCCTGGTCCGTGGCAGATTTGTGCCACAAAGACGACAAAGTGTCTCGAGATATTAAATGTGTTCATCCATGCTGTTGGCTTGATCTGAAATTCACAATGTAGGCTTATAAAGGTCCGATATATAATTGTCCTTTTACTTTAAATTGGCCGGCCACAACGTTTGCTTAAAATTTATGGTTAACACGATATTCCGATGGATCTGAACAAAGGAATCCGTCTAGTAGTTTGCACACTAACAGACTTTCAACATTCGTGCACTCGATTGGAATTTTGTCAGATTGGACGCAAATTTATTCTAGTTTTTCGAAGATTTTTTTTAGGAATCAAAAAAAATGTCGCATACCTGAAAACCTCAACTAAAGAGAGGTTATTCCTCGATCGAGCCCTTTGCCACAAGCACCTCCACCCGACTTTTCATCTGAATTTTTCCTTCTCGTCATCGGGACCACCATCAGTTCTTTGCTTGTTGTGTGTAATTGTCTTGTCTTCTGTAATTTTGCAAGGTTTCATGGGATATGGGTAGGGAACAAAGTCACTAGGGCTCGAAGAAAGTAATGAGTGAGTTTCTTCGAGGTCCCACTACGACATCCATGTTGGTGACGTCATCAAGTATCCAGAAATGGTTATGACCGGACTGTTAATGTGATAACGCTGGCCTTTTATTGTACGTGTGTGATATTAATAATGAAGGGCATTTAAGTTACCGAAGCGCAATCGATTTTTGTCTTCTGAGCCCAGGTCAGACATTTTGAATATGCCAGTGTGTTCCTCGATCGAGGAAGATCACCTAGTATAAACTAATTACAGTTTCTTAGCATGAAGTGGTATGTTAATCTGACGTCAGAAGCATCCTCTAATACATTTGTGCCCTATTACAATTATTCAAAGTAAAAGGAAAAAGTATGATATTCGGTTTCGGAGCCATTTTCATTGTGTTCCCAATCAATTGCAAAGCCATATTCAGACTAATTAGAAATGATTTGCGAGGAAAAATACGGAAACGAACGAACAAACCCCCAAAAAAATAAAACAGCCAGATATTATTAAGGCTTAATCTCGGCTTACACTTCATCTTGTGTATCTTCCTGTGAAAAACAACCGATCTACTTGACCTCCGCTCTCGCGCTCTTGTTTTTGCGCCATATGATTTTTTAGTTTAGAGTCTTTTTACCTTTTTATGTCAGGTAGCTGTCGCAGTTCTTGGTTTTCAAAATGGGATCGCTTATCCTGAAATTGGTGTACATTCTCACTGCGTTGAGCATTGTTGCAGATGTACTTCATTTCGGAGGCTTCAGGTTCAACGCAGAACAATATGGCGCTGAGATTAGTGCGCAATCGTCCGCCCAGTGTGGCCTTGGGTGGCAAGAGGTGCTGTCTTTCTGACCAAAAGTGCGATTAAAGCTGCCAAGAAAAAGGCAAAGAACCAAGCCAGAAAAGCGGGAGAGGCGAGAAACAAAGCCAGAAAGAGCCAGGGGGGTGCTGGTATGTGATATCAAGTAGAAATTAATCTGTCTACACTTAACGCTAGATTGCATCCTTAAGTATGCGCATGCTTGTTAAGAGTCTAGAGACAGAAGTCTTTTGCAGATTGTTTCAAAAATGGATAATAAAACAAGTGAATTTTTGCATGACATGATGAACTATCAAACCTCGTGTCTGTGTTATCTACCGTAGCCTCAGGTTTCGACAGACAACTCAGACCACAGTTTTGATAGTCAATCCAATAGTCGCTTAATGTCAGAACATGTATGATGGTGGATATTTCATTTCTGGTCTCCAAGACATGAGTTGCTGAAAAAAATCCTCTTTTTTTCTCTCTTTCTTTGAGAGCACACCAAAAATGCACGTAAAAGTACTAAGGATAAGCACGAGAAAGGAGAAGCGAGAAGGAACAGGGACCAGCAAGGATCGAATAAAAATCGGGGATAAACTATCAATTTAGTTTATAGTATTGATAACTATGGAAGTTCAATCTGATTTAACTTAGATTCACTTTGCCTAGCTTGGTCATTGTAATTGGATAGTAAAACACGAGGCGAAACTTACTCAATTAAATTTTCCTGCTATTACAAAGTCATGGCTTCTTACGCTCCAGTGTCACAGAAAATCGAGGGTTGGAATTCGGTCCTTTATATAAGGCTCTTCAGGATTACTCCCTTGTCGACATACGATATTTGGCTTTGGCTGAGTTCAGTCGACTCGCCTCATATATCAAAAACAGCGGACTGTCGGCCATTAGGTGTTTTCAGCTCGAGGTGAAAAGAGTGTCGCTTAAATTTCCGTTTGACGATCGACTCCAATGGCTTGCGTTTCACCACCCCAACTATTACTCACTATTTTTGACTCATAATTTTGCTCAAATCACGAGGAATTACTCTAGTGTCCATCTAACTATTGCATGTTCCCGGCACTCGGTTTTTGGGGGCGAGTGAAAAAGATAGGGGAACGAGGGAAGTACGACATGGGAACTAAGCAGACACTCCTCTACAGATCGACGACAGTTTTGGCGCATCCGCGAGCGCTTCCCCTCCCCTTTTTTCATCGACTGAGAGCCTTATACAATCTTATCAGTCAGATAAGGAAGGAATGAGACCCGAGGTTCACAAGGCCCCTTTTTCATTGGTTTAATTGTCACAAGTAAGAGATCGACCCAGTAGGTTTTCCTTGACTCATTTTTTGATTAACAGAGCAGAACGATCAACGCTACACCCTTAACTTGCTAAGGAGCAAAAGCTTCCCAAAGGACATACCGAAACAAACCTCTTTTAATTCTCCTGCCTCTCAAATCATTTTCATGTCCATCCATTCCTCGCTGGTTTTCGTACACATCAACCCCCACACCTCCTGGTGAGTTATTGGATCATAAGGACCAAGTGGCATACTTGGTACTTGGTTGTCCATTAGCAAACGAAATATTTTAAAGAAAAATAATGTTTATTAGTTAAGTGCATCTTAGTCCGTTTTCCTACGTATAAAAACTTGTTGCATTGACCAGTTACAAAAAGCTATAACGCCGAATGCGCTATGAAGACCTTCTATGATTTGTTTAGCAAAACTCGTCTAATCTTTGGTCATTGTCAGTATTACAGCTGGGCTTACATATAAACCGACACCTCATTAGTTTTTGCAGAGAATTTTTAGGCTGGGAAATACTAGGCGACACGAAAGAGGAAAGGTCGCGACAATTCACTTCTTGTTCAATGGGGATGTGGAAGTCTCTCATCCTGCCACATCTTTTTTTGATCCGAAACAAGTTGCACAATTTTTTTAAGTGGTTTGAATTAGAATGTGGCGCGCGTAACAGGATGTCGTTTTCCAATCAGGCACCAGTGCCGTAACACGACCGGTGTCCTTATAGATTCGGAGCCCTCAGCCCATTTCCATTACCTCAATGTGGCAAAAACTGAGTTTATGGTCATTAGCTCGCGTCAAAAAATGCAGTCTTTAAATGACAAGACAATAAATGTTAATGTAGAGGGCGTCAAAATAAACCAAACAGATCATAGCAAAGCTCTCGGACTGAACATAGATGAAAACCTATCCTGGAAGGAACACATACACGCAACTTCAAAAAAGGTCGCTTCCGGTATCGGTGCATTTAAGCGAGTCAGACCTTTTATTTCAATGCATATCGCTATCAAAATATATAAAGGTCTTATCGAACCACATTTTGACTACTGCAGTGTTGTTTGGGATGGCTTGTCTCAACAGCTGTGTGAGAAACTACAAAAACTACAAAATCGCGCTGCTAGAGTAATTACTAAATCAAGTTATGATACGAACTCTAGCTATCTTCTCAACTCTCTCAGCTGGGATAACTTATCAGTCAGAAGGACGAAGCAAAAGGCAAATTTAATGTACAAATGCGTTAATAAGCTCGCCCCAAATTATCTTTGTAACATGTTCACTCCGAGAACTCTGCCCTTTGATCTTCGTGACGCAAGTCAAAAATTGTACTTGCCGAAACCAAGAACTGACTACCTGAAGTGTAGCTTCAGTTATAGCGGAGCTTCTCTTTGGAACGATCTTCCTGAGGATATCCGCACTACAAAATCTCTACGCAACTTCAAGAGAAGAATTGATAAATGGCTCTCTGTATCGGACTCCACACGGCAAATTTGTAAACCAGTTAATAGAAAATTTTACTTAAGATAAATTTCTCCTTTGTTTTCTATTGTCATACTGATATTTTTACCGTGTTTTAAATAAAGTTTTCATTCATTCATTCCGCAATCGAATAAGGCGCCCCTCCATCGAAAGTATGATTGTAACAACTAATTTTTTGAAGCAACGCATGTGTACCAGTTTGTCACAGAGCCCTGCCGTAGTTAGATGTCGCCTAATATTTTCTTGATTACAAAGAGGAAGTTTAGTAAAGTGAGTGCAAGTTCAGCAACTAACAATTCAGTAATAAATGGTTTATCCTCTACGATTTCCCTTGGCGCGTTGTCGGTCCCTGTTCTTTCTAGCCTGTCCTTTTTGGTGCTTATTCGAGGTACTTTTCCGAGCATTTTTGGTGTGTTCTGAAAAAAAAAAAAAAGGAAAATGTTGAGAGAAAGGAATCTTCCCTGATATTTTTTCTTCATAACAAGAAAAGAAAGGAGTTTTCATTGACTGAATGAGCACTTTTGATACAATTATCACTTGCCTGCACCCCCTGAACTCTTTCTTGATTTATTTCTGCTCCTTCCGGCCTTTTTGGCTTGGTTCTTGGCCCTTTTCTTAGCAGCTTTGATTGCACTCTTTGACAAATATCTCCCTACCCACGGCCAAATCGGCGCGCCACTCGCCCCAGGGAGAAACAGGGAGGAAGACTGGACACTTATCTCGCCGTCATGTTGTCCCGCGTTGAACCAAGTGCTACCGAGATGCATAAAATCTGCAGCAATGCTCAGTGCAGTCAGAATATAGACAAATTTTAGGAACAGCGATCCCATTTTGACGATCAAGAACTGTAACAGATAACTGAAATAAAAAGAAAATTATTGAAACAAACAATTATCCGGTACAAAATAAAAATGATATGATTAGAATGATTCAAAAATAGGCTCAAACGTTAGCCTTCGGTGACAAAATATTCATATTTTAATCCGTGAACAAACTACTTACCTCGTTCACCGTTCTTTGCTCGTCCTTCTACTCTCACCTATCTTCAACAAATATGTGCAGTAGAGTGGTGACAACTAAAGCCCTTTAAGGCTTTAAAGGTATCTCCCTTCACGTGATAACCGGAAGTAAAATCTCGTTGGTCGGAAGTTACTTTGTTTTGAAGTGTTTCTAAAGTTGCCTTAGAGACACCCACGCAACAATTTCTTCCGTTGCAGAATTATAAAAGCTAAACTTGCGCTAGAGCTAATACAGTTGAAGTGCAAACGTGCCGAAAGGTCAAATAACTGAAACCGTACACTGAAAGACCTGAAACGCCCAAATATTTTTAGACTTCCGCTTTATAATCACTCTATTATTTTCATCTAACCTACATAACTTTCGGTCCGGAGCTTTTATCAAATTCACTTATTGGGTTAGACTGAATGAGGAGTTCACAACGTGGACAGTTCTTAATACAATGGTGTCATTAACGCCGTTGAAGACTGCAGATTTTCATGACGGTGACCCTTGACTTAACAGTGGTGTGTGGAAAAATAGGAACAAGGTCATTATATCGGCCCAAGTGTCTGATATACCGGTAGCTTACCCTCTTGGCCCCCTGGTGGTACCGTTTTAGGTCAAATATAGCAAATATGATTACTTGCTAATATCTATCAGCACTTTTGGGTTTGATCATTATCGATATCGCTAAACCATGAGTACCTCACTCCTTTGATTTTTTTTCTCGAAAATGCATCTTCTTTGATGCGTAAGAAACCATTCGGTCAAACTCAGATTTATAGCGTCTATTTTGTTACCGAGATCGCTTAGACGAAATTGACCGATCACATTACAGAAAATGAACAGTGGGAAAACAAAAAACAAAAAAAAACAAATCAAATCAATTGTGCCAGAAAGAACTGTAGAGTAAAGCAAGCAAAGAATGGCTCGTTTCCTGTAATTGAAACCCTTTTGGTGTTACTAACTTCGGAAACAGTAATCACTCTGTTTCTAATTTCGTTGTATTTTATATCACAGGGGCACGTGAATTGTGCAATTTTACCATAATCATGACATAAAAAGAAACCATTAGTCGATAAAAGAATGACCTAAAAGGCCTTATTAAATTGTTGTCATCGTCTAACTCCCATCGGTAATATTGAGTATCTTGATGTAAAGGCACGGAGACAGGAATATGATCAATATCTTAGGCATTAGTCAGCAATTGTTTTCATTTTTAACTCGTGAATTGCGCGCATGCGCAAGAGCGAGTTATAGATACCATGTGGGGAATGGCATTCGCTCGCTCGATTGGTCGATTCCTGTAAACTTTTTTTAGATTTTAGGCTTTTGAGTGCATTTGATAGTTTTTAGCGAACAGTAAACAGAAGAAATGGCGACCTTTGTTGCTAAGAATAGTGGTGGGGTGAAAAAGAAGCCAATGATAATCTTAAAAGAGTTTTTTTTTTCGTTTTAGTTTCAACAAGCGGCGCCAGCGACTGGCAGGCATGCAAGGATTCACACTGAAATAACAGAACAACCTTCGTTTTTCATAAAATTGTAATTTACAATCCTTGAACTCGAAAACAATCCGAAGATTCATTGAAAATATTACTTACTGCGAAGCGCTCGAAGTTTACAGATGTTCAAAAGCTTTTTCTGTTATGGCGTGAGATTGAGGACAAAATTGATCATTACGTTTCGTCGCGTGTGGTTTTCCTGTGTGAAGCAACAAAAGATGCCGGCGACTGACGAAATTACAAGTTAACACGAAAATCAAATAACACCTAAACAAACAATTTTAGCTACCGATTTTCAGTAAATTTTTAAAGAACAGTTTTCTTTTAAGTTTCAAGACAATTTGAAGTTTCAACATACATACAACGTACTAAAATGCGAAAGTTACACACCACAAAATTGATAAATAGGCCTGAAATGAAATTCTATCTTGTTATTGATTATACGTTGCCTAGCACGTGACTTAAATCTACCCAGGCGGAGATCCAAAATGACGGTGGCAGGCTTGGCTTAGTTATATCACTCAAAACTCGTTCCAGTTTGCCTGATTTGATAAAGAGGGAATCGTTAATGTTTTCATTAAGACAGTATTGCCTTGATTTTCTAATATTTACAATGAAAGACAGTAAATTTCACTTTTCACCCACATTTACTTCCAACCTTTTCTTTTGAACCAGAAACAAAAATAATAGACGTTTAAAACACATGACATCATCCACCTTGTCAAATGTAATAGCATGATCATTTCAATTGTAATGCCTTCTTATCCCAACGTTACTTTGTTTCTTTGCTACATTAGCGAATACTGAACTACTGCTCGTACTCTAGATATGACAATCAACGACAAAATTCCCTAAACCAGATAACATTAAACATCATGTGTCAAAATCATGTGTCAATTCACGAGTTTGCTCACAGAGCACTTTGATTTATAACTGAAATTCGGAGACTTCGGAGACGAAAAAGGACGAAAGGACAAAGGAGAATAGATAAAGGCACTTTCGTGATATGAAGTATAATACAAGCTAGGACAGTGAGCTGTGTTTCTGATAGGATGAAGTAATAACCCTTTGCAGCAAAAACTAAATTATAAGAAATTTGCAAATCTTAATGCGGAAAATTCCATTATTCGAAACTTATCGAGCGGCTTTTCCCATAAATCCCGAGTGATCCAAGTATTCACATCAATGTTGTCATAGAGAAACATGTAGAGAGATGAACGCCAAACGTGAATTCATCATCTTGTCAGCGGAGTTTCCCTCTTTTGATTATGTTGATTTAAATCAGATTTGCCTAAATTGAAAATCTTATTTGGTTTTTTGCGTTTTTCTCTGAAAATGTTATTGCAGTCAGGAGCACTGTGTATATCGTATTTGTACAAATATCGGTAAAGTTGTTAGGAAATAAATTTGACCGCATACATATAGGTGACCGTGCTCTTTCAAGAACAAAAGACAATTGTACCTGTTTACCTCATCCATTGATTGAAAAACAATACTATGTTCTGGGAATGCATTCGCGCTTTTTCGCCTGATTACGTGACTTTTATGCGCAGTGCAACACTGAGGAATCACCGTTAAGCAGTTCGTTTGCCATTAATTTGGATTTGTAATATTTATCTTTCTTCTGGTTCGCTAAAGGGTAAGCTTCAATTGTAGTCGAATGACAATAAAAAAACAACCGCTCTACAGGCCTCACTCATATCCTCACATGATACAAAAATGCACAAAGCCGAGCAAATCATTTTATCGGTTTCGTAGAAAACAGCTCGCTAAATTAAACGGTAAAATTATCTTTTTTCAAAGGCAGTTTTTTTGATCAAAGTTTCTATGACACGCTGATTACATTTCCAGTTTTCTCTACTAGGAAAAGTTCAGATTTTTAATCACGCAGACGCGGGGCGATGATGAAGTGATTTTGAATGTTGCGTCGCGGCAACCATTGAGAAAATCATATTTTGGTGTTATTAGGCACGAAATAAGTTGTTTCAAACGCATTCTTCTTTCTTTAGAGTGTACTACGCTCAATAAGTCGAACAACGAAGATACTCAGAAACAAACAGGAAGTGACATCGGGTCAAAATCGGGTGAAGTTCGGTATTCTATTTTTACCACCTTACACTCGTAACCCTTTTATCCTGTTTACATTTCCATGACATATGTGGCTTCCTCTTCTGTTATATAGGAGGCATTAGCCATAATAATACTTACCGATCCGAACAATGGTGCGCAGGAGGCGAGGCCCCACTTGACGGCGACAAATTCAGTCTTCATTTTGCAATCATAATTTGTAACGTGTTCGGGAATCAAAGTACTTTCCACTCGAAGTTCATTTCGTCGCTTTCAAGGCTGAACTAACTATTGTTTTCCAAGCCGGGTACGTTCGCTTTTCATTTTGAGGTCCACAAAATATATTTCAATCGGGATGGAATGGAAAAACCAACTTGGAAAATCTCAAAGCAGTCAATTGCTAAGAAATTTTGCTTTCCAACCCATTTCTTTACCGACGTCATTGAATTTAATTGCACGAATAGTCTGTCACGCAAATAGCTGTCACAACATCATATGCGCACTTTGCAATATCTACCGTGTCCTTTCTTCTAATCGGGAGCGTGTAACTAATGCAAACTAACTCAAAGATTTAGACAAATCAAAATAATTTCAATCCTCTATTGGCAACACCTTTAAAGCATTTCACTGTAAGAAGAGTTAGTTTTGGGCTGCAGCACTGCAGAAAATTCTTCAGAATCTTTGGGATAGATACAAATCAGCAGTATTCTAGAGCTTGAACGTGGTGATGGACTGAATTTAGGAATCAAGGAATACTTTTTCACGTCTTATCATATTTTTTTTGACTCAAAGATGGATCAAGGGTTCGAAGTCCCTTGTTCGATAGTACAACGTTCCACTGGGATCACGATCCCATGAATTACGACGATCAATGTTTCTTTTGTACAGTATACTCGACAACCTCGTTTCCAAGGTCCTCTCTCTTCCTCACTTGAGAAAGTACCCTGGTTGCGGCTGATCGCAAATCGAGGGAGGGCTTTTGCGAAACACTTTTTCTATGCAAACCTTGCTTATTAAAATAAGTGCATTTTTTCAAATGCTTGACTGACTTTTAAATCACACACCACGTTTCTTACAATATTTTCGTAATGATTTCCTCACTCACGTTGTGAATCTAGGAAAGAGAAAATAGAAGGGAGGTTGTGCGCGAAACTGCCCTAAATCTACCTTAAAATAGAGAGATGAATTTTTTTCTACTTGAAAACCATTTTTATTCAGTAACTTAACGCCATTAGAAAGCGAAATTGCGCTAGTTTTGCTTTGATTCGCTCCAGTTTTAGTTTCCCCGTTATTTCGCCTACGCAACTATGTCGTCGTGGTTATGTTGTCCAGCAAAAGGCGAAAATCGTATACCATTGATAATGCTGAAAAAGATGCCTTCCACCATAGACCTCTTTTTTTCAATTACGCACTGGACTGGGTTTCTCTTACCACACGCTACATAACTCTGTCATGGCTCCAACTCAAAACTCTAGTTAAAAATAACGGATACAATATTTTGATCTGCTTCAAAATGTCGGGCTATAATTCAAGGACTTCAATTCAAAAGGTTGTTCCAGGTTTTTCCCATTTATTTATTAAAATTTATATTACCACATTATCATAATCACTTACCGATGACAATATCATACCCCCCAATCACCAAAATAAAATCTCTTTACTCATCAGCCACTATTTCAAATAGCGATTTCATTTTTGTAATTAAACACATGTTGAGCCGGTGGGAGTCGATCAATCACGTGATCAGAGTTTGTGAGTTGCAGCTGCCACTAACCAAGCCGGGACATAGACAAACTCAGGCATCATCCAGGCGACAGAGGGGTAGGACCTCTCCAGATGAAACTTCACTTGACGAATGGACAACGGTTGAGTTCCTACAAGAAAGAACCAAGATTTCCTCTTGTCTGTACTACTACAAACTGAATTGCTCAACTATGACATAATTAGTTGTTGAGCTTCTCATAAGCTGTGATTTCTGGTACACAGAAAGTGGAACAATTTCGAAAAAAAGTCATGTATCTTTCATCCTTGGGTACCCTTCAGGGACAAGAATAATAATAATGATAATGCTAGTGATAATGACGATGATGATGATGATGATGATGATGATGATGATGATGATGATGATGATGATGATGATGATGATGATGATGATGATGATGATGATGATGATGATGATGATGATGATGATGATGATGCAGATGCTGATTATGGTGATAACAAAATTGAGAATGATAATGAGGAAGGGGGCGGGAACCCACGATGGTCCAACATCTCATCCAGGAGGAAACATGTAACTACATCATATTATACGATAAGCTGAATTATACACGAATTTTTTGATTGGTTCTTACATATGATCTATTAGAGGACAGGTACATCCAAAGCGTCCAAATTATCAGCATCTTAGATTCTATGTTGCCTTATGCTTGTACAGTAATAGATCACTAAAGACATCAGATGTCTTAACCCTTTGACTCCCAGAAGTAACTGACATGTAACTTCTCCCTATTATATCCATATCTTTTTCAGCAAAGGGTTAATGAGAATACTCAAAATTATCAGGTAGAAGTTGTCATCTTGATCTTACACCCAAGTCTCGTGGCTGATTTACAAAGAATTGTGTAGCAGCTAGAGGGGAGAATTAACGATCAGATCTTGGGTGCTGAAGGGTTAAGAACATCAGTGAAACACTCGGCTGCGCCTCATGTGCCACTTTTTTTGTTCTAACCATATTTTGACGATATCTGTGATCTGTCACTGTAGAGACAAACGGCAACATGGTATCTATTTTGAATTTTCTCTCCTATTCTGAGAGTCCACATACCTCCAACATCTTTGAAACCGTATTCTTTGGCCAACTCTGCCACTATTAGAATCCGACCAGTCTTTTTCATGATATCGCTATCTGAAAGGGGTAATCAAATTTCAGACGTCAGAACAAATGAAGAAGGCGTGTGGCATGTGGGGTGATTTTACAATGTAGTCGAAAGCTCTCACATCCATTTGTAACAACTATTGAAGAATAATAACGTTGCAATGAAGAATTAAGGATGATACTTTTCTTGTATCATCGCGAGGGTGGAAAAAAAAGGAAAAATCTATTGAGTCTTCATAACGAAGCGAACGTAATAATTCCGTGCTCCGATACTCAACCACTGGATTTCAGAGGGCGTTGTGATTAGCTAGGCCATTTCTAGATTGATATGAGATAAGCGTCTGGCAAACTGCAAGGATCAGTGAGGTCGAGAGTAAAGTAAAACCAGACCATGAAATACAACGTAACTGAGCGAAACCTTCTGTATGAAAACTGTGTTGCGCAATACTCATATAGACAATGATAGGAGTACCTGATGCAAGCCACGCCACAGCTTTGCCGGAGAACGTGACATCTTCAGCGTCTTTGAAAATTGTGGCGGCTTTACTTGCCTAAAAAACGTAAGACGGAAGAAATACTTACATACTCTGAGCCGGCAAGCAGATTGTCACAAGCTTTGTGGCACGAGAAGTGAAGCAGCGAAAAACGAGCCCACGAGGCGCTTGGCTTTGCAGATCGCACCCGGCACAGAGTTAATGACATCCAGTTCACAAGCTATTGAACAGTTTGGTTATGACATCGAGATTCCTATCCCGTCATAGCTGATGAGAGCTGAGCCCAAGCAAACCGTGGATTACAACAAGTAGCCAATGACAATGCACCAAAGATAAGGACCGCACGAGGCGCGGGAAAACGTGGGTGACCTAGTCGCATTTGATTGGTAGAGGAGGTGGCTCTCAACTTCCAGACCAATCACAACGCGAAAACTTATGCACTCTTGGAATACTTTTGATACTCAATTCAAAATTGCTAGTGCCCCTGCCCTAACCTCTATTAAACATAGCATTTATAATTGAAGAGTACCTTTCCTCCTTGATCTGCTTTGCTGAGAATCAAGTCCGTCACAATCTCAGTCTTCACGGCTCCTGGCCACAGAGAGACACACGCCACGTTCTGTTTGCGTAGTTCCACAGCCATGTCTGCAGCCATTCTGTCCGTCTGGGTGAAATGAGAATATTACGATGAGACGGTTGAGAACATCTTAGTCTGTTTATCACATGCCGCTGGTACTTAATTCGGCTATTATGGGATAAAGTTTTCGCAAAGTCGCTGAAACCGGCAGAAACCATTGAAATAACTTTCAATGTACGATATAATAGCACAAACATGTTGTGTAAGGGAAGGGGTAAGAAAAGGGAGGGAGGGGAGGGGGAGAGAAGGGAGGGGAGGGGGGAAGGTGGTAAGAGAAGGGGGGGTACTTACTGCAGCTTTGCCGACGCCATATGCAACATTAAAGAGATATCTTAAGCCTCCGGCTGATGACACATTGACAATGAGCCCCTGTTTTGCTGGAACCATCATCTTAGCTGCATGCCATGCAGCCACATAACTGGATCTTTAATGGAAAATAAGTCAACAGAAAAGACTAAGTATCAGGCAACTCAGTCAGTGACTCAGTTCATCAAGTTATGGTCTGTCATTCAGTTGATGAGTCAAGCAGTTGGTCTGATCAGTAAGCTGGTAGACACCCAAAGTCACTGAGTCATTCAGTTTATCAGTCAATCAGTAAATCAGCCAGTGGGCCAGTCATCCAGTCTTTCAACCATCAGTCATCCTGTGAGTCAGCTATATAGTCAGTCAGTTGGAGAGATAGTCAGATAGTTAATCAGTACGTCTGTCAATCAGACAGTTGGTTAGACAGTCAGCCAAACTGCAATTTTTCATACTTTGGAAGGGCTACTCAAACTAATATAGCTTTAGTTTGTTTTATTTCATGAATTGAGCTGGAATCATATTCAATAAACAAGGATAATTAGCAACTGCTACACAATTGCAGTGCTAAATATACCTGGCAAATAAGTGCTCAGTATTTTCTCTGTGAAATCATACCTGCCATCTTTGATTTTTACAGAAGCAGAAGACTGGTTGGAATGAAAAAAATAAATTTGCACCAAGCGGGTGTGAGTAACAGTCAAGGATGGAGACAGGAGAGGGCTGACAATGTCTTCCACCTTTTCCCACCACCTCCTCTAACTGTCCCACTGTTACTCCAATTCAAAACCAGGCATATCCAAGAATATACAATTGCAAGTTTGTAACATCAGTGAATTCGCCCTAAGTACTGCAAACTAAATATAACTTAAAAACACTTCTCATAAAGAATTATGATCAATAATTACCTTAAGCCCACATTGTTGACCTCGTCCCACATCTCCACTGACTAGATAGAGGACAAAGATATGGAGTCAATCATTTTTTTTTTTTAAAGACTGCATCCAATATATTTTTAGGGTTTTTTAACTATGCCTTTAAATAAAATGCAAACTAGCTAAGAGTCTGAACCAAACTTGCAAAAGCTGTTTCATAAGACAGTCTTCATCAGGAGAAGTATTATTTTGACTGACCTGTTCATAAAATGGTTTCCCAGCAGTCTCCAATATTGCCTAAGGGTGAAGGATAGCAAGTTAGTAAATTATAAGTGCATTGTGATACAGTTCCTTTAAAAGTACTCCCTGCCTTAAATAGTAATGCAAGGCCACAAAACAAGGGAGGTGTGAGACAGGTCCTGTTCCCTTTTTTAATCCGCTGTATCCAAGAATGCATTGCACATGCTCATGAATACAGGTGAAGTATGGATAGCGGCTTTTATTAATCTATCTAGATTATCACAAATACAGTACACTAACTTTCTTCAAATAGTGATGTGCACAAAATTCTCTGATCCTTCACCTCAGTATGGACACTGATATGTTCTGTTTATAAAGTGGATGACAGCTGTTATGCACTTACTTATTTATCACAGATATGCATCACCTTAACTCCTTTGTAAGCATTGTTCACAAGAACATCCAGTCGCCCATTTTGTTCTTGACTGACTTTTTCAAACAATTTTTTTACTTCCTCATCATTTCCATGGTCACACTTAACAGGAATACATTGACCAGCACTCTCCTGACCAATCTATGGTAAATTTACAAAATTCATACTGTATTAACCCTTCACACCTTAAGACCAGTTTCCATATTCTCCACACTCCACTCAATCAATTTTCTTTGTTACTGACAAAGAGAATTCATTTAACAATCAAAGCTACTAAAGTCCATGATAATTCTCTTTATTCTCATGACTTTAATAAATGATTTAGCAGAATTACGGTAAGGAGAAATTAGATGCTGGTCACTCTTATGCATGTATGTTGATGATGACAACCTAATAACTTAACAGGCATAGGGATGCTTTTCTTCTTTTTTTTCCTCTACTTCCCCATTCCTTCCTCTGTGCATTTATTATTATACTTGCAGCTCATATTTTACTTGCTCTCCACACAATGATTAGAGAAAAAAGATGACTATCTTTAACCTATATATGCCTTCATTACACAATTTAGTATTTCCAGGTGTAAGTTAGAAAGAATAAGTATGACAATTTTTTTTTGTTGAAGTGAGAAAAGATATGAGAACATATAAAAGCAAATACCAGAAGGGAGCCCTTTTTCTCTAGTTGGAAGACACTGTGAGAGTAAAGTGTCTTGCTAAAAACAAGGCTTGCAGCTGGACCTCTCAATCCCACCTCCTGTCCTAAGCATGCCCATTTGATCAACATACTGCTTTCACTTGATGGTGATTTGCAGCTTAATAAAGTACGCCACATTTCACAACCTACTGTAACCAATGTGACTAGAACTTTACACTGAAATGAAATTCAAGCCACTGTCTCTTTTTTGCAAATACCTTTTCAGCTGTTTCCCTCAATGACCCTTGCTTGCCTTGTGCAGCATCAAGAGTCCTGCCTGCAAATTCAAGTAAGGATGAGTGTCTAAAATGTATTGTCTGTCCAACCCTTTCCTTCAGACAGAATACAAAATTGTTTAACAGACTCCAAAAATTTGCTGCAGTAGTTATTTATCCAAGTTAGTCATGGGAAGTGACACCAGTAAGTATCTTTGACAGTCTATGTATAAACTGTCAAACAGTCTCCTTCCTTCATCTCTTTTTATGTTCCACTTGTAGAGGAGGTAAAATTAAGAGAGAATCAATCTTGAGTATACCTTTTCTAACTAAAAATTCTATTTTTGTTACTTGCCTGTGATATAAACAGTAGCTCCTGCCTTGGCCAACATCAAAGCAATACCTTTGCCAATTCCCCTGGAAGCTCCCGTCACAATACATACTTTTCCTGTCAAAGAAGGCAGCTCGGATGCCATCCTGTCTTGAACTAAAGAAAGGAAAATTTGCAATAGGGTGTCAGCATTTAGTCAAGGTTACTTTTGTTTTGCTTTGCCCTGCTTTCCTCTCCCTTTGGTCTTGAAATCTTATGCCACCTCAACCAGACAGTTGCAAACCTTACACCTACTGGGCCTTGCCACAATGAATACTTAAATTTTGATTGCATGACAATAAACAAAAAACACTCTACTCAACAAATCATCTTTGGCCTCACATTTTATCGAATTATTTCATTTTATTCATGATCATGAAGCAACATTGCACAGAATCACCAATAGATTGGGCTAGCTGTGGGCAGTCCCTTGAAAGATGTCAACCTATGGGGGATATACATTATGAGACCTCAAGTTGTTCCATGTACTCTTCATCCAAGTAGTCAAAGCACTACTGAACAAAAGATCACATAGCTTAAAGAATCTGAACATGGCCAACAAGGTGCAACGCAGTGTTAAAAAAATTCACTTCAGTTAAATGTAGTTTATTCAATGTATAACGAGCATGCAGAGGGTAAAAGTAGAAGACTTCGATATTATCACTCTAACAGTCACATCATTTGCTAATTTTCGAGTAGATGATTCATTCTCAAAGGCTGTAAATTTGTCTTACGTAACAATGCCTGGCATCTTATTATCAGAGAAAGTCACGCAAACAAGAACAGGTTATCAGAATATCATGTACGGGCTTTGCAGCGCCTTTTTCTTTAATTGAGTGCATCGTGGCCAATGCAAACGAACACGAAGGTACAGCAATGTTTACACAAAGCAAATCATTTAAATCCACTTCAGACAACATCTTCAGCAGATTTCAACACATTTGGCTGTGAGAAATTGAGTTCTGAGCTGCAGCGCTTCTTCAAATCTTTAGAATAGGTAGAGATCAGCAAAATTATAAGAATAGGGAACACATATTTACGCCTTACCTGAAGTTTTTTTCACTCAAAGATCGAAAAAGAGTTCGAAGCACTGTAGTCACGAGCCTGCGAAATAAGATCTCCGAATGGATGTTTGTTTTTTTGGAGTATAGTCGGGTAAAAGTAAGTCATTTCCGTAGCTACGACTTTCGTCCGTCTACCTTCGACTCAACGTCTTGTGCTAAGGTGCGACTTGATTGGTGGAAAACAGTCGGAAATTTCCGGTAGTTCGATTTTAATTCCCTTCAGAGTAGGGGTAGGTGAACTTTCCTCAAATAAAATTGGTACATTAGCTTACTGCATATCGTCTTGGAATGTCACGGCGGGTCTCTGTAAGTAGATTTTCTGGAACCTTGAGGTCTCTGAGAATGAGCACAACTGCAGCCTCGAGTCGCAGCTTAGAAGGAAAAGTCGCTGTTGTAACGGCATCAACAGAGGGGTTGGTTGATACAAGTGTTCATGCTACATGAATGGGAGCGAAATGGTCTGAAGGCAATTTCAACGTAATTTACAAATGATTTCGAGTCAACTTTAGTTCTTGTGTGTTTGAGTTAAGCATGACGATTCGATGTTATCCGACTTTTCCTGGTCTAGGTAGAAAACAGTATAGCACAGAAAGAGTTGTTCCCAGCTAGCTTGGATTCACTCTATTTTAGAGCTCTTAGTGGGCGGCGAGGGGAGGGAGGTGGGTTGGGTGCTGGTGCTGGTGCAGAGAGGGTCCATAATGTAAAGTTATACTCATTATTAACACTGATCTCTGCTCAAACTTTTGACACATCAAGTAGTAGGCTTGGATTGTTAGTCCACTCTTTTTAACATCATGTTCCCAAATACAAAAGTGTTTCCTTTACCAAATAGGAGATCTATATCAGATCTTGATGTTTCTGAAGTAACTACTTTTTCTTCTTTTGGAGATCCGTCCACTGAAATTTTAATACTTTCTACCAGAGTCTTGAATATTACTCTTAATGTCAGGGTAGGTCACAAATAAAAAATATTCCTATAAAGAGATGTTAAACAAAAACATTAATTGCTGAACGTTTTTAAATAGTGAATTACATATTTTCGTTACAAATCAGCACAAGTCACTTGTAGTTTGATTTTTGCTTAGTAATGTGAATAATTACGGAGCATTTTCTTAGGATTGGGTTTGCCATTGCTAAACAACTTGCTCATGATGGTGCAAAGGTTATGATCAGTAGTCGCAAACAAGACAAAGTTATTGATGCTGTCTCTAAATTAGAGAAAGAACAAGGTTGTACAGTGAAAGGAGTTGTGTGCCATGTTGGGAAAACTGAACATCGTAGGAATCTTATCAAAGAGGTACTATTCAAAGTGCTAACTTCTGATAATGTATGCGGAGAAAACATAGTATTTATAATGAATGATATTTGATAATGATATTACTATGTTTGCAACAAACATTTCTCTCTACAGACATTGGATACTTTTGGAGGCATTGACATCTTAGTTTCAAATGCTGCTGCTAACCCCACATTTGGACCAATCCTGGAGGTAATACTTGACTTAACCATCATTCTAATGTAAGCATGAAAAGGATTGTTATGATAATGATGATGATGACAATGAGAGTAATGGTGATGGAGCATTTTGATTGCTGTGAAAACCACAGTCATGATGATGATAGTAATGCCAAGATGGAAAAAGGGCTAAGATTAAAAGGTTTGAAGCTATACTGCTACCAGTTTCATTTTTGTGCATGAAAAACAATGGTACTTGTTTCATGGTTATATTCATTTTGTAATAGAACACTTTTCAATCAATATGGAAAGTACTATCAGGGACAGGAATCCTTTGGTTTTGCCTTATCTTGATCTGTGATTGTATCAGAAAACTAGTAATACTATCTCAACCAGTCAGACTAAAAACTGAAATCAATTGTGACCTAAAAGATCAATCACATTTTCATATGATCCATGTGTTTTTTGCTTTAATTTTCTTGGATCACATTCTCACAAGGTGTTTGTGATTTTAACCTTTTTTGTGGTTGCATAGCCATTATAAGTGATTTCTTTTGATTTTACAAAACCCAATCCTATTGTGCTCTAAAATGAGAGGAACAGCAGGCTTCAAGGAAAAACTATATGTTACAGAATAATAAAAAAATAAAAAAATTGGTCATGTTATGAAGTATCATCTATACCTATGATATATTTTATTTCAGACACCAGAGGAATCATGGGAAAAGGTAGAAAAGGAAGATTACATATTGATATATTTTTTGGCATACAATTTGCATTAGTTTGTTAGTGACATGTTTAAATCAGCTCTTGCCTGCAGGTAGGAATGGGGGGCAGAGGAGCTAAAAGGGAAAGAGAAGACAAATGCACTGCTACCTAAATATGTGTGGTTGTAAGTAGTTAATATAACAAAGTGATTCAAAGAAGGTGGCTCTATGATTGCTTGAAAGTGACATAAAAATTTTCTTTGAGAAGTAATCTCAAATGACCCACATGGTTTGAAAATTTTTTACAATTATCTGGGGAAGAATATGTGGAACCTCTCAAGTCCACAACAATTTCATTTTCAATTGGCTCCCCCTGCACACTTCAAAGTTCCTTTGTTGGAGCCTAACCTTTTACTGTGTTATGATCATTAACTGATGAAGGTCAATTTTAGAGCACTGCTTAATTTAATGTGTAGCAGACTTAAAAGTCATCTTAAATTGTGAAAACTGACAAAGTATAAATTTCCTGGTCTTTCTGTTCATTTTGTTTTTTTGGTCTTTTGTTAATACAGATTTTTGATATCAATGTGAAGTCAGCTTTTCTTCTGGCAAAAGATGTTGTTCCATTGATGAAAAAGAGAGGGTTTGTATACTGAGTCCCAATTTGAGATATTGGTATTGGTGGTACCATAGTTTAGTTAACCCTTTAACCCCTATGAGTGACTAGCATCTAATTTCCCCTTACAGTTTCACCACTGAATCACAGATTAACGTCATGAGAATAAAGGAAAAGGTCACCAATGAAAGAACTCTTGATTGTTAGACAAATTCTCCTTGTCAGCACCTTAGTAAATATACAGAGAACACTATGGAAAATATGAATGTTAGGGTTGTTAAGGGTTAATCTTAACTGACTTGTTCCAGTCATCAATAATGAAAATAATTTGAGATGCACTTTATCTAAAAACCAAATTTTGTTGCTTATTTATTTCAGAGGTGGATCCATAGTGTTTGTTTCATCTATTGCTGGACTCCAGCCATCCCTGCAGGTAGATATAACCCTTTTCAAACTTAATTGCCCTACAAGACAAAACTTGGTTTGAAAAGTATGCCATTCTTATAAGTTTGTTTTAATTTATTCAAACATTCATGAATTTGAGACCCAATCTTCAGTTTTAGTTTTGAGCAGCTTTGAAATACTTTGTTTTTCAAATAGTGTGAAAAGTGTGACTTACTGGTAATCATACTTAAATCAAACCCCCAAAAAATTACTTTAAAAGTAACTTTTAAAAAGTTACTTTAAAAAGTTACTTTAAAGTTACTTTAGTCAACCTTAAGATGGAAAAATAGGTAATTATTTATGACTGAAAAGCATTTTTGATTATTCAGTATCTTAATGCCATATTGGTTTCAGGGTCTTGGTGCTTATAGCGTTAGCAAGACAGCTCTGCTTGGTTTGACCAAGGTTCTAGCCAATGAATGTGCTCACATGGGAGTGAGGGTGAATTGTGTTGCACCTGGGATCATCAAGACAAAGTTTAGTGGAGCAGTGAGTATTCAAATGTCAGAGCAATCTACTTTAGTTACATTTGCCCTTTTATTGCAAATAACCATGAGACAAAAATAAAAATGAAATTCATCCAGACGATGTGACATCTATGAGCCAGAAGAGGATTGTTTTCTGAAATGTAGCGGAAAAGCTGGAAATGATAATGTTTGAGACAAAAGAAAAAGAAAACGAGAAGGGCTGGATAAAAAAATGAACAAAGAAATAAATAAATGCATGATCACTATGATCTGACTTCCTCCTTAGGTGGTTTAAAACTTGACTTGTATAAGGTAAATAAAAATAGACATTGGGGTGTTATTTTTTGTAGCTTTGGCAAAGTGAGTCCTTAACTGAAGCCGCACTTGCTCAAATTCCCTTGAGGAGGTAGGAGTTGTGATTTACTGGAAAGAATTACTCAATCTTTTTCTCCCAGGATCTCTTTATTAACCCTTTACACTCTAACATCAGTATGCACCTTCTCCATACTGTTCCTTATGCATTTCCCAAGACACTGTCAAGGAGAATTTGTCTAACAATCAAGAGCTTCTTTAGTTGCTGATCATGTCCTTTATTCTCATGACCATCATGAGCAATTCAGTGGTGATATTGTAAGGAGAAATTAGATACTAATCACTCTCAGGGGTCAAAGGGTTCATTCTCTCTTCTGTCTTTATATTTCTTATAATTGTAGCTCTGATAATATGGTAAGCAATATCTGCCTGTTGATAATACTTTTTCTTCTCATCACCTTTCTGTTTGATATTGTGGTGATATCAGTGCTAGAGAAATTACTCATTGATCACTCTTAAGTGAGAGGAGGTATACAGAATGATTATAATGTTGTAAACAACAATTTGCAAAATTGTCCCAGTTCTGTAAGTGAGATATGTTGTATCTGTTTGTTGCTTTCAGGCTTGGTGAGTCAGAGGATATAGGAGGTGCGGTATCTTTTCTATCCTCCGATCAAGCATCGTATATCACTGGAGAAACTTTAGTTATTGCTGGTGGAATGCATTCAAGACTGTGATTTTAATTTAGATTAAAAAAGGACTAAATTAATAATTACTGTTAGTGATCGCATTGAAGAGACCTTTGGTAGAATATTTTACCTCACAAGAGAAAGTTTTGAAGGTGATTTTGTGAAAACTTTGGATGTGATGTATGAAGGAAGCACAGTTAAATAAATGTAAAAAAGGGGAAAACTAATGAAATGAACTTGAGTCACAGCAGACAAGATTTATGTCTTTGACACTGGCTTGTGATAGTGTTTATTATTCATTTGGTCACTTCTGGTGGTGAAAGGGTTACGCTAAGAATCTTACAGTTTTCATACTGGTGTCACTTTCAGTTCCAACAAAAAGAGCCATATAGTAATGAGATGTACTTTGACCAAAGTTTTGTATTTTTTCCAAACTTTGGTAATAAGCCTGAAAATATAGAAGCATAGTTCACCCCACCATTGTCCTCTTTCGTCCACGCAACCTCACTTCATCAAGTTTCTTTATTATCTCTCCAGCCTTGTTTGCTTTCCCCTTGTAACTTTCCAAAACAATCTTGAACAGCTGCTCAGTGTTTGGATGAGTGCTGAGGAAAGCCCTCTCCAAAACGTAAAGATCAACGCCTTTGTCTTCTGTCAGTGATGATATAAAGCTCAGTCCGAAGTCAATCAGAATGATATTTTCAAAACCTGACTTTATCAAGATGTTTGAAGTGGTCAAATCTCCATGAACACAATCCACGTTGTGCATTACCGCCAATGTAGAACCAATTTTTTCCGCAAGACTCTGTAAACTTTGCTCAGATACTTCAGAAGGGCCATCCAGAAGCTCGTTGATGTGATCTCTGGCTGTCACGCAATTTTCGATTTCTTCCATGTAGATACAATGAGTAGTGTAATCAACATAATAAACGGCTGGAGTGCAGATTCCTGCTTTCCTGCAACGAAGCATTGATCGTACTTCTTGCGTAGTCCTTCGATGGGTGAGCTTTTCGTCTAGAGAGGGGTGCCTGTAACATTTTGAAAACCTTTCCTTCACTATAGTCTTCTTGGTGTAAAACTTCGTTCTGTAGACACGTGCCTCTGCGCCTTGCTTCAACAAGCCCCAACCTTCCATTGGAGACGCCATTTTGGACATGGTTCACGAGCCTTCGTGCGGTCAGCGTGAGCCTGTGAAGTTCATGCACAGTTAACTGTATTCGCCGCTATCTTCGCAACATAGAACCACGGTATTTTCGTTGTAAGTTTAGCTTAATCTCGTCTTATTTTGCCATCGTTTACAGTATACATCATTTCAACTTTACTTTATCTTCGAAATCCCACAGCACTCCAAGATGGGTGTACTGCTAAGGATGAGGAATCACTTTCAACAAAACAGCCATATAATTTACCGAGTGGTTTACGATTTGCGATTCCTGATTGCCGGTTTTCTGGTCACTGGCTACGGAGTTGGAAAGATTGTTTCTGCTTCACAAAAAAGTAAGTTTATATCTTATTGAAGGGTGTATTTTGATCTTTGAGTATTTGACAAGGCATTGATTAGATCTTGTACCGGTTTGAAGGCTGCCTAGACGGGTAGGCAAACTCGTCGAAAATATAGGACTGTGTGAACAGATCTAATGTGTTGCCATCACATGAATGTTAGAGGAAGAATTTTCGCTTTTCCCAAAATTATATTCTTTTGGTTCCGATTTGTTTCGCAGCAGACTCTTCGGGAAAAACACCACAAGAAACGCGGGAATGATATTAATGGGGGCAAGGTTCTTCTCCCGTATAGTCTGCTGGAAAGCAAATCATAGTATTGCGCTGGAATGAAAAAAGAACTTAATTGGAGCAAGGTTCTTCTCCCGTATAGTCTGCTGGAAAGCAAATCCTAGTATAGCGCTGTGGATAGCTAGTCAAAGTTTGGTGAAGCACAAAACCAGGGGTAGTTGTTATAAGTCTAGAAGTGAAAAATTTTCTGCAGTTTAGTCTTATTTTAAGTTGCAAACGTTGTGTTGCTAGTTAAAAAACAAAACAAAACAATGATAGTGCTGTCAAACAGTTTGAAAGTAGGAGACAGGTGAGAAATAGAGGTGGCCAGGTTATAGTGGAGGCCATGTTGTTCTATTAGAAAAATTTTACCAAACCCGGGAAATGTTCACCTAAAATGTGCCAGGAATTCCATGAAGGTTATGTGAGTCTATGGGTGCATTCTGAATATGAAATCCAAAAGCATATCTATACCTGTTACTGACAAATTTTGCATTCATTTCTAATCCATAAATGGACAATGGCTGCTTTCCAAATATTTTTTGATGGCTCTTGAATAATTGTACAGTTTTTCATTAGCACTTATGGTTTAATGAGGTAAAAATAGAGGGCTAAGGATGGCAGGAAAGTGATGGTGATTTGGCCTGTTAACTGGCTCTTTTAAAGAGCTCTGAGCTATGCTATGATTATGGTAGTTTAAATAACTATTTGATATCTCTTCTCTTTTTTTTCCAGAGGAAACTGGTAAAAAAGGAGGTAAGCATAGAAAACATTTTTTTCTTTCAGTACTGGTGTTATGAATGATATTCTATGAAAGATTTGAATCTTTTCAATGAAAGCTGTTTCAGAGCAAATTTTGGGTATTTAATAGTGAAGTGCCTAAAAGTGTTAAAGGAGGCCTTGGTAACTGGGCTGGTAGGTCAGAGGGGTGTAATGATAAGTTTGGGTTAAAAAGTCCATTTTATTGCTTCAACGTAAAATGAGCAGTTACACATTAAAAATATGGTATAAAAAACTGACTATAACCCAAATGCACACATCGCTGTATAATCATTAGGATCATGCTCATTGTGACAAGTTCAATTGCATGTGCCTATGTTCTCTGCTTCCATACAGCCTGGTAATTTATGCCGGCATACTACTAACAGTATTTTGCCCTCTGTTCATGTGAAAAGAGTCAACCAGATAATATTTTCATTCAGCTGCTATTTGTGTTAGTATTAAATTTCAGCTTGCCTCCTTTAGTTAACCTCCCTGTGATATTTATCAGTAGTTTCATCCTGGTGATTAAGAGAACGTGTTTATTGGAGATAATTTTGAGTTGTATAACTAAGATCTTGGTCCCAAAAGTCAAAATATCAGCCACCCTGTCTATTGGGTATTGAAAGATTTCCAAAGATGAAGGAGATAAAGTGAGATCTTAAATACTAAGTCACTTGTGTGTATGTTGATAAAGGTCACCCATAGAGGCCCATGCTCTATTCAACTTTATGCTTTCAGCAAAACTAATTGATGAGGAAACTCTTCTTTCTCTGTAAATTAAATGACAAGAGGACAAATTAGGAGAAGAAAACTTCTCCATTTTTATGTCCTTTTAGTGTTTGCAAGTAAATCAGCCAAGTTATGTTACATAGCCAATTTTTACACTGTCTAAGAGAGAGATTTAAAAAATATATATATTCTGTTCATTAGGTGGTCACCACTGAAGTTTGACAACAAAATACAAGGCTTCTTCAGCCTTTGTTTCTAAATAAAGGAGCTGGATGTAAGATTGGGAGACTCCTGAGGATGTTTTCTTGGAGACTACTTTTGCTTTGTATTTTGGACTGAATTGACTTTGTGGTTGAAATTAAAATGTGATCTTTGTTTAGAAGATAGTGTTTACTTCTGCTTCCTGCCTGCTGTGTACTTAACCTGTAACTCACACTGCACAGGCATGTCCACTCATCCGAGATCTGAGACGGGGGGAGATGAGGAGGGACAGAGGATGTATTGGAGGGAATGAGCTCTAGTGGCCGAGTTGGGAAAAAGAATTAAAGAGAAAAAACTCAAAATAGAGATATTAAAAAGAAATAAAAGATGGATAAGAAATTAATGATGCATGGAAGGAGCCTGGATGTGCGTGTTTACTTTCTTCACTGTTTTCCAGACTAATATGGCATACAGGTCAGAAGATTGGAAAGAAACAATTTCTATCTTAAATGAAGCTTTGTTCATCTCGTTTTAAAGATTGTGAATTTTGTTGAATATTGGTATCTTGTTGATTGGACAGTGTAACTGGAGTGGTTATTTCCTCTTCCTTTTCTTTGAAAAATGGGTCTGCTAAGTGATGGGGAAAAAAGTTAGGGATGGCCTCTTAACTCTTGTGTGTTTAAAGGGTTTGGGAGACCATTTCTAGTAGTGCAGAACGGCTCAGAATGCGTAACATTTTTCTAAAGCATGAGAAGTCGTCATTCGGTCGTCAGCACGCTCATCAAAATTTGCCAAAGGGGAAGATTTGAACTTTTTATGCACCTATGAAAGTTAAGAATTATTGATGAGTCTTACAGATTCCTTTAAGTGAGGTTTACATGAATACATTTGAGGAAAAAAAGAAAGAGACATTCAAAGCAGAGAAACAGAAAGTTTTTGAAGTCACATCCAAGTCACTCACTCAACGTCTATGTGTTCAGTGGCTTACAGGGCCTCAACGAAGTCCCTCCAAATCGCCCTGTTTTGGGACGAAGACGATACTAACGTTCTTTATCTCTTCTAATGGTGTTCTCCATGTTTTTTGCGTCTCTCGTTCATCCTTAGTACATGTCAGTACGGTTCTTGCGTATGCTCATTTTTAGCAGATGGCCAAGCCATTTCCACCTTCGTCTTGTAAGATGGTTCTCTTAGTTTTTTGCCCTGTGGCTTGAAGACAGTCTGACAGTGGAGATTTTATTTAGCCAGAAAATTGGCATGATTCTCTTAACCCTTACACCGGAACATCAACATGCATTTTCTCCATAGTTGTTCTCTATACATTTCCTTGTCTTCCTCAAGTCCTGACGCAAGACAATCGAGAGCTCCTTTTTCCTTTGTTGGTGATCAGTTCATTTTTTTCTCGAGACCTTTGTATGATTCGGAGATGATATTGCGAGGGAAAATTAGTCGGTCTTAGGGGTCAAAGAATTCAAACAGGTGGCGTGGATGGTAGCAAGCCGGCACTCTGATCCAGTACCGATATTGTATTACTTTTATTAGCAGTACTCTGAAGAGCCGAAGTTTGTGGTTGTGGTAGTAGGGGCTGGATATCCATGTTGATCTAATGTGGACAAAAGCTGTCCTTGATTTACCTAATGAAGTGGCTGCTTCTGTCCCACCGGCCTGCGAAGGTTGATGACATTATCTAAATAAGCGAACTTGTTCACAAACTGTAGTGTTTAGTTGCTCACACATCCAGGTAGGAACTTTTGAAACTTCTTTGAATGGATGTAAGGGGTGAAAAAGCATCAAGACTCCGCTTTCAGGCCAAGGCAAGATATTATCTCTTGACGTGGGTGAATACATCTAGAGGATATGATATTATCATATAGACTAATGTGTTATACAAAGATTTTCAGCCCTGAGAAAAGCCGTAACACGTGAAAAATACGTTATTTTTCACGTGTGTTTGATATAGCCACCGTTAGTCACCTTCCGACACGTCAATCGCCTCTCGTGCCACTCGGTCAGGTCGATAAATGAACGGCGAAGTCTTCACCGTTGTTGTCGGAATTTTCTCGGATTATGGCTGCTAAAACACTGAAAAATCCGTATCTCTTACAAACAGTGACATTCAAACTTTCCTAGAAGGCGAAGAAAACCAAAATACATAAGAAAAACCGAAAGTTATGTATTCAGTGGTTTTGGGAATGGTATTTCTCGCCGCTGAGAATGAAAATCGACAACTGGAAGATTTGCCCCAACTCAATTTTGGGTGTGTACCCGAAAGATTTCTCCTGTCGGTAAGGAAAAAGTCGATAACTGAGAATTTGATCATTGAAAATTACGCCCATTGTTGTTTTCGTTAATGATTCAAGGCGTTTTTCATCTTGAGCCCTAGCGCCAACACGGTTTTTATTCGGGGACTGTCGATCCTTTTACTTTCAGTCGTAAATAAAGTCGACTTTTCTTATCATTAAAGGGCTATGCGTTTATGTAATAAACAAAATAATACATGGTTGCTTGTAGACATGGAATTTCTCTTCTCATTTCGACTCGACATTGCACCCGCTCGCTGCGCTCACTCGTGAGCTATCGAGTTGAACACTCGAAGAGAGATTCCATATCGACGCCCGCCCATGTATTATTCTCTAAATTTATTACATAATAAAGGTGTCTGGTATTATGAAATGAGTTGATAATGTGTATTGGCCACCATAACGACTTTCTTAAGCTGACTTTTCGAGCGTTAGCTCTTCGTCAGACAAGGGGCTAACGCTCGTAACGTCAGCTTTGAAACTCTTAACAGTGGCCAATTCACATTATCACCTCAGTTGATAATACCAAATTACTTTGTCATACTCTCCCAGAGATGTAGCACCACAGTTTCTCTTGAAACTTACCCTTCATATATTATGATATAGTCGACTTCTGACTTGAAATATCTTCTGAAATGAAGAGAGGGCTGGGAATTCGTTCATTGTGAGTCGACGGCCAAAAAAAAATGATAAAAAAACGAAGAAGGAATAAAGTTTTGGTCGCTCAGTGCAAGGCGAGGCCTTAGCGTTGGGGGAGAATTTGAACGACATTCTCCGTAGACTATGAACAGTTAGCTGTCTATCTGATTTTAATGGTGTTTCCGAAGTGAAATTCAAGTGTCTTAGGAATTTATCTACTTACAGTAACCACATAATAATAACCACTCGCACACTTAGGCAGTAATTTAAGTCATTAAAGGAACTCTCAAACTTTGATTGTCTTGCTACGCGAAAAGCAGACGTACGTTTGACAATCAGGATTGTTAGTCTGTTAGGTTCTCCTTCAAATGGGAATAAAAAGGAAAAAGATGCCAGAAGGATGGCTTATTTGGGGATAAACTCTGAAGAACTATAAGGCAACGATGCATAAGCTGAAAACTGAATTGCCCTTTTAAAAGACGGATTCTTTTATAACTACTGCTGTTATAAGAATTTAAGGAAGATTTCCAGTAATAGAAGATAAATGATTTCCAGCCCTAAAAACAACAAAATAAATTATTCCATTTAGCCCCTCGTATGTTGGCAGACTTAATCACAGAAAGCCCTTTAATTTACCTTGTAACTGGTGCAAACATTTAAACCTGACATCAAATATAACCTTCAATTTATTTCATTTGTTTTGTTTACTCTTTTTTTTTCTGTTTTTTCCCTTTTTTGATAACTTGTGCTGAAATTTCCTTCCTCCTAATTAATTGGATATCAGCCTTCCCCGCCGATAAATTTGCAACGTTTTGGGCTTCATGTTTATAAAGCGACATAGAAATATATTTACTATGCGTAAGGTGTAAATAAATAAAATACAACAAAACTTCCGCACACGTATGTTCAGCTCTTACACCGCAAATACCGAATCCGGGTTTGCAGTTTGGAAATGTAATTGCGTTTAGTGAGCCTATCAAATGTTTCGGTTGTGTTGTTCATATATAGATTCATTGTCAGCATGCACCTGTTTGGTTTAACTGAATGCCATTAACTTTATGATAATGTCTTGTCTTGTTTTTTTTTTTCATAGCTTAGTTCAGGCAGTTAAATCATAGAAGTTATAATCGAAACTCTGGGTTTAGTACAACTTTTGATGATCTTATATTTCGCTCTCACTTTGGAGTTGTGAAAGGCATCTGTCGGCACATCATACGCAAGAAATAGGAATGGTGCTTAAATCGATGAAAATCCACGTTTTTTCAATTTAAGGTTAGCTTTTAAGCGAGTTGTATGAATCTATTTGAATTGATTTCTTTTGACTAGTCATTAATTCAAGGTAAGGGCGGACTGACACGATTTTCTAACAACGGACCCGCAAAATTTGCATTGCTCCATTGTCCTACTGTCGCAGTATTTGTACTTTGAAAATTAACGACCACACGAAGTCGAAATTGGTCAGAACGAAATTCGTCCGCTCGCCTTCACTGGTGTGTTCTTAGTTTTTATGGAAAAATATCGAAACTTGATTCCGAATAATCATCTGCAAAATTAGTTTTGTTATGTAAAGGTGCGAGAGAACCAACAAAAAGATAGCTTCGATTTGGAAAATGGAAAGCCCTATGATGTTGCTTACACCGGAGAGTTCCGCAAATATTGGCCGAGATATGGAAGGAAAAGGCGAATCTCCAGAAGCTAGCCCGCCGATGGAGGTCGGCAGACGAAGGGGCTCCAACTGCCGTCTTCCAAGCTTAGCAACATTGGTGAGAAATTCACTTATTATATAACTACTTTTTGAAAAATCAATATGAAGAACTCTACAGACGGAGAAGCACGCATTTTAATTGTTGCAAGACTACTCTCTGACGTTCATTCCAATCAGAGATTTGTCAGGAAGCGGATTTATCTTCATTTATCATTTTCGTTGAGTGCTTTGTGTTTTTTTTTCTCTGAGCTCGCTCTGCAAAATGCTCATTTAAGTAGTGAAATAAATTAATTTGTGTGAATATTATTTCAGCTACATGTTACGTATGAGGCTCAATGTGCCTAAGTTGCCTCTTTTTTTAAACCCTTTGTGAATGAAAATTCGCAGTGAACGGTCACGTCATGATCGCAATACTACACCATAAAAAAAATTGTTTCATGTGTTTTTCCAAAATCATAAACATCGCATTATGTTTTCTAATGCCGCAAGGCTTCTCGATCAAAATTCAGCCTAAGCCATTTTCATGATCATACGCGTGAACAGATCTTCGACAATTTTTGGTTTCGTGGCCATTACAACTGGCTTAATGACAAGAGGAAACACCTCCGCGGCGAAAAGGACGGAACCTGGCAATTGAAGCAGGAGGGTTTTTAGAGAGCTACGATGAGGCCATAATTAAAACTGGCCTCAGCGGTTTCGGTGGAAATACATTAAAATTATAACTGAAACATGTAGATTTATCTGTTTTTGCAAGAAGAAGCTTCCTAAGCTGTGTAAAGAAAGGGCAGACAGACCTCAACGGCTGTATTTGAACTTAAAAACAATGCAGCTTTCCGTGCAATTTTTTTTAAAAAGCTACTCATTGAAAAAAAGCTTTATGCGATCAAAGAAATATTTAACAAATTTATAAACAGCGGCTCAAAAACCAAAAATAGTATCCATTACATTTGCGCTAATTTGTTAGTGTAAAAGCGGTTTATCGAGAATGTGCTCCGGAAACTGGAAGGAAACGCGAATGTAGCGAAGATTCAAACAACATTGGCCTACACAGAGAGGTTTGCTTACGCTATGAATTAAATTTTTACTTGAAAGAAGGAAAGTTAACCAATATTCAGTAAAAATTCCTTTAACATGCAAATGCTTTGTTGGTTGCGACATGCATACATGTACTTACATCACTTCGTTCTTTTAATACACGCTGTGAGGAGACAAGATAGAAAGATCCTTTACATAATGACCAATATGAATTTGAAAAGAATCTCATAATCAAGGGAAAGCTGGAAAAATTTTGCAAAAGCAAGGGTTGTTTGATTTAATATCAGGATTTCTTTCAAGGAGAGTTCCTTTACAAAGGAAAGGGAATGGTTTGACCAGAAAAAAATTTGCAGTCTCACTACAAGACATTTTTAAATTTCACAGTTTAAAAATCTCGTCTCTTAGACTCGTCCGCTGCTTTTCGAATCTTGATTTATTGTTTTTTTCGGAACTTTCTCGCACAAGTGACCTTTTAAAGATGATGATTGTCTCCAACCCGATAATCACAGGTTAACTTGAAAAAAAATCATATAAAGACCAAAGCGCAAAAGCTTTCTTAAGAAACCACAGTGACTAAGATTGCCGTCGTTCTTTGTTCTTCAAATCACATGATGAGAACTTCCCAAAATCGTGCCTTGAGTTTTAACGGCTCAAATGGATTCGGGCTCGCCGGAAAAACAAATACAACCATGTTACAAAGTATTGCAGGTTAACCTTTCTTTTTCCAGATTAGTCAGTGATAAGTTACGGAATTTGTGAACTACTAGTAAGCTAGAAAACTCTTGAAGAAATAGAGAAGTCGTTTCGTAGTTGACCTGGCGCCGTGGTAATTTCGACGATCGGTAATCACCTCGCTCACTAGTCTTTGCAAAAGTCTTATTCACTCAACTTGATCGAACCTTTGTTGATATATTTTGAAGTTACAATTTTAAAATGATACGTAGAGGATTAAAACACATAAATTATTCTCAATCGGTTCAGATTTTTCATTTGATCCCAAAAAACTCTATCAATTTCAACTGGTCTTTTGAGTTCTTTGACCCTTCCACAAAAATTCCTCGCTTAGAATTTTTAGTTAACCGTTCCAGTTGGTAGAGGTGATTTTTCAAGTATAGCTCGGAGATTTTAAGTGTTATATCAAGGCAATACCTTGTGGTTAACAAGTTTGTCTGTTCCTGGATTAAGTTTTCAAATTGAGAGAATAATTTGATTACATGTTATATACTTTACGGACCTAAAGAGGTGAAGGCTGGGTTGTCCCTTATTGAGATACGAGACTCTTACTAAAGTGGATAAGAAAGATAAAGTGGGCGACTTGGTGGCTCAACGACTACCTCACGTTTTCCTTAAATGATAATTTGGTTTTATCGACTGAGTTGATAATGTTTCAAAGCTAACGTTTCGAGCACTAGCCATTCGCTCTGACGAAGAGCTAAAGCGTTGATAAAACCAAATTATCTCGTTATTCTACCCCACCGACGCAGCACCACAGTTTCGTCAAAAACCTTCCCCCTTTATTTACTAGGTTCTTTCCGTTTAAATGAAAAATAAATGAAAAAATGAAAAATAAATTAAAACCTTTGATTGAATATAACTTAGAAAAGATAAATATAAAAGGAATTGAGTCCTTTAGTCATGTTTCAAGACTTTTCCAGTTTAGCTATGTCAAATTATTTAAACATTTTTTGACAGATTTTAGAGAGTTCGTTCTAATCTCTTGTCATTCTCGTAAAAAAGGATGAAAAGTTATGAGACTGATGGAAACATAGTCCTATAACGATCAAATTAAAAATAGAATATGTTGTTTTCCACATTTTTAATTCAAGTTATTTGAGAATTCGCTCACACATTGTCCAAATCAAGCTGTTAAGCTACACATGTGGTCCTATTGGAAATTTTGTTTTTCTGACTGTTGGGGTGTATTTCGGTTCAATGGTTGAGTCGCTTCACAGTTCGTAGGTGTATGTTCATATCCTGGCCACTTGCATTGCTTTCATTGTTTATGAAGTGTATTTGTGAGTAGAATGTATAATTTGTATTTATTTAGAATAAATATACGACCGACTTAGTGTGGTTTTGGCCAACATCAAAGAAAAAAGGTTAGAGCCGTTGGACTTCGTTTCAATATCACCTGGATATCTTTTCGAGAGAAAAGTGAAATGCACCACACTGATGCTGCAAAAATTGTGTCAAATTCGTTTCATGTATATTACTTAATTTATCTAATTTACTGCATCGAGATGATATCAGAAACTTCAAGTTATTTCGTTTATTTGTATTCCTAAACCGTGGAATCAGGTAAAATAAAGAACTTGACAGAAACTAAACCGTTAACTTGACTGTAAATTTGGAATACGTTATTCCCCCTTGATCCAGCGTAACTTCATAGCTTACCAAAATTTAATTCATCAAATTCGGCAAATAAAATATGGCAGATAAATTAATGCACGAATTAGATAATCTTCCCGTAATTCTTACATTTACATGTATCCAAATTGGATCTTTTGTGTGGTTACAATTAGCATGTTTTAGTGGTACCTAGCAAAAGATTTCTACATTCATTTATTAAAAATGTTGAAACACCGTATGGTAAATTTTCCATTTGCTTATCAAATTATCTCCTTTCATGATATTAACTAATTTTTCATATTTTGTGCTTATTTCACTCGTTTTACGTTTTATTGTAAATGTCAGTTTTTCTTATCCAAGTGGTACACATTCATAAATAAAATCGTGAACTCACAACATTTGCTGATTAAATTTTTATTGGCAATTTCATTTCTTTTGGTATTTACATGTAAATCACAAATAGAACTCAAGTTTATTGTCAATCAACTTTGCTGATACAGAAATACAATTTCAAATATTCGTATCATAAAGCAAGGGTAGCCTAATTGAACTCCTATTCGTAATGGTTATTATTATTGTTATTTTATAAGTCTGATCGACTGGTTTAATTTTGACATATTGCTTTGTTCAATGCGGAGCTTGATTTGAAACACATCAAAATGCACATGAGGTTATATGCATTATTCATACTTCCGAAATTAGTGCATTTTTGTGAGGAGAAATTCACTCCATGATAGAAGATATTGATCGGCAGTTTTCTTTCCGCAAGCGAAGTTCGACTATTTTGTGAGAAGACACGTTGCTTTTACTCGCTCAAGTATTGTCAGACTACACAGACTTCGCGCGAAATGAGCAAGCAGCGTTGAAATCAAGATGCAATCTTCCCTGGGGACGTCTAGCGGTCTGAGAGTCGAATCTTTTTTTCCCGCATCAGAGAACGAAACAGACACTGATAGCGACTCTGGTGCCTTTTCAAACAATCGAAGTCGAAGATCAACAAACGAAGAAGGAAATCGACTCTCCACACCAGAACTTATTCGACACGCGTTCAATCTAGCCGTGATAAAGGTACGATTAACCATAACAAACGAACTGAATCAATCGTTTAAACTCAGTCCATGACGGTGATCTCGAAAGCTATAATTTTAAGTGGTGGTCGACTGATAAAATTTCATTAAATCTCCTCATTTCTTTCAGGTTCTTTCGAAATTTCACATAGAATGAATTTTATTTAAGAGCTAATTTCATATTTTCATCTTTATTCCTGATCTATTCCTGTTGATTTTGAATGCGCACTTAATCAGCGCACCTGCAATAACCTTTTCGTAATAACACAAAATTTTTTGAATCGAAAGACTGGTTAGCGCCCTAATTCTCACATTCCTTACATCAGCACATCATTTTTTAGCACTTTTCATATTATTTATTTATTTTTTGTGAATTTCCCCCTTCATACTTAGCTTACATTCTTTCCATCGTATAATATTGCCGTTATAAAAAGTGACTTTCTGCCAAGGGTTTTCTTCTTAATTTCCGCTATTTCCATTTTAAAGATTAGTGACTCAATACAACAGCCTTTATTTGACAAAATCCGGAAAACTGTGCATTTTCAATAACGTGGGTTCACACATTTTAGTCTTAGCTGTCATGTAATTTATGTGCTAGACCTAAAGCGCACTTAGGAAAAAAAAAACGAGAACTTAAAAAATTGCGTCTTGTGGATTTTTAAACGACTCTATTGTCTACTTGAAACATAGTCTGTCCCATTTTCATAGAAATTTCATCTGAACCATCTATGGACAATCAATCTCATTTCGTTTTACGTAATATATTGTTTAGTACAGGTTACCACCAACTTAGAAAGAACAAGTCCGTTTCACAGCTGAATCATAAATGTTTTTTTATTCGTTAGGCGGCAAAAAGCCGTCAGCTGCAAAGCTTACTGTAGTTATTGAGATAAGAAACGTCAAATGCACAATTTTTCATCTGCGCCTCAAAATGCATAAACAACGCATTCAACTTTCAAGATTCTTCAGTGAGATCGAATCAACGCTTTTAGAACGCGAAAGTTAAGTGACACATTTCTTAAGGATTGAATCAAAGCAAAAACAGACTGAGACAAATTGCAGCCTGCTGTGACGGTGAAAAATCAATTACAGATTCATTGAGCGACAATTTTCGTAATAAAACCTAAGATATAGTTATACGCTTGGAGTGACTTCACAAAATATGCTTAGTACTTTACATTTGTGCGCGCAGTTCCCGCGAAAAGCAAACCATAATGCGCTGTTTGCTGAAAGAATAAAATTTTAAACCAATCCAAGACTTAAATCTACTGCTGATCCATAGAAACAGCTTTGAAGATATATTTCCAGGGCATAAAATTATCCTTTTTTTTTATTTCCAGAGGCATAAAGCTGTATCCTTTTGTTTTCATTTGATTTCATAAGAGCCATAGAAAATGAATAAAACTCCTTAGGGTTTTTACATATTGCTCCGACTCCCGCTCTGCTTTAAAGAAAAATTTGGCAACTCTGTTGAAATGTTAAGATCATCTCATAATGTTACATAATAATATTTTTGGTGCTCGTAATTTCTCCTTAAAAGATCAGGTTTGGTTTTCCTATTTTCCCTTCAATCTTAGCGGGTCAAATTCAATTTACCAAGGTCATAACAATGCAAGGAAGAGAAAAAAATTGTAATCTAGCATAGTGAAAATACTGTTTCATGAATTTTTTGCTAAAGATATAACGATATCGTTTGGATTATTCATAGGTTACCGAAATTTTCATAATGTATTTAAGAGAAATTTAGAAATATGTATGGCTTTTCTGGTTGGGCGCTTTGTTTCAACGCTATCACTTGAAACAATATTCACTTGCCTGCCAGAAATAATCCGGTTTACAAGTGTTTTAGCTTGAATGATACATTCCTTATCAGCAAAAGCGAAAAGAAAATTTTCCAAAATGGCGGACGATTCTTTACGTACTTTGTGGAAATTTATATTGAGAAGATTCTAGTTTCGTTTGTTTTTCAAACAAACATAAGAAAAAATGCGATAGTTCCTTGAAATATTTTGAGGATATTACGAAAAGTTTTTGATAATTAATGGAAAAATATATTTTAAAGGTGATTTTGCACGTTATTTGTCGACATTAGCGAAAAGCGCGTCTGCATAACATTAATTTTACTTAACGTTATCGTTAGAAATTGAACTTGTTTTAAACACGCGACCTATAGTCAAACTCCAATGACACGGTTTTAGCTGTAAGGGAGAAGTGCTTGGTGTGAGTGTTCATTCAGGAACACTACTATGGATTTTGCAGCATTTTCATCAAATATCAAGTAGGATCGTTTAAATCTCTTTATAGTTTATAAATAAAGAACTTTAGATTTCTTTGTAATTATCTGAAAAAATGTTATAGATTTCTGCTGTTCCCGTTTCAAGGGAGTTGAAAAAGTGACTTAGAATTTGAACTTTTCCTTTTTATTTGATTTGCCATTCTTGGTCCAGTTTGGCTATTTCTAGCAAGGTTATGACGTCACGAGTCATGTGACCATAGCGAACCAATTTCATTGGCTGAAATATTTCTTTTTCTCCTTTTCTCTTTTCTCAAACAACGAAAAGAACGATGAAGATAAATAAATTAATTCATCAAATTCCTTGTTTAAATCTAATCAGCTAACTTATCTGATCAAATGATACCAACTGATGCTGATGAATTACTAACGAAAAGTGTCGTCAAATAAAATTCAAGCGGGAGTTGAGGCGATCGTGGCAATCGTTGTACACATGCCCAAACATCTTGGTTCATTTCTTATCCTCTTTCGTGTTTTAGAATTTTCGACACGTCCTCATGTGGCCGTTGACTTTGGTAAACGTAATTCTTTTGTTTCATCCATTTTACGGCTTCCGACCAACAGGAAAGACGTAAACAGATGTTTTCAAGTTGCGAGCGTGATCAGTGTGGCTGAAAACTAACCGAGTTCACACACTCGTGTACTACCTTGGGCGAACATCAGCGACCTAATAGCATACACTTGTTACAACCCGTTTGATATCAAATATCTAAGTATTTCGTTGATGATAACGTTAATTTTCGATTGTTGAAAAGTACTTTATCATGCTTAGATTCAGTTCGTGATCTTTTATCATTTTCGGTTATCATACAGTCACGTCATATTTAATGTGCCTCTGTTTGAATACTTTTTCAATAGTTTACATTGATGCACGTAAAGTGCTTTGGTGGATGTAGTCAAATGATGCTGCTGTTTCGTGGAGGACATGAAATTATGACTTTTTTTAGCGCACACGGCAAACTTTACATTTTATTATAAACCTATAGAGACTTAAACAGGGATGAAACAGAGATTAAACTCTCCTTTTTCGGTTTTTCACAGCTACCTGTCCGTAAGCCATCACTGAACTCGAGCGGAAACAAGTGGAATTAAATTGGGGAAAGGATTACTCTTGCCTTATGCGCATCTTTAAAAATATTTACAGAAGTTTCTACAATTTTATCGGGACTTTGTCAATATTCTATATTCTAGTCATTTCGTTTTCCTTTCCATTCTAGGGTTTTCTCCGATGACAGCCTACTTAACGGAGATATAATCTTAATATTGAAAGGCGCTCAAGGCGCCCCGGCAAAAGCGCTTTTAATTTGAAGACAGATGTTGACGGAACTTTTCATGCGCCTTGACAGCTCACTGCATTATTCTAAGACCTGGTTCTTTAATTTGAAACAAAATTATTGCGTGGATTTAGTTATAGGGAGAGAGAGAATGAACAGTTTTTAGAAGAAATTTCTTTTGCAACTGACTTTTTCAAAGGAGAATTGATAAAATACTCTCTTCTGAAACCAGTTTCGCTCTGATTTTTACTGTCACTGAAACACTGAGGTGCTATCATCCTAAATAAACATAATCACTATTTCTCTGCTTTTACTGCAATAGCTTTAGGTATACAAGTCAATCCTTAAGTGACAGATTAATTTGTTTGCTAAGAGACGAATGATCACTAAAAACAACTGAAGTTCTTCTATAAATGCTGACGGATTATTGCTTCTATTAAATATAGTCCAGGAACAGATAATAATTTGTTTCTGGTAGATCATCGCAGATTTGGCTTTAAGCTTTGAGGCCGACTTAAATCAATAAAGACGGTGTTTTTCTTTTTCCAAGTAAACCGCTAAAAGCTTGCTATTTACCCACCATTTTTACCAACAATGAGATTTCTGTTGTACTAGCAAGTGTCATAGGTTATGTTTTATTATCGGAACTGAGGTGATCTTTTTTCAAACTAAGGTTCTATTTTCTCTAACTGTGGTCAGATCACGTATAACACTTGAGCAGAAGACATTTCTCTCTTTCAATGGCAAAATAGCTTAGAGACAAAAACTTTATTTTCTAGTATATCAAATTCATTCAGCTCCACTGTTCTGCCAAAAGAAATTTTGATATGCTAATTTCCGTCCGATGCAAGTAGTTTAGAGATGCAAATATGATGTGTGAAAAGTAAATAAGAAAATCTGCCTCTTCTCCATTGGTCAACTTTATGAAAAATGAGCGTGCCTAATTTCCGCACAAAAAAAATTTGACGGGTTTCTCTGAAGAAAACGCTTCTTGCCGGGAGAAAATGTCTAAGCTGCGTACAGCGTAAAACACACACAATCTTTCCTCAAGTGAGCAACACCATTTTCAGATTCGGAATTGAAAGGAAAAGACGAGGATATAAGGGATAAACTACGTGTGAAAAACGAGGAATTAAGATGCTGAATTTAGAAAATGGAACATGCTCGAGAACGCGCACTTCAAGCTACGATGCGAGAAACGCGAGGGAAGAAAACTGGCAGACTTTGGCTCACTTTGTACATTTTCGGGTAATTTAAGTTTTTTTTTTTTCATATCTTTGTTACCAGCATATTTGTTAGCAATTTTTATTGGGGACCCTTCAGTTATTCGAAAATCTAGTCTATGTTTACTTTGGATTTTTCGTTCTCTGTCTCTTTAAGGGCTGAAACTCTCCTAGAAATGATCACTATTTGTAAAGTGATTTCAGATTAGTGATATAGAGAACAGAATAAAAAAGAAATAAGGCTAACGGACTTGAAAGAAATTTTTCTTCCCGCCTTTGCTTATGGCACAATTAATTGATGTACAACGCGGTTAATTGTGGTAGCTAGGAATGTCAACGGAAAAACGAAAAGTTATCATTCAAAGATTCATTTGATTTTAACATGATGAAAACGAGCTTCAGAAAATTTTAACCGAATGATCCAAGACTACTCTGCCGTTAAAGCGGCGGATGAAAATATAAAATATATGTTTTTCCTGTAATTGCTTTACATCCGTTTATTACAAGGAGACTAAATTTTTAGCGGCATATTTTGACATATGTAACAGTAATTTTTAAACACGGGAAAGACTGATGCTTCAGAAATAATTCATCGTCCCTTTTACTGGTATTTTCTCGCCGGCTCTTTTCGTTTACACTGAATTAGAATAACAAAATAACGGCGACAGGTGCTTATAGAAGAAGTCTCACCGATAAGCTGTGTTCGCCATTATTCATCGGTGTGAGGCAGCTGTTGAAAATTAAGCTGGGTGTTTGACGTTTACATAATTATATTTGGAACTGTCAGAAGGGTTGAATATATTCGCTTAGTACTCAGCAATCTCCCGCTGATTTGCTGTAAAGAAGCGTTTAATGGCTAAAAAGGTGATTTAATAAAACAATCTAATTTGGATGAAGGAGACTGAGACATTAAGGTTAAAATGGAAGTCTTAATGACTTTTACCAAATTGCGAATTTCGCGCGAGGTCTACACTCTCTCACTTCTCGCGATAAACCGGCGGCTTTGTTTTGGTTATTTTCGTTGTATCTTTTGGCAAGAGCCAACTACAGGTTACGCAGAGACATGTTTGAAATATAAGTAATGAAGTAGAAATTTACCATTTTTATGAAAAACTACCACTAAAGATTTCCTCTGGCCTCCTTCTTTATCAATCATATGCAAAAGAAAAACCGAGATTTTTTGTTACTCGTGTTTACACACGACACAGGCAGAGTGTGAGTGATTACTTTCACTTTTGGTCAGCTTCTGCTAGTATTTCAGTTGCTTTGTTCCGTTTGGATCTTGTGATTACAAGGCCCTGGTTTTCGACATTCAGTCGTAAACCGCCCATGACTTGTTCCTGCAGAATAAAATTTTTTTAAAAATTTCAACTTTGCAGGGAAGAATCAATTTACGGTTTAACAATCGAGATCATCATGGCGGGCTTCATAAAGCTGTATTGAATGGGAAGGAGGCTGACGTAGAGCAACTTCTCTCCTCCGGAAAAGGTAACTGAAAAAATTGTAGTCTAAGTTATTGCTTATCTGGATGGGCTGTCGATTTGATCGCGAGAGACAGGTTTGTCAAAGTAATGAGCCAGCTTTGGATGAAAAAGGATCTAGTTAAGGTCGGAGACGAGGTAAAGCAATCGCATTGGACTGCGGGTCGAGAAGTTGACGTCGCTGTGATGTGATCTTCAACAAAACACTTAACCTTCAATGTGCCTATCTCCACTGAGGAGCTTAAAAAGGTACCGGCGAACTGTACGAGGAACCTGACAAAATTTTACAATCCCATCCAGGGGGGAAGGGTGGGGGAAGCAATACCCTTACCTGCTGAGTGATGCACATGACTCAGGAGCAGACTGCTTTCATTGTTGAATCTTGCAAAAGGTCGAGATACGCTTTGTTTGTAAATTGATAAACTTCAAGTTCTTTGTCAACTTCTTTCCCCTTGGATGTAATTTCCATCGAAAACAATTATAGAATGTAAACTTTATGTTTGCAGAAGTTACATCAATTTGACTGGGAAGCTGATTTTGATGCATTTTGTGTCGTCAAGTGAATAAGTGTTATTGAATCAGGAATTAATAAATGCAATCAATCATAGTAATAACGAGAGCAATTGCTAACCTGTTCTATCATGATAAATTATTATCTCACTGCTAATTTTCTCATAAATTACGATTGCCATCTAAACCAGTAAAAGACTAAAGGAGCTTAAATCGGTATTTTTTATGTAATAAACATTTCAAAGAGCAAAAACACACTCCATGCTCTATTTGCTTTTTATATTGCATTGGTTCTTGAATAAAAAACCAACAGATCTAGTCTGGAGAACTCAACACCCGAGAAATAAATTAAGAGAGGTCTTTGCTTCGTTTTTTTGTGTTGATGTTTATGCAGACATAGATGCGCATGACGAGTATGGGAAGACACCACTGCATTGTGCCGTGGGGGCTCAGAAGCTTGATATTGTTCATTGTCTTCTCCGCTACAAACCTGATGTGGATGCTCATGACGACAGAGATGACACAGCGCTACACACTGCAACAAGGACGGGAAACTTTGATATAGTACTGGTGAGTTGCTCTACATCTGAGAGCGTTTTCTAAATTTCAGGCTTCTTTTCTGAAATTGCTAAAAATTGCCGCTGACCTGCAAGGACCATCAGTATCTGGGCAACTGCCCATCTACCCCTCCCCTAACCCAACATTAACCCTAACTTGTTATCAACTGACTGTTGTTGGGTAAGGGGAGGGTAGGTGGGCAGTTGCCCAGATACTGATATTGATCCGGATCCCAAGGACCTTTGCTTTACTTGATTTTTGATTCGCAGGTCAAATGAAATTCATTTCATTACAAATTGTGATCAGATTTTTCCACGGGGAAGAAGAACCCTCCAAAATTTTCCTTGCTTCGTAGTTCAGTTGGCATAAGCGCTCAAATAGTTTTTTTTTTAAGAATTCTTTCTACACTTGCTTAAATTTCGGCCCACCAGCGAGAATTTTTACTTTTCTTGAATTTGACGCGTGGAATTTTGGAAATGAGTTTTTAGATTCCGAGGTCACCGAAAAGCCGGTAAATGCGTTTCTCCACGCACACTATGCTGAAAATTTAAATGTTAGATTCTTTCGTTACATGACTATGTAGGCGTTGCTGCGTGAAGGGCACGCCAACCCAAATGCTGTGGGAAATTCCGGATGCAACCCGCTACACATTGCCGCTCATTTGGATCACGTGAACAGCGTCGCCATCTGTAAACTGCTGGTGAGAGACTGCATGTCGTTAAAAAAAGGTCAAGTAAAATTTGGTGACTGGGTTGATTCACCGGGAGATGTACATTAAAATACATAAATGGTTTGGCAGGTAGAAATGTTTTCAATTGTTAGATAGAACCTTGCAAAAACAACAATTCAAAGACGCGAGACCTTTCATTTTATTTAACTGGAAATTTTCTCGTGAACTTTGATTTCGAGATTAAACCCATTACTTACGTCGAAACTTATCGAGTAAGTTCAGTACAGTATTGCACCTTGACATCCTTTCTTTGAGTTAGAATTACTCGACTCTTTTCTGTCAGAGGTTTGAGTTCAAGAAATGTGCCTATCACAAACAGCGAGCAAAGAAATGACCTACCTTCCGATCGCGACGCGTAGTCGAATCCATCTTCATTTTATAACCTGTGTGTTTTGTCTGTGTTTCGCAGTTGCAATACAATGCTAAGATACTGGCACGTGACCATAAGAATATGACACCTATTGCGCATGCTGCCTTACACGGCTGTTATGACGTCATGGTCTGCCTCTTCCATTACTGTGAGTAAATCGTGTTCTAAAGTATATCCGCGTTCTTTTTCCAGATTCTCTCTCAGCGACACTTTCGCTGCTGTAAACAAACTCTTGGTTTGTTTGATTTGATGCAGTAAATCACCATGATTACAGAGTCACTGCTTTGTGATTGGCAGATAAAAATCGACCAATAATGTTAGTACTTCTTTTTTCAGCGAATGCTTTTTCTCAATTCTCAAAACACTTTTCTTTGCAGCAAAAGGTCAAGGGATTTCACGTGATGATGTTCTCTTGCATGTTGATAACACTGACAGTACATTGCTTCATCTGGCAGTAGAAAGTGGAGTCGCTAAGGTGGGGAGGGAGTATTTTCCTTTGTTGTTGTTTATCCTCTGTAACTTTAATTTTTTATCGATTTAAGTCAGGTTGGGATGAGCAGGTGGGCGAGGTTAGGAGGTTTTTTTTCTTGTTTTATTTTTTTCTTTCTTTCTGACAATTCTTTCAGCTTTAATAGATTTATCCATTTAACTCCATCAAACGAGCACTTTGTGTGCTGATCTTATTACTATAATTGGAAAATGATAATTAAAATTTTTATCATAAGTATCATTATTGATGTTATTGTTACTAATTCATAAACAGTACAATTATGTAGAGAATTTTTATCAAATTTTTTATTAATAAATTTTTATTAATAAGTCATCATGTAATAACTGATAACTAAGCACAGAAGAATAGACCATTTCTTTAACAACTTTTTGTATATTATACTATTAACCGGCTTACGAAAGAGAGTCTATCAAACCATGCTACCAACGAACTGTGGTAATTAGCTGAAGTTTTACCCATAATAAGGCGCAGATTCTTTAGCTGAAGAGCCAAAAAGCTTCTCAGGCTTTGATAACTCATTTATTTTCATTACAGGTTGTCGAGCTTTGTCTTGAAGAAGGAGCAGGACCAAATGCAGTGAAGGTAAAATTTTTATTTACTATAGGTATATTATCAGAATGCTTTTTGAATAAGTGTTGTTGAACGACGGCCAATCGCAATGAAGGTCAGTTAAAAACATAGGCGGCGTTTGAGATTTAAAAGAAAAAAAGTCGTAATTAATTATCAAGGTTTTTGTTGTTGCTGTTGGTGCGATACATTCATACTTGATTGTATGGTGGAAATTTCTTATTAGTTCTTTAACTACATGTTTTAACAAATAGATTGCCTGTTGACGCGCGTCTGTTTAGTTATAGATCACAGATTTGTCAAAATTTTGTAAGAATAATAAAGTGGCACACGAGGCGCAGCTAAATGTTTTACTGATGCTCTTTGCACATTTTGACGTGTTTTACGATCCATTTTATGAACAGAGGCATGGCAACATAGAGACTATTGTTTGATATAAAAAGGAGCAAAAAAATATGATAAGTGACTTCATCTACGAGTCTGTCCTCCAATAGATCATCAGTAAAAAACCAATCAAAATGCTGCATAATTCAGCTAATTATACGAAACTGAATAATACCGCAATAGATAACAATAATTCTTATTCAAATAATTTTGATCTGTGCAGAATTTATCTCGACTCTCACTTTGTATATGTTTCTCTATGCAGTCATCTGATGGCAGTACGCCAGTTCATTTAGCTTCCTCATACGGGTACATGGACATCCTTGATATTTTGATGAAGGCTGTGGCATTCATACTGGATCCGCCTCCTGATCAAGATGGAATGTTGCCCATTCACAAGTAAGCACTCTCGCCTTAAGTGTTCGTCAGTCATGCCGTAAGCGTCAGTTCATCCAAATCTGCAGACGATTCTTGGGTGACACACTGATAAATTTACCCCTCGGAGAATGTTTTCCTGAGTAGATAGATTATCAAAAAGACTTTAAGCGTCTTTAGGTACCTGTTACAGATTCACATTACGTTGAATATTTTGGCAGCAGGCGAAGTAGCTACGGGGGGGGGGGGGGGGGGGGGAGAGTGTAAAGGCCTTTTTGAAACAAACGTTTTCGCAGGCTGTGCTGCAATAAAATGCGGAAGTTATCCAGTTACATCCAGCATATTTTAACATTGTATTAGATTTAAGTGCAAGTTTAGCACCACCCCCCCCTCCTCCTCCCCCCCGTGGGTTTATGTTGCTCAGCGGTAGAGTGGTAAACCCATCAAATTCTATGTTGCGCTGTCCTCACCCTTTTAAGCGAAATAAGAGGCTTGTGCAATTTGATATTCGCGTCTCCGTTTTTAACTTTTATGAAGAAAGTTTTCGTTTTATTATTTGCTAGTTAATGCTGTCAGAACTATGGTCTTTCGTTTAGAGAGATCATAGATTGATTTTTTCGTTTAGAAAACTACATCTCCGCAGCTGAAGTTTTAGTTTGACTCCAGCATATTGTCTGAAAATTATTCGCCATGTAACTGACCTAATTACATTCTCACAGGGCTGCTCAGTCAAACCATTCAGAAGTAATCTCTTACCTCCTCAAGCAGGTACGCTTATTAAGAAAAGCTGCGTTGTTTTCACAGGAAATATTAGCGGAAGTCGCGGTATCACTACTAGATATACCGGGGATTCCTTGATTTGCTTCGTCCTAAGGAGAAAAAAAGGACTGCCTGAACAAATTGTTGTTGACAGAAAGTACTATAGCAAAGGCGTCATAAATTACAGTTTATCATATAGCCGTGCTCTCTAACAAGCAGTCAGTATAATTTCATTAAGACGTTGGTTCCATCCTGGGTTTTTGAAGTGGTAGAAGCGCGGGAGAGAAAGCAAGAGCAGAGCAGGTTTGGGGGAGGCGTAAGGGAACGATCGCGATCTTGTGGCAGTAACTCCTGCCTTCAGTATATGTAATAATATGTTTTGTTTATTGTGTAGGATATGGATCAAATCAATGCAACAGACCACGAACGCCGCACACCTGTGATGTTAGCGGCACAGTGTAATTGTTTTGAGACCGCCAAAGTTCTTCTTGAACACGGAGCCAATGTGGACGTCAGAGACTCCGAAAATAAAACAGTTTTACACTACGCTATTGGAAGCTCTGATATTGTCAAGGAAATCCTCAAAGTAAGCACCAATTTCTCACATTTTAATTACCATCTTGGTTTTTCAGTAAATGTTAGGAGATAGAAGTTTTCGAGAAAGGAGTTCTTGAGAGATGATTTTTCCCCTTAAGGTTCATGGCAACGTTATAAATCGCATCCTAGGCTACAGTATTCAAATAGGACTGAAGAAATTTTATTAGAGCGGGCACTTTTCTTGCCATATTTCTCTAAAATACACTTTGGATAAGTATTTAAAACCAGATATTTGCTTCACCAGGATGTTAAAGCGAGTGCACTCATCCGAGCCAAGGACCGACTTGGAAACACCCCTCTCCACTATGCAGCGTGTAAAGGATGTGTTAAGGTGAGAGACGTGGGTCGTTTTGCTGAGGCTTTTCATAATTAGAGAAATTTTCAACTGAGGTCCCATCCACTTTGGTCGAAGGGAATTAGGAGACGCAACTGCATGCTTATCATACCCATTAATCCGGATAGATTGTCCACCAAAAACGGCAAGTTTTGAAAAGACTGAAATCACATCCTGTGTTTAATCGTTTTGGCGGCAGGTGTGGGCGGAAAAAGTTTTATCATTGAATTTGGGTGGATTTGAAATTTTGGTTGTGTTTTCTTCGTGAAATGGGAGAATGGGACAGATTTCTTTTCCCAGCAATTCACACTAAATTTTTTGCCTGATATTTTAGAAGCTTCAGTTACCCCATTTATTACACCCATTTTGAAATCACTGGTGGTCCTTGTAATCTGATTGGCTCTAACTGGTGCGATTTATTCACGAATCGCACCATTTTTGGCTCTAAATCGCATCTTTTTCCCAGCCAATAAGGAGGCTACACTAAAAAAAAAACAACGAATCGGATTTCAAGGCTTGTTTAAAGTAACCAATCAAATTGCAGGAAAGTGAAAGACAAAGAGTATCATATGACAAATTTTGCAACTTCTGTTTCCAAAACTCTTACTTCCTTTCCCCTCCAAAAATGGACGAATTAATTTCAAACCGGGTCAGCATCAATAAAATATTTGAACTGACCAAGTCCTGTATTTGTGCGATTTCAAAATGGATGCAATAAAGTGGTAATTGAACCTTGTGTCGTGCAATTTTGGTCTGAAATCATACTTGTGATTTCAAATTGAACTCGCGCTGTGCGCTCGTTCGATTTTGAAATGATTCAGCCCAAATTGCACTCGACTCATTTCAATTATCATTATTAATTCGTTTAATAGGCTTCGTTCCATTTTCCATCTCCGGCCAATGGCGTACAAATATATTAAAATGCTTTAGTAACATTCATTTAATGATAAAATAGCAATAGTCTACTTGTGATGTGACTAGGTCGTCACCTAACACTTTGTAGAGAGGATAAAATGACCAAGCGAAATAAAGAAATGTCATTGATATTTGTCTTTTTTTCAAATGCAGGACGCGTCAATCATTTTAATGAAGTACCGAGCGGGAGCTACCATCACAAATGGTTCGGGGGAGACGCCGTTGCACATTGCTGCAAGGTACCATAGCTTTGTAGAACTTATTTTCCTTCGAGTAAGCGCAATCTTCAATTGAGTGTGGAAAGTAACCCGTGATTGCAATTGGACTGCCTTGGTATTGCTTTATTTTTATACGTAATCGGTCCAGTAAACGCGCGCCATTTTCTCACCCAGTCACGTTTAATTCGAATTTCACATATTTCATGAACGATTTATCCTCACCGCACGCAGTGAAAGTGCCACTTTATCTTCATAAGTAGAGATTACAATGTAACCATAGTAACTTCTTTTATCATCATAGCGAAATAACGAAGATTAACATTTCATTTATTTATAAACACCACCAAGGTTGAATTGGATCTTTTTTTTTTTCGGACGGAAACATTTTTTTATGGAACTTACCTTGTCTATTTGTCGAAAGTCGAGGTAGCTTTCCGGCTGTGTTTCGTACAAAATTCAAAATCCAACACCTTTTTGATTAAATATTAATTCGACGTAAGAATACGGCATTATCCACCAGAACGTGTAAGGAAAATTGTTACGTAAATAAGTCCGGATCTTAATCAGGCTGCTTTTATGACGGAAAATATAAAGAAACCCGTTCCAGTTAAAGGATGATTACGCAATTAATAATATTACTTTTCTGTCCAATCTCGCTGAATGACAGAAACCTTCTACCACGAAAAGATGGTATTTTAAATTGAAATTATAAAGGCTTAGATTTGAATGAAAGTACATTTACAGAGTTTTGACTCAGTGCTAAATCTTCCAAAAAAAATAACCCATTCCCTTTTAAGTCCAGCTGTACAGTTCTTTGTTTAAGGGACATCCGTTAAAATAAAAAAAATTTTCATATAATTGTTCCGCGAAATTTTTTTCATCTATCGTCAAGTTCGTATGATGACAAGCTTTTCTCTAGATTCGAGCGCATCATTTTCAAACTATTCCGATTACGGCCCCAGTTGGCAAACCGTCCGCGAGAAAAGCGTTTCGTTGGCCGTCTTTGGAGCAGTTTTGTCTTTCGTATTATCTTCCCTGAGTATCGCAGGGAGCATCCTGTTGGTTGCAGTCATCTTAAGATTCCCACAGCTTCGTCATGTCCCATCCAATTTACTTCTGATATCACTTGGTGCCTCAGACTTACTAATTGGACTCTTGGCTCAGCCGCTGCATGGGCTGTGTGCCCTCTCAACAGAAAGTTGTGCATCCATCGTGCCTATCCCTCCAATTTTTCTTCTCTATTTCGGTTCCTTTTTGTTTTACTCGTCCTGCCTGAACTTGACCATGATGACTGTGGACCGATACATCTGCATCGTGGAATCCTTACGATATCAGACCATCGTTACAGAAGGCAAAGTTTGTCTCACCATTTTTATCAGCTGGTCAATTAGTGTTGTATTGCCTGTAACGCATTTATTTCGTTCGTTTATGGTGGTCACAATTTTTCTCCAGATAATCTTTATATCCTCTCTATTGTTTATCATAATTTTCTGTTATGCAAGGATTTTTTGCATATCTCGACGCCACAAGAGACAAATTTCGGATCAGCTACAAGCTGTAACTCAAAGAACCATAAAGCAGGACTTTAAAAGTGCAAAAACTGTTTTCCTTATCATTGGAGCAGTGTCAGTGAGTTATGTACCACTAATTATGATAAAGCTTTTTTCAGCTGCTGGCATTACTAGCGATTATGTTAAAATGATCCATCCTTTTGCCACAGCTTTTTTCCTTCTTAATTCCAGTGTTAATTCATGGATAGCATTTTTCAGATCGAGAAAACTTCGCAGTTTTCCGAAAAGGTTGTTTAAATGTGACTCTTAAAAAGCTTGGCGATATAAAAGTGCACGTTCTTATGTGCAGGTGCTTCGAGAAAGCTACGTTTCGAAAGAGACACCGAACACTGATTGGTAACGAGCGGACGCTTCAGAGAGTACAAAAATTTAAGTTCTGAGTCAAAAAAAATTATTATTACAACAACATGCCAATCACGCAAATATGACAGACAAGGATAAACATAAAATTAAAACTCTTCGAAAGGAAAATGACCTTTTGAAAAGACGACTTGGAGATTTAAGGGCAGAATTCAAATCCATCAAGAACAAGATGGTAGAGCAAAATAAAAGTCAAAGCAATGTAGCGTCTGTGTCTTTCCGGACGTGAAAGATGTGCAATTTGTTAGTGATATTTGAGATGCTTTAGTCCCGTCCAACATTGTACCATGGAGAAACGCTTTTCTAGTTTTGCTCGAAGGTTGGATCAGTTGGGAGCTGGGCATTATAAATATTACTTGTTACGTTGACTTGTAAGCTCAGTTGGTAGAGCATTGCACCGGATTTCATTGAACATTTCCCTTTCAGATTCTGTATTAATCTAGAAATCTAAATTTTAAAGGCTTTAATGTGAATGAAAGTACATTTACAGAGTTTTAACACAATGCTTAATCTTCACAAAAAATGACCCATCCCTTCTTAAGTCCAGCAGTGCAGTTTTTTGTTTTATGAACAATAAAAAAATTTTCATTGAGTGGTACTTCGGGATTTTTTTTTTCATCTATCTTCAAGTTCGTATGATGGCAAGCTCTTCTCCAGATTCGAGCGCATTATTTTTAAACTATTCCGATTATGGCCCCAGTTGGCAAACCGTCCGTGAGCAAAGCGTTTCGTTTGCCGTCTTTGGAGCAGTTTTGTCTTTCGTATTGCCTTCCCCGAGTATTGTAAGAAGCATCTTGTTGATTACAATTATCTTAAGATTACCACAGCTTCACTGACGCAAAGTGTATCACAGAATGTAATACTGACGCAAAATGCAATAATCTTAGCAAATATTTGTAAAGTTCGGTTATAATGCACGCTGTAATTGGTTGAAAGAGCTTGTTTCATCAATGTACATTCATTCAATTTTCATCTATTAAACAGACGCCTTACGCAGTTTGTTTTCTACTTTTTCTGTAAAATAACTTAGGTGTTTTTATGTGCAACAATTCGGCCGGATTTCACTGAGCATTTCCCTTTCAGGTTCTGTATTAAGACTACAAAAATATAAGCAATGGTAGCGAATTCGACCTGACGAACTATTTCAGTTTGCGAACTATTGGTTTTTGAACTTTGATGATTGGAAAGTTTTGACAACTTTGGTCTTATTCAACCGATCAGTTTATAGACCCATATCTTAGCATGTTTTACGAGGGTAAAACAAGCTGACGACACTTTTTTTCGCCTCTGAAATTATAATTTTTTAAGAAACTAAAAAAGAAACGTGAGGGGAATTTGACGGATTCTCTTTCATAAGACAAATAAAGAAGCTTTGATTGTGCTCTGTTCTGTTGTAAGGCACCTCGGAAGCGGCTAGAGCACCCTAGAATTGGAAAGAAACAATCGACTACCTCTCGTGTTTCCCCCTTACACTTCTTTCGTGCTTTAGCTGCTTCTTTGCGTCCTTTTCAGAGCAAAGGCAAGGCCTGTTTACCTATCAAATGTAATACTGACTCAAATGTAGTATTGATCGCAAAATGTAATAACAATCGCTGCAAAGGTAATAGTCTCGACGCCAAGTTTAATGCTAATGCAAAATATAATGATATCGCCGCAAAATGTAGTAAACTCTAAGCATTCATCGTATCGTAAAATGTAATAACTAAGTTGAAATGCGTATAATAATGGGTATTTCATGGCTTGTTGAGCAGTCTCATGATTGATCAGGCTTAGTCCGCTAATCAATCATTTTTCCCATACTTTATTACAACTGAGCATGAATCAGTAAAGGTTAGTGAATAGATTACTTTTCAACGCAAGATGTAATAACTTTTCTAACCAGTGAGCAGCACTCTATGAAGCGTAGCTTTGAAACAGATTTAGTAATAAATCTGTGGCCTCCAAATACATTATCTACTCGTACCTATAACGTCCGAAAAAATATCATGCAAGTTTATTATCTTGTCAAAGTACACCTTAAAAAATTATTTACCACGTGCATCATACTATGCGTAAAGGTTAAAAATAGATACATTATTTACGATTGGTCTATCGACAACTTATTTGCCCTATCTGTTAAAACTTCCTGATGAATTCTGCCATTGTCAGACAAAACGGGCAGAAACTGAAAACAAGTCAATATTATTTTTGTTCGCGCAGTGCTGCTCAGTAGTTGATCAACAAAAACGGTTCTCGTGAATAAAGTAGCTTAAAGTAAACTGATAGAAGAATTTCAAAGGCAAAGGCAAAACCTACAGCAAATCCTAATTTCGTTTTAAAACCTTTTGAATGAATTGTGTAAGTGTAAGGAGTGAATTTTCTTCAATCCTAACATTTTTTAAGCTTCTACAGTGTTAACTGGACATTAATTAACACTTTCCCTCAAAACACGCTGTTACTTACATGCCCACACCTTTGTTTGATTGTACTCATTCGAAAAAAAAAACAGCAAAAAAGCAAAAAGTAAGGAAAGTACTAAGCTCATCACCATGGGAACAGCGAGGGGTAAGGCGCGTAAAAAAAGCAGTCTGGGAAATGAAAAAATACAGTCGAACCTGTACTAAGCCACACCGTATTAAGCGGTCTGTAATCAAGGTCCCGAACTTTTCCCTTCAAAAAAGTTTGCCGTAGCCCTCTAATCTAGTCCTTTTTGACTCTACTTACCGCCCTGTATCACATTTTGTGCTAGTACATCATACGTTAGTAGCAGAATTACGTTCTTCATAATTACATTAAGCGTTAGAAAAAAAATTTACAATATTTTGTGTTTAAAAGTTATCACATTTCTTTGGTATCGAATGGTTTATTACGTTTCTCTTCAATATCTTTACTTTTTTAAAATTCATGAGAAAACACGAGAAAAGTCTGAAAATCACCTGCCGAAGGCGAGCCATTCACAAACTTTTCTTGTGTTCATCCCAAGTGGGTTATTACGCGAATAAACCGATGGAAAGTGCGGTCTATTTTCTTCATGACGTAAACTTCAATTTCTGTGGGATCACCGAGCGATAAGCGATAGGTTTTTGACCAATCAGGGCAGATGTACCTCTGTTATTTATAATAATATAAATTTTACTGATGTTTGTATGACAAGCAGAATGTTACATGTTCGCAAGTGGATGTGGATTTACCTTTTATGTTGACATAATATCGCTCGCGAATAAGCCAAGTAAACGACTTCATTTATTATGCACCTGTGCTGTTTACTTTGTTACCTATGTCCCAAATTCAATTTTTCAAGTTTTCTTTACCTAACTTTAAACATCATAGTAAATAATCATCATTTTTCTAACAAGTTGGTCAATTATAACTTATTTTTTGATATACTATAAGCGCCCTAATCGGTCAAAAACTCAGTATCGTTTGGTCTGAATCAGTGGTGCAAACAGAACAGGCTGTTCTTAACAAGGAAAACGCCTTTTTCGCCTTGACGCTTGCTTAACTCGCAATGCAGAAAATAAATACTGAAGAATTTAGAACCCCCTGAAACTCCGAGAAAACTGCCTGAAAAAAAATCCATGTTGAACGAGAAAATCAACGAATTTCGCTGAATTAGACAGTTCGTGTGCAAGTCACATTAGAGACAAAAATTGTGTTTGTGAGCACGTAACAAAATTGAAGTGATGATCATGAATCACGTTTGAATGAAAGTTTAATTCACTTATCAGAAATTTAAAAAACCTTAACATTTAAAAACGTGAGAGTTCACGAAAAGAGAGGGGATTCTTTGGTTTTATCAAACCTCGAAGATGAAATTCGTGTTCACGCGCAGCCATGAAATATCCTCTACAAAATTTTAATTAATAGTACAGCCTAGACTATTAAAAATTCACTTTTAAGTACTGACTGTCTTTATGAACAACTACCGTTCCGCCATTTTGAATCCTGTAACGCAGTTCTTTGTCTTGTTCAGACAAAGATGTTGCTATAGTGGGAACTCTACATATGTGCAACACTTATAACGCGTTTCTTTCAAGCGAGGTAGACATTACATAAACTGATCACACAGGGCGAAAGGTTGCTGTACAGGTTGCTCTATCGTCGAGGCAGAATCATGGAAAACATCTCTCAGGCCAATGACACATTGACATCAATTGCCCCCTATCTTTACAAAGGCCCCAGCTGGCAAAACGTCCGTAAGTACAGCGTTCCTCTCGCCCACTTTGGAGCAGTTTTTACTTTAGTTCTGCCTTTCTTGAGTATTTCTGGAAGCATCCTATTAATGGCAGTCATCTTAAGATTTCCGCAGCTTCGTCATATTCCATCCAATCTACTTCTGATGTCTCTCAGTGCATCAGATCTACTGATTGGACTCTTGGCTCAGCCACTACATGGGCTGTGTGCTCTCTCGAAAGAACGTTGTGCATCCATCGTGCCCATCCCTCCAATCTGTCTTCTCTATATCGGTTCCTTTTTGTTTCAATCGTCCTGCCTGAACTTAACCATGATGACTGTGGACCGATACATCTGCATCGTGGAATCCTTACGATATCAGGCCATCGTTACAGAAACAAGAGTTAACGTGGCTATAATTATCACCTGGTCGATAAGTGCCGTAATTCCCTTATTACGTTTTAACCTGTCGTTAATAATTATCTCCAAGATCCTAATGATCATCTTTCTAGCCTCTGTTTTGCTTATCATAATTTTCTGTTATACAAGGATTTTCTGCATATCTCGACGCCACAAAAGACAAATTACACGTCAGCTACAAGCTGTAACTCTAGGACGCGCTCAACAAGAATTCAAAAGCGCAAATACTATGTTCCTAGTGATCGGAGCTGTGTTAGTGAGTTATGTACCATTAATGATGATAAATATTTTATTAACTGCTGGTATTTTTAACTATGTCGTTAAAATAGTTCATCCTTTTGCCGCAACTTTTGTAGTTCTCAATTCCAGTATAAACCCATGGATAATTATCTATAGGTCGCGTAAACTTCACAGATTTTTGAAGAAACTTTTCAAAAGGCATCCTTAGAAAGTTCTGCAAGTGACATACTTGAAAAGTTCTGCGAGCGACATTTGTATATCCCCATATAATATCCAAAACGTGTTGAGACCTCAACGCAGTTGTTGAAGAATTAACGAATTTGCTTGTTTAGACAAGAATCACGTTCTTTCTTTTGTTGTAGGAGACTATCATTGTTCTGATCTAAATCATTTCTCTCTCTAATTATCGGGTTGTTTACGTCAGAAGCGAATAAGAAGTGATTTAAGGTTGGGGTAAATTGTTTCCTTTCAAGTTAGAAAGGCCTTTTGAATGATACAAACCATATAATTCATATATCCAAGCTATACGTTCCCAAAGTAACAATACCTGCTGAATTGGTTTACTCCGATGTAATCCCTAAGATTTGCCATAATGAACGAGATCACAAACCCTAAAAAGGATAGGAAAAATTACCAAATTATATCTCCCATTAAATTGTTACCTTGAATCTTGGCAGCAGTTTTTATGACTAAACTTGTTCGCAAAAAAAAAAAAAGAAAAGAAAAACACATGAAATCATTATAATATCAATAATGATTCACAGAATAAGGAACCAAAGTTTAAGTTTATTTTTATCAATACACCGAAAAAACGGTCAGAATGAAGCTTTTAACAATGATTATGTCTCTACGGATGTTAATAGTACGTACTCGCTAATCGCTTGCGAGCTGACCAATCATGCAGTGCGTGCGCAATGCACTGTTCACCTGTTTGTTATACAGCTGCATATTAATACTTGATACCGTAAAAGCTTTTATAAATATCTCGAAAACCCTCTTCGTCTCTCTAGTTTACTGATAAAATATATTTTCAAGGAAATAGAGAGCAAAACACGACGTGCGGCCAAAAGAAGCCTGGTTCACTTGTAATACACTCTCAACCTAAACTTTATACAGACCTCAATACTTCCTCAAAATCCCTAAAAATAATAATCCCTAAGGTATACCATACCACAAAGAAAAACGGTTCTTGTGAATAAAGTAGCTTAAAGTAAACTGATTGAAGAATTTCAAAGGCAAAGGCAAAACCTATAGCAAATCCTAATTCCGTTTTAAAACTTTTTGAATGAATTGTGTAAGTGTAAGGAGAGAATTTTCTCTAATCCTAACATTTTTTAAGCCTCTTCAGTGTTAACTGGACATTCATTAACACTTTCCCTCAAAACACGCTGTTACTTACATGCCCACACCTTTGTTTGATTGTAAAGCGCGTAAAAAAGCAGTCTGGGAAATGAAAAAATACAGTCGAACCTGTACTAAGCGGCACCGTATTAAGCGGTCAGTAGTCAAAGTCCCGAATTTGTTTTCCTTTTATCACCGTAATTTTCGCCTCTATAAAGCGGTCACCTCTATTGGGCAGTCGCGGTCGCCCTTGCCTGTTATTATTGTCCTCCACCTGTATTGAACGGTCACCGAAAGCTGAACCAACCACTCCAATAAGCATAAACAAAGAATAATCTTTTAAGTAATTTTTAATCCCAGCTTCTCTCTCAAAATCAAAGTATTACTAAGTAGTATTTTCGAGCTAGACTCTGTACATGATAATCATGGCATAAAGTGCCGTTATTTATCGTTTTTCATAATACCCCTAATCTATGAAACATGTATTTAACCTCTAACCTGTATTTAGCGGTCACTCCGCCATTCCCCTTGGGTGCTTTCTTAATACAGGTATTTCTGTGAAACAATAAACTGAATAACTGACGTTCTATCCTGGTAGTAATCAAAATGATCTAATTCACCTTTTGGGCTTTAGATTTCAAGTGTAGTGTCACGTGACTTTTGATGTAAACAAACCCCGAAAGTTCGGACATTGAGTCGAGCTCGCAGCATATGTCTTCAAACTTCGGCTTGGGCGATTTTTCTTAATTAACTTCCCACTTTCAAAAAAGTTTCTTCGCTCAAAATTAACATCTTTCTTTTATCGTTTATCTGATCGTTTGTCAAGCAAGTTGTCTTTTCGCTGCCGTTGAAGCAGATGCGAAGAATGTTACAGGAAGGGTTGCGGCATAGAATAATCGAACTAGTTCTGCGAACAATGATATATCTGATCAGGTATTTTCAGGGTGTTTAGTACGTAGATTAATAAGGCTCCAAATCAGGAGGCAACCCAATCAACTTTGGATTGTGTCGCAAATTTAGGTACGACTGTGTTTTCCTAACCAAATAACTGATGCTCTCTTCGTTGGTTATCAACATAACTAAAAATGGAATTTCAAAGGGCTCAAAATCTGCTTGGAGTAGTTAGAGAGTTTTTTGTATTATATATGTAGGTACGGCTGCACATCTGTTGCTAAGAAGCTGATGGAAGGACGTGGAAAGCGGACGGTTAATGGTAATGACGTTTATGAGAGAACGCCACTCCATCTGGCAGCACAACAAGGCCATGACGAACTGGTTGAGTTCTTCCTCAAAAGGGGGGCAAAAATTGACAGGTAAAAGAACAGAGTACGCCATTACGCAACTATCTTGGCGGCATAAAGTCAAATTTTCGAAACACTTGAAGCGTCATCATTTTTTATTTCGAGGGAATAGCTTTAAATTAATGGCTCCAATCAATTGACGGCATTTCTTCGTATTTTCATATAGTTCACTCAGCTAAATTGTAATTACAACTTTGACTCATAAAAAGGGTAGAACTCTTTCTAACATTGACTTTTTTGTTTCAGTGACGTACATGGTCAAACACCCTTACACTATGCGGCTCTGCAAGGATCGAAAAGATCAGCTGAACTCATCTTAGCGAGTAAGCCTGAGAGTCTGAATGTTACCGACAAAAACCAGGTATGTTCTTAAGGTGTACGTTTGGATAGTGAGCGTAGTTAGAGGAGGGGTGGAACAATTATCTCTACACTGCCATGATTAAGGAGTTACTTCATCACTTTGATTTCAACGAAAATCAGGTTGCTATCGCTTAAATTAAGTGTATGAACTAAGGGAACCATTCCTTCTTGTCCAGAACACAGCGCTCCACATGGCAGCCAAAGGTGGCCACGCAGAAATCCTGAAATATCTGCTTTCCAAATCAGAACAACTTGTGTCAGTGAATGAGAGAAACCAAAATATCTTGGATATTGCCATTGAAGCCAGGCAAGAAGCCGTTGCCATGGGAATTGTTGAACATAGAAGGTAAGGTTTGTAAAGGAGTCTTAAGGAAGGATTGCAAATCAAAAAGTGATGAGAAAATTGATTTGACAGCAACGGTTTCCCTTTATTTACATATACCCTGCATTTTAATTCTCTACTTCGAAATATTCGCGAGAATTGATAAGAAAGCTGGCAAACCTGAATTGCCCAAGGGGCTGGAGAAAGTTTTTTTAATCAACCTCGATGAGCATCGATATCTGTGTAAATGACATGTTTGATTTGTTCGGAGGCGAGTTAGTAAACTATATTAGGCATATGAATTTGAAACTTCATTTAAGTCTCCTGAGATTATATGACTTTGAATAAAAATGAACGAAACGAATTTTCTTTCTTGTGTTGGACTCAAGTATTTTGGCTTTTCCTTCTTTGAGAGGCCTGATTGGTCTTGGCGAAGGGGTTTATTTGACCTGAAAGTTTTCCAACAAGGACCTCATTTTCGTGTTCTTTTTTTAGGTGGAAAGAAGTGCTTAGAAGTACAACACACGGTTCACATACTCAGATACAGCTTCTAGTTCAACACATGCCTGAGGTGGCAAAGGTACTCACTCCTTTTTCCTTTTAAAATTTCTTTACTGTGATATTACAATCCTTTCCAATGTCCTAATCTTAGCCAAAAAGGAGTCCCCCAGTTTTGTGAATCTTTCTACGTTTTCCCTCTTACAAATCTTAAATTTTGCAGTCTCCTGCCAAATGAAAAGAGTTTTTGATGGCAACAAAAATAACCCTTTATCTAACCGATTGGTATGGCACACAGATGTGGCATATTTTGCATGACTTGCATTTTGTGTTTCAAAATTTATTTGACTATGCAACAAACAGGACCTAAATCAAAGCTTTTAACTGGAGATAAGAAAAGAACGGAGAGAGTATTTCTGAAAATCAAAGTAAGAGATTGTTTTTAGTTTCCAATACATATCTTGAAAATTGCCTTTGCCATCTTTATTAAGGATGATATCAACACCATAAGGTTTGGTTTTCCAGACCAATAACTGTGTGTTCATAGCATGAGTCTTGATTTATTGGTATTTCTATGCAGAAATTTCTCGATCGCTGTATTGTGGAGGAGGGCGATCCAGAGGACGAAAATTATAAGGTAAAAGACAGATTTTTTGCGTAATTCTTGGCTATTTAAGTCTTTAAAAGCCCTTAAAATAGTGAAATGATTTTTAGATCAGAGCAATTTTCCACGGCGTATCGATCGATCGGGTCCGCTTTCAAACTTCGTTCAGGGATTGTTTTATAAAAAAACTCGCTTCGCCCCTGAGCTCTCGACCAATTGGAAGGAAAATTGAAACTAACCGCGACTTCTTCGCTCGTGGTTTCTCACTCGCTTGTTTTTGATTCAAGTTCTCTTTAGGACCCTGTGATATTTACCCCTGTTCTCGATAATCTCTTTTTTCCGAGGGTCTTATTCGGGTACACCGATAGCTGTAAAACGGCCAAAACTTTAACCGATAGGCGTAAAAATTGACAATTTTAAACCGTTATTCGTAAAAAAAATTAACCGTAAAAAAAATTTTCTGGTGATAACATTGGAATGATGTTGACCTTTAGTCGTAAAATGGCCAAAATTTTAACCGTGAGCCGGAAAAGCCATCCCCCCATTGAGACCCAATTTTGGCTTATGTTTTTTTAAACTTTCAATCAAAATGCGCTCTAATGTTACATGCAATGCTTGTTTTTCAATTAAAAATACAATATTACTTCAATCCATTGTCTGTTTTAAACTCTCATTGTTTATTAGGTCTCGTACGATCTTCGGTTTATTCAAGGAATGCCCGATGAAAAAAGAAAAGAAAAGAACGCTAAGGAATCTCTTAGTGCTCTCCATGTAAGTATCATCATTTATCATCATGTCTGAACACAGTCTGGTTATATCCTTCCCATGAAAAATTGGCCCGCGGAAAATTCCACTCTGTCTCTAAGATGGGATGGGTGGTTTTGTTTAAGTCCTTCCATAGCTCTGTAAAGATATGCTACAGGGCTTCTTTTTGAACTCAGACGTTTTGGGAAGAAGGAAATGTTTATTTGCTTTGGGTTTTGATCGAAATACTTCGAGACGACTCAAATACGTGCTAAATCTCTCTTTTCCTTCTTCAGACGATGGTAAAATATCAACGACTCCAGTGTCTCACACATACTCTATGTTCAGTGCTTATGGACATCAAATGGTAATGACTCGTTAATTAAGAATTGAACGAATTCGTATATTTCATCTCAGTCTATATTACTCAGTCTATTAATCTAACTTAAAATGCCACCACAACACAGTGCATTAATAGCATACTTTTTCGGTTGTGCCTTTTCAACAGAATAAGTGGAACTTTTCACCTAAGTTTCGCAGTGTCTACTCCACAATGAATGCCTCTCGTTAGTATTAAAAATTGTTGTATTTTACTACCACAGGCGAAAATTTGGCTTGGTCTGCGCATTACTGAACCAGATTGTTTACATTTTGTTTGTGTTGCTGTTGATGATAATGATGAAAAAACAAGTTGATGCAAAACATACATCGGTAATTATTTTGAAGTTATATTTGTTTATCTCAATGATCGGCGGGAAATAAACTTCGGCTGGTCATTGTAAATTCATATAATCTAGAAAGTGGAAATTGACTATTGCACAATTCTAAACGATTGTTGAAACCTGCAAAAGTGGGGCGAACTCGGTTTACACAAGGGGCGAACTCACAAAGGTGGTCGGAGGCGAACTTGCAAACCTCCAGTTACCCAATGAGGTAGGAAGTGCTTTGTCTCGTTTATGTGGTTGTGGTGGGTGGAACAAGCGATATCATATAATAGTGAAAGAAGCTTTTTGAAGACTTCCAGCGGACCGTTCTTTACAGTTAACCTGGAGCGAAAATCTTAACGGAGCTCAGCTTTCAGGCATAGCCATAGAGGGTCCACACAGTGGTCAACAGGGCTTTCGTAAACCCTAGTTATATCTTCTTTTTCTTCCCTTAAAATCAAATCATTTAAAGGTAAAAGTCAAACAGTGACATCTTTAGCTCTAGGGTGACTTGTATTTGTGATTAATATTATCTTTACAACATTCATTTCATTAACAGGGAACCGACCCTTTGATAGCGCTGTGTTTTAAAGACAGCTGGATTCATGCCAGTGTGTCAGTGTTCCTCATAATAGCGTGTGGATACAATTTGGCTAAAGAACTTTTTCAGATGTTTGATGAAGTAAGTTATTTTACTTTGAAACTATCGACGTCACCAGATTAAAACGCACACACCAACTACGAAAAAGCTACGAACGATCTCAAATCCCCCCTAAAATATTTCTCAATGCCCCCCTTCCGTTCTTTAATAAAATGAGAACGTCAGAGATCAATCGTCCACAATCTTTTTTTCCTCATAAGGGTGTAAAGTATTTGTTTACGCTTAACAACTGGCTTGAGGTGACCCTGTATGTCCTGACGTTGGTCACGCTTGTCAGACCGCGTTCCGAGGATATTTCTGAAATGGGAATCTGTGTTTTTCTGGTGTGGATTGTCTTACTGCAGTATATTAGCAAGTAAGATATTTTTCTATAATTTCTTAAATAGACTGAACGTCTCTTAGTTAATGATGATACTTTTGAGTTAATATCGGAAAATCAAATCTAGTCAAATCTCTCAGTCAGATCAAAGCTTCAAGGCAAAAGGAAGCCATTGAAAACGAAAAAAGAAGTCGCGATCATGTGACCGGCTTCAAAAGCAAAAAAAAAAAACGCAAATGAACAGGACGCTATTGGTTTAGTTCCGCATCTGATTGACTGAGAGAGTGGCTCGAGTTTTCTGAACCGTTCAGAGAGAGGGGTAAAGCAAAATCACTGCAATCCCAAATCATTTTTGACGTTCTTTTTCAAATTTAAATTGTACAAAGCAAAACTCGAGTTTTCTGAACCGTTCAGAGAGAGGGGTAAAGCAAAATCATTGCAATCCCAAATCACTTTTGACGTTCTTTTTCAAATTTAAATTGTACAAAGCAAAACACGTGTCGTCAAAGAAAAAATATCCTTTGTTTCAGGCGATTACGTTTCTTTTCCTTATCATGAGATTTTGCCTTTTTGTATTTCGTTGCCTAAACAGTAGGTTGTATTTCCAAAGAGGCTCCTGTTGTTTTTTATCTTACGCGACCACTGTACGTCTCTGTTTCAGATTCAATTACGTTGGATTGTATATCGTAATGATCACGAAGACAATCAAAACAGTTTCCAAAGTGAGTCTTCATAATGATAACGATGATAATAATAATAATAGTAATGATAATGGGAATTAAGGAGTGGACATTCCACGAAGCGGTTCCTCTCGTCCGCTGTTTCCACGTTGGTTTTTGGGGGAAAGAGAAAGAGGGGCGGGGTCTTTATTAAAATGGTTATCGACTAAGTAAGGTTGGGACCGGGAAAATGTTGGTCAAAATTAATGTTTTCCCGTCCTTGCTTACTGAAACGTTTACTTGCTTTTCTTGTAGGTTATGGTTATTCTTCTTATTCTTCTGGCTGCGTTTGCATTTTCTCTCTACGTCGTGGTTCCAAAAGACGTGGTCAGTTAAGTAAACGATAAGGAAGAATCTTAATTCCCTAAAATTAACGATAAGAAATGGTTGGGCGGTTAAAACTTTACCTGTATTCCACCCCTAGCTGGTTAAGCCGACCATTCTTGTAACTACGCCCGAGCGCAGTTAAGTTAATGACTTATAATGTATTTGAACAAAGGATAACGTTATTATCCTCATTATAATCTCTGATAACATGATAGTTTGATCCCTGTAAATTATGAACGCCTACTTACGAGCAGGCCTTCATTATTAGTAGAATAATTAGGTTTCATCAACTGAGTTGATAACGAAGATTGGCCACAGTAAAGAGTTTCCAAAAGCTGACGTTCTGAGCGTCAGGGCGAATGCATCCCTGACAAAGGGCTAACGCTCAAAACGTTAGCTTTCGAAACTCTTTACTGTGGCCAATTTACATTATCAACTCAGGTGATAAAATCAAATTATCTTCTAATACTCCCCACCGACACATTACCACAGTTTCCTTGGAAACGTACCCCTATCCTCATTATTAACACTGAGGGATGCATCCTTATTCACTTTTTTAAATGTTCACTTTTGTTTCTGGTTCTTTTTTAGAGCGACGCAGGAAATCGTCGCTTTCACAACATTTCTTCCTCATTCGCTGCTACATTCTTCATGATGCTGGACAATTTGCAATATGACAACATCCTTCTGAATTACGATAGCGAGGACAGCGGTGTAGGCAATGGCTTGGTGCTGTATGTGTTGTATATTGCATACTGCTTCATGATGCCGATAATATTCCTGAACTTACTGGTGAGTGGTGAAAGATATTTCCTTGTTGGTATTGTGCTATGTGAGTATGACTAACTCCGATTAACTGTTGCGAGGAACAGGTCCCTGACTAATTTTGAATACGGCGGCATGTCTTTATTTTTGCCATAAAACAAGCTATAAGCAAATGACTGATGATACAATAAATCGTGACATTAAAAAGAAATTTTCAATCTAATATCAGATCGGGTAATTTGGTATCATCAACTGAGCTGATGACGTAAATTGGCCTCCGTAAAAGAGTTTCTTTGTCAGAGTCATTCACTCTGATCAATGCTAACAATCGAAACTTTAGCTTTGAAACTCTTTATGATGGCCAATTTTCGTTATCAACTCAGTTGATGATACCAGATTACCCTGCTGTACTCTCCCACCGACGTAGCCTGACCACAGTTCTCTAAAAAATCACCCCCTTCTTGATTTCAGATCGGTTTGGCTGTTGGAGATATTGACACTATTCGAAAGACAGCTGCACTGGAGAGATACACGAGTCAGGTCTGTCGGATTCAGAGGATTTGCTATCACTTTTGTGAAGAACCAGTCGTTATTTCATACAATATCATGAAGAAAATATGATTCCTGCAATTGAATTCCTACCGAAATTGATTCAGCTGAATTACAAGTGACTCTCAGGACATTCCGTGGTATACATTTAATATTCGAAACATTTGGTTGACAAGTACATGCGTATGCTTATAACAATATCGTTTTCTTTCTGTACTGATATTTAGGTGGAGCACCTGTCTCAACTAGAGCGCGCCATACCAACCTTCATCCTCAATAGTGTCCTGGTCACTGAATATGTAGAATATCCCAACAAACCAAAGAATTTCAAGACCAAGGTTTGACCGCGCGTATTAATGTGTATTCTGTTCATCTTTCAGTAGACACGAGTTATTAAAGTTAAAATTCTTGTTCATCTCAAACCTTTAATCCATAACAGTGATGAGCATCTCATTTCTCCTTACGATATCACCTCTGAGTCAAACATTAAGGTCATCAGAATAAGAGAAATGATCACCAACGAAAGAAGCTCTTGATTGTTTGAAAAATTCTCCTTGCTGATACCAAAGAAAATGTGCAGCTAAAAGTGTGGAGAATATGTATACTGATGTTAGGATGTTAATAGCTTATAGTTAATTCTCTAGTTTTCCTCTTTTGGACTTTCAGATTGTGGACATACTCGTAAAACTTTTGTCTCCTCGCCAAGAGAACGATGAGAAACAAGAAATTGCGGAAGATCTCAGAGAAACTATTGAACGACATGATGAACAGTAAGTTGGCTTATGAAAACTCTTACACATCGGAAGAACTCATATTAAGACAGACGACCGTTGTGTGAAATTCTGCCTAAAAAGCGATTGCATGCACCCGAAGTCATGAAGTTACCTTTGCACTCCTTATATGTTTTGCTAGGTTGAGAGAAATAACTTCATCTATAAAGAAGCAAAGCGCATTACTTGAAGAACTTCGGGACATCTTCATGGATAAAAAGCGAAGACCTAAGCGGGAAGAGCCAGCAGAACAGTATCCAGACGGAACTGAATTTTACGTCTAATTGCTTACTACGTGGATCCGGGGTATGATTGAGTGCAATATAACCGCTGCTACATGGCATGGCGGACAGGTAGCCTATTTGCGAGACCTCTTCCCGACGCCATTTTTTTTCCACTGTAAGGTATCTGTTGGGAAGTAGGTGCATTACTCAAGGTGGCAGGCACACCGTTACAGCAGTAAACGCAACATATGACAACAAAATAAACGATGGCCGCTTCTGAAAAGCCTACGATGAACACTCACAGAGGTTTCGAGAAGACTTTCTTTGTGAGCTTTATGGCTCAATTAAAACTGCAAAGTTCTCGAACAGGCTGAAAGACTAAGCTAATTAGCGAAAGATCATTAGCTTAAACTTAAAAGAAAGCTCGACAACTTCAAGGGAAATTAAACACGACAATAGAATATATCTTCACGGGATAGTTCGTGGGATGAGTCATAATCAGTTGAGTACTAAAACCAGGGAAAATGATCTTCGTCCTTCGGAGTTTTACGTTCCATGCGTCAATTTTCAAATTAGAGAGATAGATAATTATATAACCGTAAGAAAGGCTCATTACTATATTGTACAAAAGAGGGGCTTGCAACGGCACTTTTTTACTTCAAAATGACGACGAGCAATTTTTATTTACGATGAAATCGTCTTCACCAACTTCAAACGAGGAGGGTGACAATTTACATTTATCAATTACCTAATTTGTTAGTAAAGTTTGATATTTGAAAACATATAGGTTTTTGGCAGGACCATATCAATTATTAACAATGTTTTTCAAATGAATTACCCTATCGAGAAGGTAAGGAAAGACAGTTTAAATGTTTTAGAGGACCAAACCCAGGTTTTCAATGACTCTCCCTGTCGTGAGGGCAAGGAAGGACAATTTATATTTTTTGGAAACGAAACGATTTTATTATTTTCCAATTTGCTTTCGCAGTTACTGAGCGCTTTGTCTACTGCATTTTAGCTGTCTCTTGTTTTATCACGTTCCCGTGCTGACACTACAGTTGTCAATGAGAAACTGAGATTAGAAAACAATACGTTTTTGTGTTTGAAAATATGTAATTTAGTTAAGCTTTTCAAAAGAGCACTTTGTTTTAGTTAATAGGATTAAACTCTAATGAGAAAACAAAAAATCAAGCAGACAGACCGTCGTCACATCTTGTTGGTTACGTCTTTATTTTTCGTGGGACGGGGGGAAAAGGGCGAGCTTAATTCAGTACAGTGGAGGAGAGGCAAGGAAGACAGTTTGAAGGGAAGTCTAGAAACTATCTCTAAAACAGAGAGTAACAGATACACCAAGTCTCTCAGAGGACGACAATTTTTAGCTTTCAATCAAAGAAATTTATGTTGTGTCTGGAGCCATTGCAGTCGGTCTTCTCTCACTCTGTAAGATACCAATGAAACTGTGCAAATTTTAGTATGCAGCCCCCCTGCCGTGAAGCAATTAACGTAATCCGGGTGATGGAAAACTTAAAATCACTTGTAAATTACTACGTTATCAATTACCGCAAAGCTGAAAACTGTGAAGCCACTTACAGCTGATTTCCCGTAAAATTAGCGAGAAACAATCAATTTGGACATCTTTCCTTCTTGCGATTTCAAGGAGGTCTTCTTGAAGAGAATTTCAATTCATTTTTCCAGTTTTTCTTTTCCTGAATATGAGCCAATCTGTAGAGAGAAGGCGGGCGTCCTCGCTGATTGTGCAGTTAACAGCAACACAAGAGATCATGGGTCTACCAGGACGAGCTGGAGATTACCAAAGACGTAGCCGCGCGTTAAGTCTAGATTCGAAGCTAGAACATGTTTCCCAACAGAACTTGCTTTCTTCTGTTGACAATAAGTTGCTTATTCAAGAAGTTAAATATCGTCTTATCTCGTTTGAAGTAGAAGACCGAAAGAAGAGACGTGGCTCTGTGAGAGATTTGATGAAGGTTTTTGATAATGAGCAGCTTGAGGAAGGAACTCTGAACAAAGAAGAATGCGGCTCTCTTCGCGTTCTTCTCAGACAATTTACGTTCGAAGACCTGTGCGAAGAATTGCGAAAAAGGCTAGAACCCGATGATATCTCTCGTCAGACTGAGTCTTACGATTCACAAGACAGAAGATATTCACAAAGTTTACGCAGAATTTTGTTTCAAAAAGGTTCTCGAAGCCTCAGTAAGGGTTCGTTTGGCAAAGAGAACTCTCTAGTTGACATTCCTGAGATAGAGTTGCCCTTAGACCGAGGAGATTCATCTGTAATTGCTCATAAGTGTAAACCTGAAATGCCCCAGGATAACCACAGTTTACAGCTTCCATCAACGGAAAGCAAAATATCTTTTGAGCCCAAGTTGCAAAAAGGAGCCCCTGTTTTTAAATCAAAAGAAGAAGTCGAAGAAGAAATGTTTATGGATGTTTTGGATGATATTTTTGCTCTAAAGCAGACAATGTGGAATGCCGCAAAAGATATCGAAGCATTATCTGCAAAAATGACAAAGGAGCGAGGTGAGTTGGCAATACTGCGACAAACGAGGACGGCTTACACGAGACCTGACAAGTTTTTTAGTAACAGGGAAACGACTTCTTTGCCGCTGTAATGTTGAAATAATGAAATGGCATCGCTACAGGTGAACATGGAGATTTCACTGCACGATTTCAGCAAAGTATGAAATGCCGGAAGTGAGAAAGCAATAAAGTTTCGCGAGCTTAGGGAAACAAAATATGACAATTACTGCAAATTCAGATTGAAGTGGCACACTATTCTGGTACAAAAAAAAATTATACTTTTCTCTATTCTCCTTTGCATGTTTAATATAGCAGGATCAATTTTTAAATATGATGAGCACACTTAAGTTGTTGGGCCTTAAATAAGGATCAACGGTGTGAAATAAACATTCAAAATCACGAATCGCGAAGTGCAGAACCTGCATGAGGAACTTTCAGGAAGGACGAATGTGAAAAGATGACTTTTCATAACAACTGTATGATCGACTCAACTACTGCCAAATTTGACTTGTAATTGGTATCGATACAATAAATGGCGATATTCCACTGAATTCCATGTTCCCAGTTAAAAACATTACAGCAGAAGGCACTACTCACTTGTGTGGTATATACTAATACAAGATATTTTGGGGTGCTGAGACTGCAAAAACTGCCTGCTTTGAGTATATAACCCTTACAAGCCAGGAGCCCATTACTGGGATCTTGAGAAGCCGATTTGTTTTTATTTGGATCCCGTGCTACCTATTCTAGTTTACAATCAGTTACACTTTGGAATGATCAATAAGCAATCAATCTGTTGAAAGGTAACTTTTAAATGTAGATGTACGATGACTGAAATAATTGACGGCTCATTTCTCTTTGTGCTCTCTGTATCTTAGTGAACTTATGTCTGAATATTAGCAGAGGTATACTTACTGACTTAAAAAGGTTCTTCATGGTTTGATTATCAACACCAGCTCTCCATATCCGTTCGCAAGTGTAACCTTAACTCAGAAAGTGGAAGTTGGGCCCACGGGCTTAGCATCGGCGTACTTCCTGAGCGAGGTAGTCTCAAACCAAAACCAGCAGTCAAACGTCAATCAAACGTAAGCGATTCAATTTTGTGGATCGGTTGGTTGTTAGGGAGAATAGAAAGCATGTACTTTGGTTGCGTCACGATGAAATTTACTTGATCCCCCTCTAGGGCTCTGTGGTGTTCTTCGTATTATCCCCTTATGAGATGTTCAGTTTCAAATACTCTTAACGAGACGATGCGTTGCGTTTTTTCCGTATTAATCTCACTATAAACAACTGGTTTCTGCTCTCTCACAAACAAGGGAGGGGTGAACTGAAAATTCTCGCACACCTCATTGATAATCAATTTTCTTTGCCTCTCCTTTTATTAACCGCCGCGCTTAACAAATAAAAGCGTCATGAAAAGTTGCTAACGACGCGTTTCCGACAGCCTATGAATTATGATCCGTCTCTTAAAACCATTCTTTTGAAATATCTTTCATTTATGACCACAGAAATAAGCTCAGACTAAGCATGCTTGAGGCAAAATGATTAATTGATAGAGCGTGACTCTAAAGCAGTTTTCTCGGTGTCTAAATCAACCAATGGATGTTTAATTCCTTCTTCATAACCTTGACCAAGAGAATATCAATTCTCTCGGCCTTGGCTAAATAATGTTGTTTTTGGTATGAAAATCAATTTTTATAAAAATCCAATACCATCCAGCTGTTAGTTCCAATTATATTTGACGCGCCAAAAAAAATAACAGTCGTAGTCGAGTAACAAAACATTTAATTTCTTATTAAATCAAAAATTGAAAAAGAAAGGAGAGATTTCTTCTAATTCCTACTTACATAAAATATTCATTTTCAATTGTATTTACAACAACTCAAGATCACTTAATCCGGCGAAAAAGACAGGAATCCTTATATTAAACGGTTGAAATGTCAATTATGAATATTTTCTAGAATTTCTATACGTGCTTTACACATATCTTATGTAAGTAAACTGTTAGCACCTGCTTCTTTCCACCAAATAAAAAACACATTTTGGGGCGTTTAATCACGTTCCAATTGCGAATCACTAATTAATATCTCAGTTCGAAACCAGAGAATATATCCTCTTGTTCGAAACCCCATGCAAATAATGCTAGCTGTGCGATGAAAAATAAATAGGATAAAATCTCATTATTTCAAAACAATATAAATACTTTTAAAGGCTGAGTACAATGTCGGGTGATGATTAACAAATTAATATACGTCGCATTAAACCACTTTTGAACAATTGTAAACAGACCAATATGAATTCAAAGAAAATGAATAAGCAAGATAAAGCATGCCTAATGTTGTGAAGGATTTATGAACTAGTAAATGCATTATCGAGATATTTTGATTTTTTGGTGAATAAGTGAACTGATCTTTCTAATAGGAGGTCGTGCACGACCATTTTTGCTCTTAGAACTCCCGTTGTCGAACAAGTATTCCAACACTTTCTGAAATATGTCCTCAACGTTTTCGTTCAGCTTGGCTGAACAGTCGAACCAATGGCAACCATATTTGCCCTCTAAATACATCCCTACGCTAATATTTAAACCTCGTTTGTCCACAAACTTTGGTGACGACAAGTGGGAGAGGTCCGATTTGTTTGAAATCACCACAACAGGTTTGTCACTCTGCGTGGCGTTGTTACTCTCCTTAATTTCGTCCATGTAGCGTTCGATCTTTGTAAGTGATTCTGGTCGGTCCATAGAATAAACCAAAACAATGGAGTCTGCTTTTTCCATGTCAACGCGTCTCATGGCTGGGAACTCATACGTTCCTGAGGTGTCGATGATCTGGAGTTCACAGGTTTTGTTCTTGTAAGCTAAATGCTTGACGTGAAAATCTTCAACAGTGGGTAGATGTTCGTGATTGAACGCTATTCCCACAAGTCGACTGATAACAGATGTTTTACCGACTCCGGAGTCTCCAAACACCGCAATGGTGAACTTTTGCAAATAGGTGCCATTTTCTTCGTTGTGTTTCGCCATGGTACGCGAGAGAGCATGCGGGAAAGTCAGTGCTCACTTGGCGTGAGATTTGGGTAGAAAGGTACTTTAAGTGACAGGTCTCGACGTCACCTTCAACGGGCGGAAGCTAATGGCCGGGTGAAAGATTGATCCAAATATTAAATGTCGCTACGTCGATTTTACACTTCGATTACAACGAAAGCGGCGAGTTCACCCCACGTTCCTTTTTCATTCAAAATATGCGACTTCTGAAACGGAATTGCTTTTTAAGGGTAAATGTTCATGGCAGGTGGCACAATCGACTAATTTCATTGCAACAGCGATTCCACGTTTGAGGCCGAGAAGGCATTTAAAACAGTTGTACATTTGCATATGTCGGACAAAGCACTGTGTACAAACAATAGCGTTTGATTTCTTTTATTTTTCAATCCTTTCCAAGGCTGTAGTTGTTAAGAGTAAATCTGTTTCTTTACAACAGTGAAAAGTCTTTTCTCGTTTCCACATCTCATGTTAAGTTATTAGAGCCAGTTGTAGCCGTCACAGTTCAAGTTTCTCATGAAAGAGTTCATTAATTAAAAAAATGTATTTGTGCTTAGAACAAACAAATGTGCATTTACACTAATTAAAGAACTACAATAAATGTCTTTATCCGACTCAGTCAGTTAATCCGTCAAGGAAGAGGTAAATTATAGCGCGGGTTGTAAAGCAAAACCTTTATTTGCGTTAAGCCTGCCACGAAAATGATCTCTCAGTTCATGTTAGTCGGTTAGGGAGGAATAAAGTTTTCCTTAACTCAGCATGTGTTATTACTCAGCGAACCGGATGTCAGATTTACGCTTAAATTAAATTGATTGCATAATATTCTATAATACCTTTCTTCGTCCATTAGTGCAAACTTAAAATTTAAAGAAAACATTATTGCAAATTTAAGGCTTAGAGATTCAAACACCAAATGCTAACACTAGGAACAGTAAATCAAAATGAATGAGGTGCCATTGGGCAAACATTGCAAATATATGGCGAAAGTTTGTTTCGACGTCCAAAAAAACGATTTTGGAAAGAGATCAACACCTTTTCGCCGCAGTTTTACCATAAACGGATTAAGATAATGTTTATACGAGGGAAGTGTAAGTTTATGTCCAAATTACCACAAACCATGATATATAATATACCGATAAACTCTCTGAAATCGTCAACGCGTACAAAACATAGGCATGCGCAGCATGCGAGAGTTATTTTTAATACTGGGTGGGTTGAGATGAGACAGTTTGTGTACTTAATGTTTTCATTTTTGTCACCAAAAAGAGCATAACTTTCAAAAAACGAAAATATCACAGAAAGACGAAAAAAAAAAAACAAATTTATCTGAGCAAACACAGATAATATATGGTAATACGTTGTTTGGTCTCGTCACACAACGCCCTCCATCTCCCGTTTAAGAGAGAGTGTGCTGCTGTTCCTCCAACAGAGAGAAAATCAAAATTATTCGTCTATAGTTAGTTACCTCAAAAATGTAATTCCGCGTAATTTTACCACGAAATGCAAACTGAACCTCTGTTGTACCTCAGATAGGCCCTAACCAAGGATATATTGCGATCTCGAATAGGTGAAGATACACTGAACAGGAGAAAAGGAGAATATTTCAAAGAGAAGGTTTGAGCTGCAACTTTAGTTTTTTCCTCGAACTCCTCGAGGATCTTGTCCGGAATGTATCACGATAATATTCAATGCTCAAGCACTATTTCAATCTCCTGCTGCCTCGAGGGAGCGTTGTAGCGCTCTTTTGTATTACCAAGCTGAGAGAAAAGCTAGAAGTAGACTTAACACACTGAAACGAACTGAAACTTCACATTTATAACATAATTGTAACTATCAAATTACTTGTCCAGTCCCACACTTGCAATACCATAGAAAACCATACCGAAAGCTGAGGCAAGCCCGTCTGGAAAAAGCCGTCTGGCCTTGGAGCCCGTTTTTGGAGGTCCCGGTAACTTAACGGGGCTGGTAAAGCTGAAATTTTTTAAATTCCAGATGGGGGACGGGTTTCGAAGGTTTTAAAAACGATACAAAAAAAACTTTTGGCTAAGGAAACAAAATGGGCGAGCTGGGGTTTTAAGAATTGCTGATACTCTTATTGTATAATTTTCAAAACTTCCCAAACCTTCATCTTTGATGAAATCAGCATAGATTTACGAGCCCGTTCAGCTATAGGGACTTTCGATAAACAATTATACAGCTTCTTTGCAAAAACAAATAAACAAACATTGCTCGCAGGTGTTGCTGAAAAATTAGTGACAATAGTGAACAAAAATGAGAAACTAATTTACATTTTTTGTTGAATTGTGAGTTTCTTGTTCTGACAAGAAAGAAAAATAAGGAAACTTTCTTATTGTAGAATCTTTTTTTGTGGTTTTTCCCGCACGCGCCAGTCTATCTCGTCTCATTTAGTCAAAACAAACTTGACGAAATTTTAAATCTTAGGTCATTTGATGAAATGCTTATTGACTGAGTTAGGTCAGTAATTTAGTATTATCAACGGAGGTGAGTCTAAGCGGTTCGGAAAGCCGCAAAACTCTAAAAATAAAATTTATTTTTTCAAATCGGAACTCTTAATCCTCAGGGTATCAACAAGCGCTTTTTATTCAACTAATTTGTTCTCGTTTTCTCGTCACTATATTCCAACCAATGGCGTAGTTCCATGTTCTGCATAGGAACGCACACAAAACCCACAATTCCTCCAATCGCTCTCGATCTGGCGAAGAGCTATCGCTCGAAACGTCAGCTTGTAAACTCTTGGTGATGGCCAAATTTAAATTACGTTATCAACTCGGTTGATGATACTAAATTACCCTGTTTAACTCTCCCACCGACGCAGCACCACAGTTTCTTTGGAAACTCACCCTCTTTATTCATGAGTTAGGTCGGGCTTGACGTAAAATAATTGGCTCTAGTTCATGACGCACCGACCTCTCTGCACTCGGTCCCGTACGTCAAGACCTTGAGCCACATATTATCTCGTTTGGCCCTCCCATTCAGTCAATAAGTTACAAATTAACACATGAGTCAAGGAAATCTGTACTCTTATGTGAAATTTATGGATGAGTTAGCTGACACAGAAAGAAGAGACATAGGAGCGTAAGAAGCTTAAGGCGATTGCGATAATTTTTATGCAGAGCGAGGGAGGGAGGGGGAGGGAACGAGGGAGTCATGAGTCAGGTTGCGACCCGACCCAAGTCTCCCTCGGTTTTTTACTTCTCTATTGGTACTGAACAGCTTCCCATGCTATGGCGCTTCCATTTACCAACTGAACGCTTAGAACATGCTATTTTCTACACGATCTGACAGGAACAATCTCCTTGTGTTAAAATAGCTGGTGAATATCAAAACTGTCCTTATAATGCATTAGATCCATCGTTTAGTCCGCAGATTTAACTTCGGTGGGCTGACTACCCCTGCAAGGTTTTTTTTCCCCTCGAGATCAGTTGTAAGGAATTTTACAACTTCCCAACAGTCCCTGGAAACATTGACCTGCGAGCTAGCTCTCCTGGGGAGTATTGTCCCACAAACAAACGCCCTTCACGGAGGGGGCACGGTGCTACTTTTGTCTTTTCGTGGTCTCTCGCGCGTCGTGTTCGTTCCTCGAGATCTGAGAAACGCGCGAGGAGACGGGGGCTTTTCTTTCCACACCTTTTTAAGTGTATTTCATTTTTTCTGTGTTAATTTAACTGCGACCTCTCGACTTGGTCACCCCTAGCCAGGAGAAAAGCCACCCATAGTTGATGTACGTTAGAAGAAGTACCTCCGTCGAACCCTGTTGATCTCTTCTAGCCTGCAGTGCAGGCGTCTTATTGGGGTGAGTTAACTTTAAGAAGCTCGCAGTCGTTCATTAAACCAGCCATGTTTGATTTGGAAATAGAGGCAGTAGCAGTAGGGGGGGGGGGGAGGCGAGATTTTCACCCCCACCCTAACACTTCTCCTTATTTTTAACCGTCGCTCACCCTCTTGACATAAATTTCTCTCTCTCCCCAGCCTACCGCTGCCATTAAAATCAAAGAAGGCGGCCATAATTGTCGTTAAGAAAATATTGAGCACTCGCTCGCCAAAATTACGCCTAGGCTAATTTAGGCTAACCCTCTTATGGCTTTGGAGCTGGAGCGACGCACGCGACCCTCGCCTTCGCGTGCGTTCTCAAATTGCGCGTGTTATTTTCTCGCTCTGTCATGCAGTGCGTTATCACTATAGATTAGCGCAATGCTATAATGACCCTCGACTACAAGGCCCAACTTTGACGGAAAATGGGGCTAAGAGAAGATATGAAATCACGGCATCAGAAAGCTTTTTTTGAATGTGCATATTCACCATACCATTCTCCATAAATCCCTTTAGGTGCTGACAGTGAGTGTTCGTTTTACAATCAATAGCTTCTTCAGTTGGTGATCATTTCCCTTTGTTCTCGTGACCTTAATGAGTAACTCTGGAACGATATTGTCAGAGGATATAAGATGCTTGCTACTCGTAAGGGCTAATGGGCGAAACTAGCTATTGGCCGAATAAAAACAACCGGTAGGGCAAAGTATGCTCTCGTGCGCGGGTCTCAGCATGGAACCTCTGATATCAGATTAAATAAAAATACCTCTAAAAACATACCACGAGGACAATGTCAATCACTATAAAAAGCTTATCTTTAATTTCAGTATAATTCATATAAACAACTGTCGTTCAAATTATATTATTTCCAGTCATAATTTGCGTCAATTTCGGGGAAAATAAACTTCTGAGAAATGGATGATTCAATATTGTTAACTGATTAACACACTTAGATGACTAAGATAGTATTTAGCTTGTTATTTGAAATATGCTTCTGAAAACTGCCTTGATTAGGATTATGACATTTTAAGAAAAGAGCGAGTAGATTTTCAAATGAATCAGGGTTATTTGATACTCTAGATAGTCAACAATGGTTTGTCTTGAAAGCATTTGAAAAAAAAACAAATGGCTTAAATTCTGTGCATCCACGAATGCAGCAAACCGTGAAGCCAAAAACAAAAATATCATGCATCGTGAACGACGCTCCACGCAAGGAAAACAAACATTTTAGCGACGTAAATTCATATCATATAGTTGTTGAAAGCCTACTCGCAGAAACTAAGTGAGACCGGCAGTCATTTCAAAATTTTACTTGGATTTCCGCCGTAAGCTGTTAAGTATAGGACTCCTTTTTAACCATGAGCTACCTTTAGTTGGCAATGTTTGTGCTCTTCGGGCGTAGAATGCATCAATGAGTCCATGGACCATGTCCTCGATACCCCACGCCATTTTGGCTGAAGTTATCGTCCACAATACGTTCCATTCCTTCTCAGCGACATATTTAGTGTTCACCAAAGATCCATCATTCATTTTCATTTCTAAAGCATGTCCATCTATGACGACGTCTGATTTGTTCGCTACAACCATAACAGGCAAACCAATGCCTCGTTCTTGAAAGACTTCCTCTCTTAGCTCACGAAGCCGCTCAAAAGAGCGCGGATTGTCCAAAGAATACACAAGCAAAATGGCGTCTGCCTTGTTGATATCCACTTTCCGCATGGCTGGGAAATTCTCTGTACCACAAGTGTCTATGATATCCACTTGGTAATTTTTGTCGTTGTAGACAATCTGCTTGGAGTAAAAGTCTTCTATGGTCGGTTCATAGTCATTTTTAAATGTCTCTCCAAGGAAGGTCCGAATTAAGGATGATTTTCCTGTCCTAGCTTCCCCGAAAACTGCTACGGTGAATTTTTTCAAGTACGTTGAACTACGTTTCTTGACTGCGGCTATTCTCTCTTCTTTAACTTGTTTCTTCATTCTCAGTAACGTTCGTGGAGCGTTATTCTGTTCCTCTGGATAGGCTTGAGCCCGCCTTGAATAAGCAAACAGGCGAAGCAAGAGTTTAGAATATTGTGATTTTGATTACACAACACTTGTCCTATTCGACCGCGCGATAATCCTCTTAGATCAGCTGCCAACAATTTCGTCACGTGCAACACAACTCAACGGGGGCAATCTTAACTTGGTAAATCCTGACTAACTGTACTGCTGTATCAACAGAGCATTTACCTTTATGTAGGAAATACGGCGACGACTGCGCCAGATATACAGGACGTGAAGATAGTGACGGCAATAGGGTTAAAATTTCATGGCATTCTAGAATAACACGAAGGGGATTATTTTTCATTTCTGCGCCCACAATTTGTAGACCTCATGCATTGCAGGAAGTAGGAGCGGTTTTGGACCTGACAATACTGTTTGTGTAACGGCTTTTCAATCTAAACCACCTAAACTGTCATGTCAATTCAATAAATACTTTCAAAAGAGGCGAAAAAAAAAACAAAACAAAACAAAACAAACTGATAACAAATTTACCTCATACTGCCGCTCCCTCCGACCGCGTCTAACACACGCGCGACCTTATCTTAACTACCTACAAACTGATAATGGAACTGTTAAAGCTTTCGAAACGCACTCAATTCGATGAGTCATGATCGAGTTGGTAAAATTTGAAGAAATTTCCATAATTCCAGCCTGATCTAATGGCATATCTCTATAGTTACGTCTGTCTGTGTTTTTGAAGATTATTTCCTCAAGCGTGACGTATGAATGTAGTCGATATATGGAAAACAACCAACGATGTTATTTCAACCATTTCACCCTTGTGAAATCTCCGTAAGAGGTAAATGCGGTTAAGCTTTGGAGCAGCCCAAGTCAATTACAGTTAATTGACGCTAATTTCGAAATATCTTGGTTAAAATTGCTGAAGAGTAATGAGTTACAAACTCTCGGAATCTGTCAGCTATTCGCAGAATTTTAAGAATCTTATCATGAGGCCATCACTTGAGAGGCGAATAGTACTTTTTGGGTTTAATTGTGACCGTGAAGTCAGGCATAGTGTGTTTATTTTTAAACATCATTTTCAGTCATGTACAGTTCATTCCAGAGAGCAGATTATGTTGACAACTTTACTCTTGATTGGAACTCGTGGTCGGAAAACGGAAAAATTGTTTTTAATAACTGTTAAAACGTTTTTAAAAATCCCACAACCACGGCATACGGAAATCCTTGAATTTTAGTCTTCCTATACCGAGCCCTCGGTAATTCTTCGGTCGTAACGTTCGGTGTTCGATAAATTATTGCAATTTCCGATCCGAAACATGCCGAAGCTGAGCCTTCTCCACGCGAAGTGTTTAGTAAATTGGACAAATTTTCGAAACCACATTAATGACTGAAAATAATTCCCAAAGTCTCTCCGGGAAATGTTTTGCAATTCTGGACTGATTGATTACGACAACACCCTCATGCGATAAACTTTATTTCAAAATAAACTTGGTACACAAACGGTGATCAAGTTTCTAAATTTACAGGAATCCAGGATTGATTTTACAACTAATAAGGTTACTATGAGAGCAAATTTTTACTCAATTTTTGGTAGAAAAACGAGATTTTGTCACGATTGGTGTTTTTGCTTCATAATATGGATCAGACATGAATTGAAAAAAAAAAAAAAAAAAAAAAAAAAAAAAAAATTGAATCAAGCTCCTATTGATATTTTTAGGGTTTTCAAGAGTAATTAACCTAGGTCAACTTCTCTCGGGAAACGACATTGAATTCCGAAATAAGCAACAAACAACCACGTCCCGGCCAGCTTCCTGTAAACATCTTTCTTAAATTTGCTGACGGGCTTTTCGAGGTAGGCCCCATTCTTGCGCCAAAGACTCAAAGTACGCAAAAAGCCAATTGTGTGGCCATGATCGTAAACAAACCTGATGAATTTTTTTGTAAGTGACTATCGTCCTCTGAGACACACGATCTGGTTCCAATATTTGGAGGTTTTTGTTGAGGACCTATGCTAAATTTGATATCTACTGTTTTCAAAAAATATACTAGTCGACTCCGGACCCTAAATATGGTCCACAGACCCCACAAACAAAATAGGAAGCGTGTGGGAGATCCTTTGACTGTTGAGGCAAAGAGCGTGTCATAAATAACTGAAATAGAACTTAAAAAGGATTTACATTTACGTATTTCAGATCAATATCTAAATAATAGAAAGCAGATTTAGATCAAAGCTCCTGCGACATGCACAGCTGACTTAAGGTCTCGTTAACCTGACTTCCTGACGCCACGTTCTATTACTTATGAAATACCGTCCTTGTCCAAGAGAGCGAAGAAAAACTTTAGATGTAAAGAATTGATAAAAACAATTTTTGCCTAAGATATATGGTTTTCGGAGCTCGCCGGGTGACGATGATCACCAATTACCTTGTTAACAAAACATCTGTCATGCATACGTGTCCCGAGTGTGTCAAGGTATCGATAGATAATCCTGTCAGGCAAGAACGAAAGTCACGTTACGTAACCAGTAACAAAATGCAGGTTGAGTGGAACTTTAAGACCTCGTTTTTTTAAAATCTAATTTCCATTTTTTCTAAGTGGGTTAACTTTGTAACAAGATTCTAAGATATTGATACTTCATGTTGTTATCGATAACAACAATAACGAAAGTCACGTTACGTAACCAGTAACAAAATGTAGGTTGAGTGGAACTTTAAGGCTTCGTTTTTTTAAAATCTAATTTCCATTTTTTCTAAGTGGGTTAACTTTGTAACATGATACTACGATATTGATACTTCTTGTTGTTATCGTTTTTGAATTCACTGCAGTCAGAATTGAATTACCAGTAAAACGTTAATTATAAGTATTTAAATGTGGGGAAATTTGTGTTTTGAAAATACTAATCTAAAACTGGAAAAGGTTTGTCATGAGGATTTACATCTCAGTACATAGTACAAAAAGACAATCTCTTAAAAACGCGCTGAAACGAAACCCTCGCGTCACTTGCTAAGCGGTTTAAATTTATGATATTTGAACGGAAAAAATAATGATACAGAATTATAGGTGTGCATTCACGATAAATTCGATTACCTAAAATGCCTTTTAGGCCAGTTTTGAGTTTTATACTTTCATTAAAACTTCATTATCATACGTTATAAAACTTCGATCTTAGTGTAAGGAAAACAAGTCAACATTTAGCCAACCTAATAAACTATTGCACCGACTGACTTAATTTTGTTTTTCTTTTTTCGACTTTACAGGTTGACGCTTGGTTTCATCGCCCATGATGTGAGTATACTGGCACGTTTTCCGATGTTCCTCTTGGTTGTGCGTGCCCTCCAGTCCATACTCATGCCACCCATCACGCGTGCATACGCCTGGCCGAGAGCTAATTGTCATTGAAAGATTAATCGTTTGGCATCGTTCGGGCATGAGGAATAAAAGGTTAACTGCATGAGTAATTTGTTAAAAAAAAAAAGGAAAACAATCGAGATTCCTGACTTAATGATGGAGGCAAAATGAATCACAGATGGCACAAAGACCTTTTCTGTCCTAGCCTAGTGTCATTAGTCACGTTGGTTTCGTTTTCATACCATTCAGGCTTAGTTTCTGATTTATTTTTAGCGAGAGGATCCAGTTATCACTCACTTTTTTGTGTCTTCATTCATTTTGATTCGATCTAACGCCTGATTTCAAGTTATAAGATCTTATTTTCCCTGAGTATTTCAATGAAAAAACGAAACAAAAACAAAAAAGAAAAAAAAAAAAGATCCTGAAGCAAAGTGTTTCTGCTGACTTATTCCGCAATCCCAGAAAAAATTGCACTGATCATGTTACGATCGTGTATAACGATGATGCAACAATTTGTTTGCCTCGCAGCGCAAATTCTCAGCCCGGCCAAAAGTGTACCCCTTGAGTTGAGATCGTCAACTCATGAATGTATGCGGTGATTGAAAGAGGTAAAAATTCCAGCTGTCAGGTTATGAATTATATCTTAAACATTTCCTGGCGTCTGCCTTCAAGATGGCGTGAGTTACATTTTTTACGCATTTGGATCAGCTGTTCTATAGATAGAACCACCCACGGGCTCACGAAAATAAATTCCGTTGATGGGCGAGTTCAGCCGACAGACTATCGATTCACGTGCGCCTTTCCGAAATGGTTTCCGACTCTCTGCTCGGAACCGAAATCGTGAAGTGTTTAAATTTTGGCGGAAATCAAAGGGAAAAAAGATCGAGTAAAAATTTTGTTATTCCTGTGATTTGTTCATTTTCGCCACGTTTGGTATTTTTGGACGGGAAAAGCGAAAGCTTGCTTGCAGAGAAGTTTCAGCTAAATCAGACTTTCATGCGAAACATCACGTAGTAGTTTGTTCAGGCTACTGCCCCCTTATACTGAAATATAACAAGGGTCCTGTTCGCGGTTTAGTTATCGCAAATTATCATTTGACCCTTTGGCACCAGGAAGAACTTCTGGTTAATTTTACTTCCAAACGTGCGAGCCTTTAGACATCTGTTTTCAGTTGAGCTGATCCACGTAAAAGTTTTGTCTTAGATTTGGACACGTAGGTGATCTTGGGCATCGATCTTAAATCAGGCGTCTGCGGTCACGTTTTGAGGAGATTTTTTTTTTTTGCATTTATGTCAAATAAGTTGAATATTGTGTTAACCTCTGAAGGCGAATGCAATCGTATTGATCAGTATTCTTACCGTCTCCGAGATATAAAAATTCCTCTTTATTGATCGAGAATATCTTACATGACACATCTTGCATATTACTCAACATGAACCGTAATCAAGGAGATTTATAGAAGGGTTGATTCGCTGAAAGGACTTGAGCGTGGTACAGTAACTGCGTCGCAAATCGAATTTTCTCGAAAAGGCGCCAAGAGGGCCTTTCGGTCAACATTTGTTATCTGAGCTCGATACGTCTGAAAGGAACCGAACTCAGGTTCACGTGAGTTGTTTATAAAGTAGTACTTAAAGATATCGCTATGTACTTTATAGACCGAGGAAAATGTGTTTTATCAAAAAGCTCCAATAAAGCAAGATTCGAGTTTCCGAATTCTAACAGTCTTAGTGCTATTTCGAACTCAAGGCCATGCACTTCCCTTATCAGTTAAAAATGCATGCCATAGTTGGGCTGCAATACAGGAAGCTAAGGGAATGATGATGGTGTAGATGTTCCACTTAAATCGTGATCATGATTTACCCGGCTTGGTACGGGAAAATAGGTGGGAGAAAAGCGTCAACCGTGTAGTACCCTTCTCGCACAAGGATTCTCTTGTCCAGTGTGCGCTAGTGTGAAAAGATCTTCCCCTCTTTGATGCTTGGAACTCTGGAACTCGGAAAAGAACAACCATCCCCTCCGAAAAGGTACGCCAAGCTTCTCAAGATCGAATGTATCGCGCGAGTAAACGCGCGAGGGAACTAGGAGAATCGTGAGCTCCCAGTATACCCTTCGGCATGCAAAAGTTATGATGGCGGAAAATATTATAGATATTTGGCATTCATCGGTATTTATAATGACACTCGCGAAATAATCTTTCCTTGCTTCGAACAATTTAACCATGTCCACTAACGAAGGAATATCTCTCGCCTCGGTGCGGGATTTTTTAGTTAAGAACGACGGAAAAGTGAAAAACACAGATTTAGTCCATCATTTTCGACAACAGCTGAACGATTCAGCAAACAAAAGTGAGTTGAATAATTTGTTGTTTTCCGTTTCGATTCGACGGAATATATATTTTTTCGTTATGTATGCCTCATTATAACTGAAACTGATACCTTCTTTCAGGTAAAGTGCGAGGTGAATTTAAGGAAATTGTGCATACTATCGCGACGGTACAAACTATAGATGTAAGTACAGAATCGAAGTTGTTGACTGCGGCGTATTTGTGAATAATTATGTTACCCGCTAATGTAAAGATTGATCGGTGTACTTATTTCTTCGATCAATTCAAGGGAGAATTAAAATTTTTTAATCCTAAATTTGCATTACTAGTTTCATTACCTAAGTAATTAGAAAGTGTCTTCAATTTTATTGTCGCATATTGTTAACATTGGAGCTAATTCGAGCTATTAAAGCTTTCTTTACTTTGTAATCGTTATTTTTATTCGTGATAAATGTAAACTATTATTTTTGGGCTTCATGTAAAGGCCTATATCGACTCAGTTAGTTAACATACTCGCCGAAACCCCTTTTGCTAAATTATGGAAACCACTTTTAAGAGTACTTCAATATCAGAGGCATTTTAAGAACTGGCAATGAGAATTAAATACAGAAATTATACCATTTAATGATGTTGAAACTTTCAGTTCTCGTTTATTGCTTATATGTAGTTTGTTTTGCCATGAGCTTTTAACAATTATTACTCTTGCTAGTTGTCATTTCGATGTTGGTTAATATGATTTCAAGTCAAAACAAGTTCAAATCAGCACTATTTGTGTTTTCATTGGGGATAATACATGTCTAAACAGAGCAAAATGAAGAATAATCGAACTTATTTAGTCCATTTAGTCTAACTGCAACATGTACAATTAGGTGATAGTGAAACTAATCAAAAGCAGATATAGGGCTGAGTAACTGACTTTATCTAGAGGAGAAATTTGAGTGGTCTGTAAGGGAACATGCAAATAAAACTGGCAGTTGGAAGGTAAAACTTTGCCCCATAGAGAAGGTATTCACATCTCTGGCGACATCCTAAGAGTTGGTTTTAATACATTGTTATTTGGTAAACAGCTATATGTACACACCTTTCCACAATATCCTGAGCTTATCAGGCCTATAGTAAAACGACACAGAGCTTTTATTATTCTTAAATTAATAATAATAGTAATAATAGTTTATGATTACAGCTTCACCTGGGAGACATAATGTTTGATTTAGGAAATGAGATAATTTAACCATTAATGATTCATTCTCCAGCCCTGTTTCTTTGGTGAATTGGATATAATTTATTTAAGAATTATTTTTTCGAAACAAACCCTGCACTGAAATTAATTTGTTTGATAAAGTTGAAATAACATTATTCCTCTAAACATTTATTAATTTTGAATTTGCAGGCATCATCCTGTTTGATTAGATTCTTTAAGATTAAGTCAAAATTTTGTAAAATGCTTGACAAAGATTATCCTTTTTTTTCTCTGCACAATAACAGGGAGAAAAGTACTTTGTACTCAAGAAGCCTAAGGAAGCTCCTGCAGTGCTCCGTAAACCGCCTAGGCCAGCTAAGGCACGACCTGTATCTGGTCCCCCTGTATTCCGAGGAGCAAAGCTGGAAGAAGTGCCATTAGGCTCAGGGGCACAATCAAACCCTAGAAGACAGTCAACAACAGAGGATGAATTGCCAGCCCTTGGTCATCCAAATAAAGAAAACAGACCTCTAGAGAAAAGAGAGGGAACAGATGGTATAGGGCATTTGGGGAGCGCAGAATCTGTGGACAGTGGTCTGGAGTCCAATGTGAGTCCAATCACATTTTTTTTTTAAATGGTTCTCTTTTGTGAATTATTTGGGTCAGATTGTATTAATTAAAATTTTATACATTTAATTGTATGATTAAATGTTTTAATACATCACATGGTTGTAAAAAGAAACTGAGGCTATGGAGATTGCAGTCAATTCTCCAATGAGGAGTTCAGAGTTTAAACAAGTGTTAAGGTGGAATTTGTTGTGTCCATTAATTTTCTAAAATGTGCCTGTTTATTTATTGTTTCAATATACTATATGCATCATACATTTATGTAATTTTCACTATACAAATTATTATTGTTATCATAATATTATAAGCTGTTGTATTATCATTTCAAAGACTGGAAACTGAAATTGTGAATACTGAATTACATGTATGTAATACTTGTTTTAAGGGAGGCTCAGTGGGAAGTGTATCTACATCAACTTTCAAAATGCTGCAAAATCAGTTTCTAAATGGTGGGAGTGGATCCACTACTAATGTTCAGCCAGAAAGATTGTCACAAAGCAATGATGACCTGGTGAGTACCAAATTCTATCAGATCACTGTAGTAGTTGGTAGTTGTCACAGAGTAATTGAAAATTTACATTTACAGTGTACCAGTTACTTAATAATTTTACACACGGTTTTAGTCAAGAGCTGGAAGCCAGCAAAGTTTTCATGCTTCTCTGCAAGGCTTCACCAGCTACCAAATTGGATTTCAAAATTTAATGATTTTGACTGTATAATAGCAGCTTAATTCATCCTACTAATGTCAAAGTTTGACAGCCCAAAGTGCTAGGAAATGCATTTTCCAGCATTCTATTTTCAAAAATTTTCTGGGTGAGCATGCTCCCACACCCTCTTGGAGAAGAAGGGCTAAAGGGCCCACAACAGTACACTTTTCAGAAAACTCCAGCTACTAAAAACCTTAAAGAAAACCCTGCTTACATGTATGTATACTTTTACATGTAGTTGATGAAACAAAGCTTTAGTAAGTAATTTACAGAAATTTTGATAGACAGCATAACTATGAAGGTGTAGTAGTTTGAAAGCAATTTCCAAGAATTTTTGCCAAACAATATAATCATGGATATGATGTAATAACAATTATAACAATGGTAAACTGATATTTGTTGACTACAAATTCTTGTTAAAAAATAATCTCCAATGTATTTGCAGAACAATAAATGTTAACAAATAATTGTTTTTTTTTTCAAGGACAAATTCAACCATTATTGTTGAGAAATCAATGAAAAAACAACACAAAAAGAGTTGCTTTCTTAACATCCCTAATTGTACTCTGCACTTTATTAAGGGCTTTTCACATCTTGCCAAAATTGTTATGAGAGGTCATGTTCCAAGAGTGCTATGAGTCATGCTGAGGGTGTTTCAGACTTATTTCCTGTGCCTCCAATTCTTTCTTTGAAGCCATCTTTATGTACTTGTAAAATAAGTTCTAAAATTTTTTCATGTGAATACTTGTGCATGCATAATTATGTACGTGTGCAGTGTTCTCCCTTATTTTCAGCATGACAGGTAAAATAAATTTTCAAACTGGTAAAGCTGTCCTTTTACCTGTTGAATTTTCAAGAATTCCAAGCAATTTTAAGTAGTAATGAGAGGTACTACAGGTGGTAAATGTTACCAGTTACTGCCTGAAAAGGAGAACACTGCATGTGAGTTGACTCTGTTGTGGTTCAAATATTTCCTTCAAGTGTTATACATTTGTAAAAGCAGTTTTTTTGTTGTCTTCAGTCATGATTGTCACAGTGAGCACTTCACAAATAAAACAATAGATCAAAGTGGTATAGAATGATTTTGAACAAAGGATTAATTTGAACCACAACAACTAAATGAAGTATATCATAATACACAACCTTATGATGAATTTGATACATAAAATAATCTTTTCCTTAGGATCGAATGGATGATGACGCAGAAGGTTAGTGTCGCACAGTGTATTATTATTAAAAAAAGATTGTTGATTCTAGCTACTTTGTTAAGCACTCCCTGAGGTGTACATGTCTATAATCTTCATGTTTCTTGGAGCTGATGTTGAATTTTAAGTTTTGTCAAGACAATAAGTATGGTACTTTTCTCTGATGAAGACTGCTACCTGGGCTGTCAAAATGTCACTGCTACTGACTACAATCCTTCCAGGACTCCTTTCACTGAGACAATCAGACTACATGTTCAACTTAAGCTGTATTCCTGAGCAAAAAATTAAAACAAATGAACAAGCCAACAAACTAACCAACCTACATAGTATATAAACAAAGGAAAAAAACATGCAAAAAAAATTCAAACCAAAGAAGTTATATTGACAAAAACTCATCTTTCTATTGGTGACATGTTGAGACCAACAAATTCGAGAAAATAAATGAAAGATATTAATAGCTCTGCTACATTAGATTATTTGTCTATTTTGACATTTTTAATCAAAGAAGGATAAATACATCATTAGTACCATAACACTACATGCAAATGTGGTATACATGAAAGAGTCATCTGTATTTTTTGTGGGGTCATTACCTCTTTAAACCAATATTTTGTGTTAGTGAATATTAATTTTGAATTGTTGATTAAATATCTAAAAAATCCTTCATGAAGATGTTGTGTATTTATTTTACACTTAAGTTCAGGCAGTTGATTATTACAATGAAAATATGTAATGTTAATCTTCGCGAGAAGCTTCTCTGTCACTAGATCATGAAGTTTAGATCCACAGACTTTGAATTCTGTTAATTTTTTATTTGAAATGGATTTTGTGGCATGTTTGATCCTGACTTTTAGGTACTGCAATACCACTACAGCTTTACAGAATTTTGATATATTTTGTACTCCTTCTAAGTTTAATGAACCCAGTCAAACTTTTTTTGTGTGTGGCAAATTTCATGAGTCAATGAATTGCAAAATTTTCAATTTCTAATTATGCTAATGGAAGTGTTTCATAAACTGGGTATATTGATTTCTTTCCTGTTTGAATAATTGATCATGTATTCTTGGCACCTGCTATGACTGCTGCTACAAATGGATTGAGGCTCACAACAAGGGTTTTGAGGTTTCGTTAAAAGATTTGAATGCATTTACTACTGCAATAAATCACAGTGGGACCCTAGGCACATGTGCTGTATTGAGATCAAAAGCAATTGTTGAATTTAAAGGCTTTAAATCTGTTAGTTATGGTGGTTCCTTCACATGGCCAAACGTTTGAGGAGAAAAACTAGTGAGTGCAGGTTAATATTTATATATTAACTCTGAAATAAGACTTTTTCCTATGAAAACTGTTCATAAAAATGTCAAATCTTTCTCAGATTTCCCCTTTCTTGGGTATTTGCCCAAATATATTTATTTCTTGCTGCTAATCTCCACAGAAACTTCAATTTAGATGTAGAATTTCTTGTAATTTTGAATTTTAATGCTTTGAACTCTCTCTCTTGATTATTTGTTTGGTGAGCAAGCATGATTATTTCTGGACTGTTTACTTCATGTGAATTATAAAGATTACTGAATTAGAGTCAGTGATAACATAGAAAAATGTAAAATGTGTTGGCAGCCGTGTGAAGATGACCCAGTTTTCTTATGTGAAATAATTTTTCCCAGCTGTGAAATACCTTTATAGACAATCAACTGCCGTTATTAGAGTGGCCATTCATTTTTATAATTTATAGAACAAGAACTTCTCAATGAGCACTCTTTGCATGCTGTTCAGCTCCCCTTTAAGTCTACGAGTAGATAAAAATATAAAAGAATTGTAGGAAATAATCAACAAATTTCAAATTTTAGTTTTTATGTGTATTTCATGTGTATATATTAATTTTGCTGGTGGCTATCACTTATAGTAGATAATGAGTATATGAGTGTCAGGACACGGAATTCTGGCACCAAATGCTGTTATAGAATAATGAAAATGGGCTTCTGTGACCTACAGTGTAGTCTTACTGTCTGATGCATTCAATTTCCATCACTCCTTTCTCTTCTCAAAAGGGAGAAAAAAAACAATTTTTTGTAACATTTATAAAAAATTCTGGTGAGATTGTTTTGTTGATCAGTATTTCATTAAATAATCTTACCTCTCTGCAGATTTAGGTGACAAAGGGTTTTTTAATTCTCCATGTCGGGTAAACCTGAGGATTTGGTGTTAAATGAAACGTTATCACAGGACGAAATCACATGTTTCCGTATTTCTGAAACGTGGCGGAAACATGCAACTCCATGTTTCTGTTATGTTTACGTAAAAGTGGTCCGGTTCCGTTGTATACGCAGCAACGGAAACGCGAGAAAACGTCACGAAACCGGTAACGGAAACACAGGTTATCTGTCGTGTTTCCGGAACGGTTTAACATGTTTCTGCCACGCTTCCGTTTACGGATTCTTGCGATTTTGTCCTGTGTATCCTGTAGGTGATATTTTTGTATCACATATTCCTTGCGCTTGGAATTGCATTGATGTTGGAAGTATATTGTTTGTTTTGGTCATTCCTGGGGGTTCAAAGGGTACACTGTTTGTGCATATTGAAAAATATTTATTCTGAGCTATTTGCATGAAGTATGATGTTGTTAAGGTGGCGCTCTAAATATTTTGCATAATTATAATGTCTTTTTGTATCTAATAGGGGATGACTTTTTAATGGGAGGACCAACAGCACATGTAAGGTTTCATTGTACTTATTACATGTGCATTGTAGTACGTTATATTCTGATGAGTATAAGCCTTGTAGCCTGTTTCAGGATCTCAGCAGTTTGTGGAGATGAGCAAAGAGAGGGATCAAAAGATACATGAGAGAAATGATTGGGAATCAATGTAAAGAATAATGCAAAGCCTGAAATAATTGCTGTAAATGGCTCATTCTGCCCTCTGATCCACCCACTACCACAAGAAACTTAATACATGTATCAATGTACACTGCTAAGTCTTAGTTCTTTGAGTATTACTGCAATTTTTGTATTTCACAAACAGGTACTTTCTCGATACCTGATTTATTTTTCATATCTGGAATTTAGTTGATAGTGATTCTTTGGACTTAATATTTTGTAGCTGGAACCTCTAGAGAAAGAGTGGCTTGTATCAGCAGCTAAAGGAAATAGGGCACAGATCATGTGTCTCTTGGAACAGGATCCTAACTTAGCAACTAAAAAAGTAAGTTTCACCTGCATCACAATTTGATATGGTTATGTATGTGTAAAGGTTCTTATAGCTGCAAAAAGATTGATACAATATTACAACAATACTACACTGTAATTTCTCACACTTTTTGGCGGTGTTTGGTTCAATATTTTCTAGTCATTAAAAATATTGAAGCTGAATTATTTCTGACATGACAACAGAATGGAAGAAGTAGTTCTTCATGGATGTATTTTATTGTCAAACTCTGAAAGTTTGCTATTTTCTTTACTGTTTTAGGACTTTATGCAGGTATGTAAATATATTTGTTTATTATAAGTATGATTTTTGTTTATTTATTAGAATTTTATTGTGAAAATATAATTATGACATGTACAATACTTTGTTACAACATAGCTAGTAAATCTGTCTAATCAAATTCAATTGTGCGAGCATGCTTCATATTCCTATTTTGCACGCTCATGACGTCAGAAACCAAATCCCTCGAGAAAAAAAATTTTCCATTGGGTTGAAAATGTTATAAAACAATGGGTTCATACACCAGCTGTGTGTTCATCGAGATATGAAGCACTTGGGAAGTTAGGAGAGAACTCAAGAAGCTAGAGTTGCTTGAGGTGTAGCCTCGAGCAACTCTTATGCATCTTTCGTGCTCTCCAAACTTCCCGCATGCTTCATATCTCAATGAAGGCATGCTGACGTATGAACCAATTGTTAATTATTGTTGTTTTTAGATAATGTTTGTCCCCTTTGCCAATTTATAATGTATAGCTGAGTGATATTTATCTTAATGCTAAAGTCAGGCACTAACTCTTCTCTGTTTTCTCTTTTCATCGCATGTTTAAAGGGGGTGAGTACAATGCTAATTTGTATTTTGGAAATTTTTGTGTGTGGAATACAAAGTCTGAACAGTGGTGTTTCACATACAGGTTTTGATCAAAGTGCACTTTTTTGAAGGATATGTAAAGGATTATATGAAGGATATTTAAAGTCAAATGTAGCTCATTGTGAGAAAGAATTCATTGCACATGCATTGAAACGAAATGATGGAAATATCTGATTAAGATAAATGTAAATCAATTAAAATGTGTTAATATTACTGAATATTCACTTCAAAGTATTTTTATAAATCATAATCATCAAATTGAAGAAAATTCTTTGCTAGCCAAATCATGAAGCTGTCAATGAACTGAGGCCATTGTGTTGTTTGTACATGCATCAATTATAACCTTCTTTTTTTCTCTTTCATATGTACATCTTTTTTTAAAAATTATTTGGATCCTTCCTTTGCTGGTTCATCAAAACTATAGTATGTAAGTACATTATATATTTTATATAAATTTTGAGCAATACGTGTACATTTACATTAGTTAAAGAATAGTAACAAAACCTCTCCTTAAGATGTACTGGTACATGTCACAAATGTAATGGCAAAAAAAAGTAAAATTTGTGAACACTTTTTTTACATGTTTGTGATATTTGTATTTGTAGGGCATCACTTTTCCTTTGTGACTTCTCTCTTTATACCAGCTCTCATTGTAATAATTATTTCCATCTTTATTAATATATATATTTTTAAAAGTGATTATGATTATTTTCAAACTTCGCTTCAAGTTAATAATAAAAGCTTTACAGGTGTACGTTCTCATAGCAAGATTCTGGTAACTTTATAAGTGTGGGATTGGACAAAAGAGTGAGGGGTAATGCTGATGGAAATTACTCGACTCTCTATAGAGTGCAATCCACTGGGCAGCCAAGCATGGAAGAGCCGACATTGTGAAGCTTCTAGCTAGTACAGGAATTGATGTGAATGTTAGAACGGTATGGAAGTTTTTTCTCTCTTTTGGTCTTTTATATCGAAATGATATCAATTTTTATAAAATGACACGATCCTCAATCAACCAAGGTGAAGCAGCGCTTTTTTCTGATTGGTTACCTAACTAGGTAAGATTAAGCAAATGCATTGTTCTGATTCGTTACCCAACCGGGCAAGAATTGCCCGCAAAAAATTTTAGTTTATAACTTGTTGGTATTTTTTTTTTGTTAAGGAAAAAACTTTGAACGATATCTTTGTTTGCTTTTTTTATCATTTAGAAGAGTAGTCAAACTAAACACTGTGGAAAAAAACGATTTTTATTAATCCTGTGTTATGCGTATTTTAACGTAGCCTGAATGGTTGCATGAATAACCGGGATTTTTTCTTTTGATATTTTCTTTCATAATCCTGGTTATTATCCTGTTGAACAGAACGTAAGTAACAGTCGAGTTATTCTTAACCATCTATTATTGATTTCCTAGCTTAATGATACTTTATATCTTAATTTTTTTGTATGGTGTAGAAGTTTGATTTAGTAGAAATTGTAATTGAGATGTTCCACGAATACTGATGTGGTGTTGTTTCTCTCTTTTTTTGCTTACTCCATGGATTACTTCAACATATCTCTCAGGGGGTAAGTCATTCTCTTCTAACTGTTAATCTATCTTTATTAAAAAACGGCTTCAGTTTTTGTCTTCCTCTTGAATCTGGAACCAAAATGTCTTATTGTGTGATTTACACTCTTTTCTTTGATCCTCGTCATCCCTCAGCATTATCCTTAGTCTTAGTGAATTTTGTCCATTTAAGTGTTTCTATTGCACCAAACAAACTATTGGGTAGCTTCTTTTACTTAAAGGTGATTTCGCCCTTTATCCGAACTCGCGCGGCGAATTTTCCAGTTCAGCAGCCAATTTTGTGATCATTGTTCCTCCTTACTCAGGGATACACTCCACTTCATCTCGCTGCCATGCACGGACACGACGCTGTCATAAAAATGCTTGTCTCTGAGTATGGTGAGTTAAAAACTTTTTATTTTTATTCTACCGCAATAGTAGTATAAGCATTGAAACTTTCACATTATCCGCAAGGTTACGACATTTGACTGACGGTGATTTTGAATTTGTTATCGCACAGAAGCGGATATAAACTGTCGTGACTTCAGTGGCAAGAAACCGAAACAAGTGGCTAGAGTCGAAAACCTGACGATTGAAGCACAAGGTACATAAAGATAGAATTGCAATAAATTCAAATCAGAAGCATTAAGGATGATATGCACAAATATAGGATAGGAATAACAGAAACGGTAAATTTTGATAACGGTCTTCGAGTAAAGAAAGCTGTTATTCGTGTTCAATGAGCGCGGGACAGAGAAGAAATCCGAATCCCAACATGAAAAGAGTTATCCATCTACCGTCGCATAATTAAGAAAGGCTACCGTTTGCAATTCGTTGAAAGGACTGGCATTAAGTCACTCTGTAATAGCGGAGCTCGCAGAGCGTAGCCCCATAGTTATACAAAATAGTAATAACCCATCAAGCCGAAAAAATTGGATGTACGACCGTACGACCGTACAAGGTGCTACTTTTAACATGCCTGGTCAGCTGTACCGCCAACGCCACGGCTTTGTTCAGTAGTCCAGTGGTCAGTGTACTGGGCTCCGAGTCGGACGACCCGGGTTCTAGTCCTGGCCGGGGCAAGGCGTTTTGCCCTTGGGACGTGCGGGGTAAAAATGCGAGCTCCGCTTTTAGGCTTGGCTGTAATCAATGTATCTAATGACTCATCTTGCTGATATGCTTTATTTTTAGCGCTCCTAGAGGATCAATTCCGAAATTATTCAGGTAACTATATGAGAAACAGCATCTTTTTTAATGTATATTTGAACGTCGATAATTTTAAGAGAGATGTTTGATTGAGTGTGGTTAAACCGAAACCAAAATGCGACACAACTCAAAGGCCTTCAGGATCTCTAGAGGCCTGTGAGTTATCAAAGAAAATGACTATAATCACCCATTTCTGAAACGCGGCAAAATACGGGTAACCAGACTGCATTGAGCATCTGATTGGTTGAGTTGAAGGTGCGAGTTGTTTTTTTTAATAAATCACAAAACTTAGAAGAGCAAGAACGAGGGTATCCCGACAAGTCTCAACAATCGATCGGAAATCTCTCACATTGTGGCCACTAAGTATCAGTGGTAAAAATGTGAATCCTTACTTTTCTTGTAGTGTGCCTTTTTTTGAGAGGTTTTACAGGCAACAGTAGTGCGCATTTAGAAATTAAGTCTCACACAGTCATGTTATAGCACTGTTAACAATTTGTGGTAATGGCGTGTCCTTTTTGTGAGGGGCTGGCCATAAAATATGTTTTGGAAGTCTTGATACAGTGTATCAGCTACAGGTGAGACAAAAGGAATAACAGTCCTCTACACACTAAGCGTTTGAAGTTGCATTTCTTTTTCTTTTTTGGGTCCTAATGGGAAGTTCATGTAGACATGGTACTGAATGATGGGCGGGAATAGGGAAGGGGGGTAGGGAGGAGGAATGTGGGTGGAGGAACGGAAGGGGGGGTAGGGAGGGGGAAGTGGGTGGAGGGACGAAAGGAGGGTTACTCTGGCTCGGATAAACGGGGTAAGTTTGTAAAGAAACTGTGGTGCTGCGTCGGTGGAAGAGTGTAACAGGGTAATTTAGTATTATCAACTGATTTGATAACGTAAATTGGCCACCGTAAAGAGTTTCAAAGCTGACGTTTTGAGCGTTATCCCTTCTTCAGAGCGAATGACGAAGGTCTGACGCTCGAAACGTCAGCTTTTAAACTCTTTACGGTAGCCAACTTACGTTATCAACTCAGCTGATAATACTAAATTACCTTGTTGCTCTGGCTTGGTTTTCTTGCTTGGTTGATTTGAATTAGATGATATATTATGGAAGTTGTCAGGTAATTATGAAATAACGATGGAACGAACAGAGTACATACAACTTTAGTATTGTGTTTTTGAGAGTCTTTTTATCCAATGCTACTCCTGAACTCAGATGAGGTTACAAGTTCAAGTATAGTCAGAAGGTATAGCGAGATCTTCCTGGCTGGAATACTGCGACTGAGCGGAAGGGGCAAGAAGGACAGCAACAATAACTCAGATAAAGCTACCAAATAACTTTATTGAATATCTTCATGCTAGCCTTTGCAAACTGATCGCTAACAAAAGGCTTTGAGAAGCAACGTGTATGCATTTGAATTTGTAGAGTTATAGTTAGGCTTTATGCGAGATATCTTTGCGTACTGCAAGCTGCTTGTGAAAAGTAGGGATAGTAGATTTTTTCAACGATATAACATTCAACTTAAGAAGGACATGTTATTAAAAGGGAACTGATATGTGCAAATTAAGGTAACATGCTATTTCTAAGAAGATGCCATCGAGGTGGAAGATATATGATAATTTAAAGCATTTTTTAGTGACGTACTCTCCTTTTCCGAGGGTGAAGATGCTCTGCGTAAGCAAGAACTTATTTTAGATCTTTGTGCAAATATTTACAATTGTACTAAAAGGTTTGGCCAGTTTTTTACTTATATCCGATAGATATCATTTGTTATTTTGAACTGTCCCGTTGTAACGACGATGAGTGGTTATATCTCCATCTTCTACAAAAGCAAGGAAAACTATTTGACATTCAAAAGCCTAGATTTTAAAAAGTTTTGTCTCTCCCGTTATAAGGTTAAACAGAGTAAATAGTTTAAAATACTAAATGTAATCAGATTGTTTTGTTCTGCAACCTTCCAGTGACTCTCGCGATCGATTTCATCATGTCACAGTTTCGTGGTTGTGTCTTAAATCCTATTTCAATTCTCGTTTTCGCTTGTTTCTATGTGTTAAAACTTATTTTGTGAAAATATACCTCTGCTAGTTTGTTCGTTTCATAGGAGTTCGTCTCTATCTCAAAAAGCATCTCAATTTGTGAAACATTGTTTGGAGGAGACGTACATGAAATGCGTAATTATAGCGATGAGAAAGGTACTCTCCTCTCCGCCGGTACTAGATATGTCCAAGCAAGTTTAAAATCTAGTGAGCTTCTCTGTTTAACAACATTTTAAACAGCATCTTCGATATTCACTAGTCTATCAGGAATTCAAATGTGGTTTTTTCATTTTTTTTAAAGTTTTTGGCGGCAGTTATAGCGGAGTGGACATGATATTGTTGATGTTTTATCTCTTTTAATATTCCAGTATTCTCGGTATTGATTTACTTGCCTTGTGAAAAAACCTCACCTCCTAGCTGTTGGAGCTGAAACTTTTTAAGCACTCAGGTGTCTGGACAAGCTAATACTTAAGTTTCTACCAAGGTAGTTTCTGAGTGATGCGACTTTGGCTTGACTTGACACATTCACGTGACAACATCTCGCACTTGCTGTTTTTCTTAAGATAGCATGGAATAGGTCAGTGTTGCTGCTTAAGTGTGCCTCTCGTTAAAATTAGCAAGTACTACCACAGCACGTTACTGGTTTCAATAATTTGCGTTCCACGTGGAAGGTAATTTTTGTATATGTTGCTGGACTTGGAAAAAGCTATTTCCACGTGGTAGGGAACCTTGTAATGATTATTGTAGCCCTCTGATGACATATTTAAACTTATGTAATTAACATAGATCTCTACTTACCTTGAGATGGTGTGACATGTAAGCGTGATGGTGTAACGTAGACATTTCAACAAAGCGGAAAGTACCTACCGTCTTACCAGGGAAGAATTCGCTATATCCGGCTTGTCTCTCATAGCAACGCGTTTGATTTTACTGGATAGTCACTGATTATTTTTTATTTTGTTTTTGTGTTGGTGTAGTTATATGTTATTTTATTCTGCCTGAAGGGCGAGGGCAGCGTGGAGAAGGGGGTTTTGTACGTTATTGACCAAGAAAATTCTGGCTCTTTAGTCAGTTGTGGGAAAGAGGTTTTGTGAAACTATTGAAACCGTCCTCACAGTGAAAAAGCGCATCGCAATTCATTGCTTGCGTAGGGCAATGTGTCCTATTAAGTCTTTTGAGGTAGCTTAGTTTGATGGATAGATGGAGAGAGGGATGGGAGTAGACGGTTTGAGACTTCAGTCGGTTGTCAACGCCCTGGTTTATGGTTTTTTTCTTGAATTTGTACTTTTAAGCCTTGGAGTTACTTTGCATTAAAGATACACAGCTAGGCATTTGTTTTCTAGGTTTTGTCCTCGTGAATGTCTTTATCACGATCGTCATTACTGGCTCGTTCTTGCGCTGTTAGTTAGACGCATGTGTGATGTACCACTGGATTTTTTACGCAGACTCAGTGATGCTTACAACGTTTACTTCGCCCATTAGAGCCTCACTGACTTTTATGTTTTCGCAAGGATTATTGCTCACTTTCTCTCAACTAGGGTGTCTAGAAATGCATGGAGAGTAGTTTGCAGTTCTCGAAAAGTTTTTGCTAGACAAGTACCTTAAGTTCACAAAACTGATATGCCTGTTGTCAATGTTAAATTTGCTCGTGTGGATGTTTTGGTTAGGACAACTGCAGAGCAAATTTTAGAGGGGTGTTTGGGAAATTTTTATTCCAGCAAGGCTTCAGGGAAAAGTGTATCTACCAAGGAAAAAAACTTGCTAGTTTTAAAGCGTAGAGAAAGCAAAGCAATTGTGTAAATGGACCTGTTTGTGCTTGTTTTGCAGATACATCATCTGAGTCATCAGGCTACGGCTCGCTCAGTAAATACGGCTCCCTAAACTCCAATCCGGGAGTGGTGATGTCCAGTCACCACAGCAACAGCGAGAAGGGCAGTGGTAAAAACGAAGTGTCCGATGATAAATCCAGGTCAAGATCGGTAAGATGTGTTCTTTTCCTTTCACAATTGTACAGGCCTCGGTCAAAGGGTGGATAACGCTGTCCACTTGATAAATCGCTATCAGTTGTTCGAAGTTCGAATAAAACTATCCGCTTGATACATCTCTATCCGGTGGATAACGCCATACCTTTTGCTATCACTTATTCACTGGATAGCGGTTTATTTGTTGGATAACGTTATTCGACTTTTACACAACTGGACCCAGGTGGATAGCGCCGTACGTTCTGTAACAGTTACCTTGGATTCATGCGTAAGATAGCGTTATCCGTCCTTTGAGCACCTGGGCCCAGATCCTTCCCCCAACCTTTCCTTTCCCCCTTCCACTGCTTTAGTCACCCACGTTCCCGTTAAGGTTTTCAAAGATTATGTCGCAGTCGGACTGTTGAGTCTGGTGCAGTGGCTGTTATTTCAGACTTCTTTTTAAGCCTGTTAATAATTTTAACTCGCAGATGTTACAAAAATTCCATCAAAAACAACAAACAGTCAAACAAAACAGATCAAAAAAGAAAACAGCAACAACAATCATAACAACGGTTTTGAAAAATTCCCGCGGATTTGTGGGACGCTACTCAATCCCTCTTTCTTTTTTCTGTCGCTTTCTGATTTCTTGAAAATCAGCTAGGCCCAATAGTACATGCTGTAAAACATTTCACACACTCAGTCAAACCTAGGATTGGAAAACCACGTGGAGCGATGTTTGGGCCTTTTGCAGTTAGGAGAGGAGAGTTTTAGGATGTTACATGTGTGAATGTTACAGCAGAAAGACTGGACGTTGTGTAAACGATGTCTGTTTTCTCTTTTTACATCTCTTATATCAACACCCATAGCCCCGGTCCAGACATATCTAATCAAATGGCTGCTGCTTCCCGCTCATTTCTTCCTGGTGTAACATTATGTCAACCGGTCACCATTAGCGCGTCAAAACTACTTGCGCGTGGAAAGGACTCGCGCGTCACGAGCTGCTGCGGTAACTCATGACTCGCTCGATTGTGGACTGTTTGCGTGCATGTAAACAATCGTGGAAGAATCATGTGGATGCGTGCAAACCCAAGTCTAGACCGTTTTCATTTTTTTTTTTCATTCGGGTTTTACGTGCACGCGTGGACGTATGCATGGATAGAAAAAACAATCTCCTCACGCTTAAAGCGCTAGACCCATATCCAAAAAATAAGAAAAACAAGGAAAGAAAAAAAGAAAAGCATTTTACCCTACGATTGATAGCCATGTTCCAGAAAACCCGAGTGTATGCGTTCACGAGGAAGCGAAAAGATAATTGACATCGAGTAAAATCGCTTGGGCTTAGAGAAGAATAAGCTGAATATTTAGGCATTTATGTTTAAAAAATCTGCCCTGGTTAACTGTGATGTAAACTTTCGGTCTCCCTATTGCGAATGTCTCCATCCGTTGTAGTTTAGGTTAAAATGGTACCTTTTTTCTATTTGGTGCCCCTATTCAACGTAACAATCACTGGAGAAATAAGACATCGCTGATAGTAAGTTGCTGTTGAGCAGATGTTCTATTTATGCCTGTGACTTGGAAAGGGAATTTTAGTTTTAGATGGCTTTGCCGAGAAAAGTTATCTTACAAAGTCTAAAAGAGCACTTGGCAATGCTATAAAGTTATTTTGGTGATAGGTGTTTACGGTTGGCTGCTCGAAGTGTAAAACGCCTTGTCTTGAGAAAACATCTATGAATACAAATACATGCCCTTTCTATCTACATGTACCTACGTGTTTCGCGTTTAAGTATCGAAAATCTATGAGAAGTGCTGTTATTTTTAGGAGAACTTTTCTTCAGTCATGTCTGTGGGTTATTCTATCACGTGCGTGAGATATTTTTAGAAATAACCGTTGTTTGCAATATTGCCTTAGAATATTATGCAACATTGCCTTATTGCCTTAAAATATTCCCGAAGGTGTATTGCATACACCTTCGGAAATATTTTAAAGCTGCTCTTAGACATTAATTTAGAAACATGCCTCTCGGCTGTGAGAATTCTGAGAACATTTGCGATCTGCGAGTTTTCATTGGTAAAATGAATTCCATACTTAACGTTTTGTCAGGTGTTTTTTCTTTGACACTTTTAACCTTAGACTGCTTTAGTTTTGAAGGCTTTTAGGAGCGAAAACAATTTTTGTTTTTCCCATGTTATTGCGCGGATGTTTTGAATTTTTGTAAACACTTAATTCATAGCTGTACCATGATAACATGCTGGAGATCAGTGTTTTTAGAATCAATGAATTAATTCCTGTCATTTTTTTTTAACCTCCTTCTAAAATAAGAAAAGGGCATGTTTTTTTGGCGATTTGGAGGCCTTTGATGCATCTAAAAGTCGTTCATTTAACCGGAACAGATAAGCGTATTTGATAATATCGAAAAGCGATTATCGACACAAAATGTGTGTTTGTTATTATGATCGAAAATGACAACCCAATTTTCAGACTTCCTATTTAAACTCGTTGGTTTTCCAAGCCGTACTTACGTGTATCTCTGTAGCACATGTTCAGTGTAGTAGCAAAAAGGCTTGTCCTTTACAGCGCGGAACAGTTATTCATGGATTCAGTATCGGTAAACTGGATTCTTCCTCCGAAAAATTTCTTTTGTTTTTCAAAGGAAACCTTTCCTGTTTCCTCCGGCAGTTTGGCCTCGAAGGCATGATCGCGCGCTTTGTCGCGAAGCGTCCACCGTGCGATGATGCTTGTGAAAATCTTGATGTTACCAGCCCATAATGGTCGTTATGTCTAGATTTCACACAACTCTAGACCAATATACTTAGTATGGGAACGATTGTGGAAAAAAGCGGGGCACGATTTAACATGTTTTTATCCCCTTTAGAGTAATTTGTTCGAAGGTCATATTATGACAGACGTGTCAAAGTCCATTGGCAATTAAGATAATGTTATTGACTGGGTAAGATTTTCACGAGGAAATGTCTCTAATGTAGAAACCGTGTGTGCATTTTCGAAGCTATATCGCGAGATGCTGCTGATATTGGAATTTGCTATCGATGTTTTTACAATGATCTTCGACATTGTTCCGAAAAATACGTTGGATTATATGGCCGTGATTAGCGAATGTGATACCACTTGATATCCAGTTTATCATGAGAAAATGGGAATTTGATGTTTCTCAAGGAAATTGAGCAAATTTACCTTGGTTGATGTTATATTGATGCTAAATGCCTCGAAACTCTTACCGATTCGTTGGTTGTCCGCGGTCACGATAAATGAAGTTTGCAGAAAAAGTATATTTTAAATGTCAACCACACAGTTGGGATAATATGAATGGACTTTGTGTGAATAATTTCCTTGTGGTAAATATGTAATTAGCTCTGTCTAATGTTGTTTTGATTTTGACGTTGTCTTCGTCTGCTCGCTTTCCCAAGTCAGTTAGAGACAATGAACGATTTAAGCATTAATTTAAATGTTTGAGTACTTTTGCGGCTCAAAGCGTTTGGTCAATAAAAACAAGGGGAAAAAACAGGACTTGTATCCTTATATCAAATTCCTTACGAACCGATATAATATTTCGTTCAATATATCTCGTCGTCAGTGTGATTTCAGAATATCTGTAAAATCTCACGCATTGATTTCACTTCGTCACTAAATAATAATAACAAAAACTTACTTTAACAAGCGGATTCAGTTTATGTTGCTATCGATGAAAAATTTGAACGGGGTGCAATAATTTTTGTCTCTTTCAGCCGGTGCCCTATCAAATTGTTCATAAAAACCAACATCTGCCCTCAAGGTATTCGCCTTTAACAAGTTTGTTGTTGCGAGGATCGTGAAGGTTTCTTTTGCGGTCTTGTCTTACATTTGATTCTCGCGCGGTTAACACGCGTGTTAGACACGCGCCCTAACTCTCCATTATATCATAAACCTTTACTGGCCTATCGTTGGGGTTTCTCTAGTGGGGCAATCCACTCAAACCCAGACCTCATAAATGCTTCCGTCTGCACTCCTCTCTCCCCTCACCCCCCTCCCCCTTCCTTTCCCACCTCGTTTTCCAGACTCAAAAACGCTGCCTGTTGTCTCCAGAAATGACTCAGTCCCATTCTTCTTGGTCTAGAAGTGTTCATTATCTAAGCAACTATCTCCATTTTTTTTTCCTATTTAGTCGTCCATAGGTAAATTTTTGATGAAAAAGAGACAGAAGCAGAAAGAACGCGCACCAGTGCCGCACTTTCCTCCAAGTAGCACCAGTGCTGGGTAAGTGTTACCTGATTCAAATTTGACTTAAATTTGTGCCAGGGTCTCTGTCGGTGGAGAGGAACGTAGAGCGAACGAAAACCGCGATAGGACTTGGAAAGAGTTTGAGTAAAAGCCATTTTCCTACCCGCAATTCCCCCGCTCGCCTTATTCTTCTCTCGTCTGTACTTGCCAAGAGCCCTTTAATAGAAATATAAATGTAGATAAACATTTGAAAGTGAAAGGAAAACAAAGATCATAAACAAATAAATAAATAAATAAAATTATAAGTGAATGAATGTACAATAAAAGGATTAAAAATGAATAAATAAATGATAAGATAAATGAAAAAAAAAACAGACAAATACATGAACATATAAACAAATAAATGAATGAATAAACACGGCGGATTAAGGGCAATTTAAATAAATTCATTACTAACAAACTAGAAAATAAAACTCGGTAAACTGTTGTTTTAATTCTCAGCTCTCAAAGTGTGATGATGTACCGTCGAACATCTGACACTCAGCCTTTTCAAACCACAGTTCTTCAGAGCAGTTTTCGCAGAATCCTGAGCTCAAGTTTAGAGACCAGACACAGAGTGCGACCATATAATTACACTATATAGCCAATAAAGTGGAATAGAATGAAGAATAAAATATCAACTCAAAATAGTAATTATAACTTAAATTAAGCATTTTATAATTTTTTTTATAAACATGGTTTTTAAAAAAATACCCTTTTTTCGTAAGTATCTGAAAAAAAAAAAGTGCGAGTATAAATAAAGATTAAGTAATATTCCCTATTCCTCATGGGAAAAAAAGAAAAAAATCTTTTGTAACGTTTTTTTTGCAAATATATTCTTCAATTGATACTATATTGTAACTAACTTGGAAGAATATAAAACAGTCAACTTTACAGTCAACCAATTCGTTGGTTATTTTATAACACGACTATAATAGTTAACATCTTTAATAAAAACTTGATAAAATTTAACAAACAGTCCCTATACCTTTGTAACGAATGTGACTTGAACAGCTTTTTATGTAAGATATTATGGCGTAACTTATTGTTTGTGACCGCCGCAGTTGATATTTATCTCGCAGACTAGCATTTTGTTATTATTTATGTGGTAAATTGTGGCCTCTTAGTAAAGTATAATACTTTTTGCCAAGTGATCAGGTAGACTACTGCAGAGTATTTTCATTCCTGTGCAATGATTTTCTTCCAAAGATGTATTTATATGCATATTACATAAGCGTTGTATTTGAAGTCATGTCTAGTTTGGTCATTTAAGTTATGTTGACCTCGGTGAAGCCTAAGTTGACGCTTACCGCTGATAAGAAACGAAAATGTGGTTGAGATGCCCGGCAGTTCGAGTCAGCTGAGACAGAAGATTGTATTTCCTTGATGGGAATTCATGCGGATTAGCGAGAAGTTGATGGTAACTTAGTTCGAAAAGGGGGCTCCAACGCTCTTAGTGAACGTGGCCGGTAATGAAGGTCATTTAGAGTCGGTGTTGTTTGCACAATTTAGTTGGAACATGTTAAAAACTCAGGGAATTTAACGTACGCTTTAACTTTTCAATGTAGCGAGTCTATGGACTTCTTAACACAATATGCTAGTCAAAAAACCCCCAATTTCTGGCGTAATTTGTCGTATGTTGTATACTCTTAGAATTATGAAGTTCTTATGCATTTTTCAGCCTAGTTCAAAACGCGTCTGAAATTATTTTTTAGCTTCGCTCGTCACCATTCGATATCAGGCACATACCTCGTGCTCCTTGTGAACACTTACAAAACCTAGAAGAAATTCGACGATTTTTTGAGCCAAATTAGCAGAGTATAGCAAAACCAATGCAAGCCTTGATTGCCCATGACAATCGATTGAAAATTGCCCCCAATATGACGAAAATTGGTACTTTTGTTTACAGATTATTGATAAGCACCCCATTATCAGTTGAATCTGGGTCGTTTGAAGGGAGCCCTGGACTCATATCTCAGCGAACCTACTCAGACTCTAATCTCCTCAAGTCGACTGGTGTTTAGCATCCACATAAACGATCACAGCAAAGAAGAGTTGTTCCACAAACTCTATTTTCCTGTAAGAAGCCATGCCCTGTTGGAGTCACAGTTGTTACCTCAACGCTCTTACTCTAGAAATTAGTCATAAAACCTTCCTGCAGGAAAGGATTGAGATTCGAGAAAATTAGGAAAGATAGGATGCTTTTTTGTTAGAAGTCCAAACTCTCCTACCAAAGTAGAAGAAAGTGTATAGTAGCTAGAAGAGAATGCTCGACTAAAGATCAGCCATCTCACCGTTACTTACTGTGTGGGACTGAAAATATACGAGAATACAATGCTAAGAGCTAAATTGGCCAACTTAGTTTTTATTTACGTCGTGTGCACGGTTGTCTTTTGTGCTGTCTTTGTAAAAATAGACGATGTTTTCATCATGTTTTCATTATTTTATAATGTTTATATTTATGTTGGCCCAGGTTTTCAAAGTACAGCCATCTCTGTACGGCACGTTTACATAAGGAACCTTTCCCACAGCCGGCAGAACTTACATTCATCTGCCTAAATTTTTTAGTAAAACGTTCCAATTTGGCTACATTACTTTATAACCCAGTGTGCTAAATTAAGGTGATTCCTCAGTTTTGCACCGCGCATCCTGTATTGCACATAAAAATCACGTCATTAGGGGAATGAGCGCGCGCGCATTCCGAGAATACGGTATTGTTTTTCAATCCATGGACCGATAAAAAGGTACGATGGTCTTTCGTTCTTAAAAGAGCACAGTGACATATATATATTCTTTTGCATAATTTTGGCGTACAATTTATCCCCCTTAAATTGAGAAAATTATGATCTTGAAAGGAACAACCTGAGGAACATTAAGTCGGTGTTTGAATTTGCGTGATTTTCCCAAATGATATATCAGATTATTCCATATTTTATATTTTTCGAACAGACAATGGTAGGGAACATTTTAGGATAATAAAAAAATTGTTCGATAACTTTTTTTTCTGAGGAATCACCTTAAGTCTGAGTGGAGACTTTGTGCAGATAAAAAGACGTTATTTACATTTTTAACCTCGCCCCCCCACTCCCCTTCTTTTACTGATCCTCCCCTCCCTTGTTTTTCTTCTGTTAATCTCTACGTTTTACTAAATTCAACTGAATCCTTTTGAATTCTTGTTTTGATTAAAATTTGTAGATAAGATTTTGCTACATGCATTAAAAAGGTTTTTTAGTCACACTTGCTTCTTCCAAGTCTGATGTTATTTATAATCCATCAAATGTATTTGTTTGCGCGCGGTTGGTCTTAATCAATCTCATCACGTGACCGAATATGCCCCAGCCAAAACTGAGAAGTATCCGACGATATATCCCAAGTGATGGTCCCCAATTTTCAAACCTTATGTCCATTACGAGAAGTTTTCCTTTAAAATTTAACTCAAGATGAGAGAGCGTTTTGTGTTTGTTGCAGAAAAAGGGACATGTTCAATATTGTTCATAAAGTCGTACCAGAACATCCCGCAAAGTAAACGTAAAGAAGCTCGCAGTTCTCCTTAAGTTTCGCTCTCGGAAATGTAAAACTTGGAACAAGTTAGGTCTGCGCAGAAGTATCCATACATATTTTTGCGCCAAATCATGTGGAGACCATTGTTCTCTATTGTTAGTTTGACCACTTGCTCAATGGCCTCAACCCTGCAACCGTACGGAGACGCAAGTACGGTTTGACCATCAACTTGCTGCAATGAGCGATGTACGATCTGCAGGAAATCAAACTGACTTAAAATCGAAAGCGGCATATCGAAACCGCTTTTGACGCCGTCGTCTCTGATGCAGTGAAAACTACATGAGCAGCTTTGGCCCCGAAAAAATTCGCAGCATGCATTCTGCGAAGGTGCTATATTTCTGTCATCAGTGTAGAGAATTACATGAACGCTTGCGGTCGGTAGGTGTCTGTGCGGTTACTTAAACCTGTTGATTATAAGTTAAAAGTTCACCAAATAATTAGTACTTCATCTATGCTCGAATGTCAATTACGAAACAATAAATCTTGCATTGGAATTACTTGTCGCAATCTCATCGTCTCATCATGGAGGCTGAAGTCTTCGATCGATCAGCTGAGCTTTCTATAGTTACAGGATCCAATCTCGACCCCGAAAAGTAGTGGTATGTGCTAACGAAAAGTTAATGTAAAATCAGGCTGATTGCTTTTGCAAAGAACGAATTGTTTCGTCGATTCCGCGATAACTACAATACATTCTTTCACGCTAGCAGGTCTCAAGCGCACCAACAAAGGCTCTTCGTTCAAAGCCAGGTAACCAAACAACATGTATGTTATATCTTCAATTGGTCTCTGTTCTGGACTAATCAGACAAGGAGAATTCCAGCAGATGGATTCGCGAGGTCTCAAAATATAATCGTGCTGTTGATGCGGTAAATAAAATTGCTCTCGACCGTATACTTTAGGCGGGAAATGCCTCCAGTCGAAAAATCATGGGAAATTGCAAAGATGTCAGTCAAGAATAGCCGAGCTTGACAACGACATTCGGGAACTAGTAAAGGATAATAATTATATAAGTTAACGGTGGATGCCTCAAAGAAAGACTCCAGACAAAGCGCGGTGTCCTGATAAAAATTGGTGTGAATTCAATTTTTCGTGCCCTCTTGGGTAGTGTATACCTGAGGGTTATTTTTAATCTGTAGCATACCTTCTTGGGTAGTGTATACCTGAGGGCTATTTTTAATCTCTTGCATACCCTCTTGGGTAGTGTATACCTGAGGGTTACTTTTAATCTCTCCTATACCCTCTTGGGTAGTGTATAGTTGAGGGTTGTTTTTAATCTCTCCTATACCCTCTTGTGTAGTGTATACCTAAGGGTTATTTTTAATGTCTTCTATACCCTCTTGGGTAGTGTAAACCTGAGGGTTATTTTCAATCTCTTCTATACCCTCTTGGGTAGTGTATACCTAAGGGTTATTTTTAATCTCTTCTATACCCTCTTGGGTAGTGTATACCTGAAGGTATTTTTAATCTCTTCTATACCCTCTTGGGTAGTATACCCGAGGGTTATTTTTAATCTCTTCTATACTCTCTTGGGTAGTGTATACCTGAGGGTTATTTATAGTCTCTTTTATACCCTCTTGGGTAGTGTAAACCTAAGGGTTATTTCTAATCTCTTCTATACCCTCTTGGGAAGGGTATACCTAAGGATTATTTTTAATCTCTTCTATACCCTCTTGGGTAGTGTATACCTGAAGGTTGTTTTTAATCTCTTTTATACCCTCTTGGGTAGTGTATACCTGAGGGTTAATTTTAATCTCTCCTATACCCTCTTGGGTAGTATATACCTGAGGGTTATTTTTAATCTGTTCTATACCCTCTTGGGTAGTGTGTACCTGAGTGTTATTTTTAACCTCTTCTTTACCTTCCTTACACGGTAGACGCGTAAGACGAGTGAATTTGTTCACAATGACCTAAAATGCAATAACGGTGTTTTAGACCAGCTTCTCCCTTGGTATAATCGTTTTGGCAAGAGTGATGTCTTCGGAAAAGCTAAAAATGCCGTACCAAAACCTTCGCTCATAAAAGGTCATTATAAGAATAGGTGCATTGCGCTGAAGCTTGTAGACCAAACGGGGAGACCATCAGTTGAAAGCGATGTGTATTCTCTGTATTATCTAATCAACACAGTTTCTGTGTAAAGAAGGGTTTGTTGGAGTTAACCTTAAATAGGCTTAGGTCTTCGATCATGGAGGTGAAATCAGCTTTACCGGTGCCGCTTTTTAGACTATTTTTGAGTTTCTTCTTATTACGTGTTTTAAAGTGTTCCTGTTATATGTCTCTGTAACATTTGGTCAGGACTATTTGGGAACCTCGTGTCAACGATTTACTGTTGTCTTTTTTAAATTACTGTTGTCTCTTACAGAGAAAATAAGCTTAGCGTACCGCTTTTTTTTTTTCGAATTAGACCCGTTAAGTTTGTATACAACATTTCTCTGGACTCTTGTTTCTGGAAAGTGAGCGAACAAAGTAGAGTTTATGAAATGTAATCATCGGAAGTTGCGTTTTTTCCCATTTCCTTCGAGGGGAGCTTTATTAACCTTTCTGTAGCGATTATCGGATGTCCCGGAATGTTCATCGAACACCTCATGCCACCAAGAGGCGTCAAACCTTAGCTTGAGTTACTTATGCAAATTAGCTAGCTGCACATTTAATGTGTAGCCAACTAATTTGCATAAAATTTTTTTCCAACGCATAGCTCGTCATGCTGTAGAATTCGTGTGCACTCGAAGGGCCTGAGAACTGGCAATGTGATTGGATGATTCTATGAAATGTTATCTTCCAAAAGTAGAGCTTTCTTTAGATTATAAACGTCGGAGTCATAGACGAAATAAGGACCAATCTGTTCTACCGGCTAATCAATATGATTCTTATTTCCCGACGAGGAAGGTACGTAAGGTGGTAGATCCCGAGACTTAAGCATCGAGAATATAATGAGAGACAAACGCGGTTGGTGCGCCTTCCCTTTTTAGGTTGTTGATCGCGACAACCCTCTACTCAGCATAAAAATCAGAAATCTTGTAATTCATCTCTTATAGGATAATTTCAAGCCTTCCCTTCCTTTAGACAGTGTTAACTGAAATTTGAGACCATTTTGTAACATCACGCAACATTAATGAATTCCGAAAGTAGCAGGGAATGCCAAGACTTTTGCCACGTCATGGTAGCTAGCAAATTGTCGGAATGACGAGCGACGTCGAGTTATTTTTATACCCGCTCTATAGGGCGAGTGCTCAAACTAGCCGAATTCAACTTATGAGACTTGTTTCGGGGGCAAAATGTTTACTTTGGAACAGAACTGTAGTGCTGGAGGTCTGACGAGTGTTAGACGCGATGATTTGTCGCGTTCATAGCAACCTTTAAACTGCGGAAGGAAATGAAGGATCGCATGCTTTTTTGATCTTGAACAAATAACAAAATTTCTAAATATAAATGTTTGTGCTATTAAAAACTTTTGCTATCTAAATCACACATATCAGCTGTGCTCCACGTCATTTTTATGTCAATTATTTTGCAATTTTGACGTTACACTTCTGTCGGTTCGTAGCATCCAATTGTACACTAGAAGCTTTCCTTAGGAAAACAACTCATTCGAAAAGATCAGTATTTTAAAATACGCCACATACAACATTGAAATTAAGTGATCATTCTCTGATGTTTAATCTGACGTAACTTGGCGCAATTAGCTGGTGTATATTTCCTTCCAGCAACAGGATCAAAGTACCAGTTCGTTCTCCAATCATATTTCATTTCCTGTGTGAAACTACAAACGTTCTTCCGAGTTGTGCTCTCTTGTTTGTCGTATTTCCACTTGATACTTAATTTCCACTTTCGAAAGTTACTTAAAGTGGTATCATGTGAACCTAATTAAAATAAGAATTTCGTTTCAAACCAAACATGACTTTCTGTTACTTGTAAACCGAAGACCAAATTGATTCATTGAGTAATTCGTCTTGCACGTTAGATCTTCGAGGGGTAGACCGTCCCTAAGGCCGGGTTCTTTTTTTTTTATTTTGTTAAATTAGCTGTAGTTCTAGGTTTCTGCATGATTGGGAAAATATGGCAGAACATTTTTAAATATTGTCGTCTAAAATCCTCGTCAATCCCGTCCATACTTACATGACTTCCTGCCTTAATTTATTTTTGGCTCTTCAGTATCACTTATACCTTCCTGGCTTTGAATTTCGCGGTTTACTCCTGCAATTTGATGATAGTGTTGCACAGCACAAATACATGAAGCGACGTTCGTAGTTTTGAGGAAAACATCTGTAAAGTCACCTAAAATTTTGGTCTCAACTCCCCGCGCTACCAGCAAAAAATTGCCTTTTCTCGAATTGACGCGGATTCGCTGTCAGAAACGGCTCTGGCTTAGGAGAAAGCGTTCGAGTTATCTCTACGTGTGATCAAAAACATCACAAATCATTGGGTCAGTTTTGAGATATCCTCGAGTACCCAACTTCTATTATCATATTTGTAGTAAAGGTTTTCTTTCAAAATAACATGCAAGTTTAATTGCATGACCGCAAATGAATAAAGATACAGGCAGCAGAAACGGCAAAGTACAGTACACCAAAAAGACTCACAGAAGACGTCAATCGGGCGTGTTTTGCATGGCTTGCTCCAAGTAATCTGTAAAATTCAGAAAAATATTGAAAGAATTAAGGAAACTAACGCAAAGATCTGCAGCTAAATAGGCCAGTGGTAAAACCATACTCGCTGCCAATGCAGGTAAATTCTTCGATCTATTTCCAGCTGTCACTCACAATCACCGAAACGGTAATCTATCTAACATCTCTAACAAAATTTACTATTTTACATGCACATTTCCTCAAATAGTTAGCTATCATAAATAGTTAAACAGTCAAATAAACGAAAAGGATTATCATGCTTATGATCGCGCTTAAATTACTTCCACTTCAAGTTGTCCCAAGAGTCAGTGATGTTGTGATATTTTTATCGTTGTAAACAAAATGCGACAAGAACATGACATTACCGCTTGCCTCACACTGCTGTCAGTTACGATGTGGATCGCAACCTTTCGACTGCGTATTGCTAGCCTTCTCCAGGCGATGAGCTTGCATATATTCAAGTAAATTGTCTTGAAGTGGAGTCATACATTTTTAGTTATCTCATCTGATAATCATAGATTCACAGCTCTTTTCGAAAACTGTGGGAGATTATTTGAAAATATGTAAATTTTAGCATAGCATTGAACGCGGGATGGAAACCGAAAAAAAAAATCCAATGAATACACAAATAACTTTTCTTTTCTTTGTACTCGCGATCTTTGGATGAATGAATTAATTTTTTTCGTGACTGTCGGCCCACGCAGGTGTTTATCAGTGGAAACCAGCTTTGAAGGTCTTCAACAAACCCTTTCGTTTGACAAGGAAGTTGAACGATAGTACATCTAGATTTACATAGGGAGGGGTGGGGTATTACCCGGGAGTATTAACATCCTCTCTCTACCCCCACCCCCACAACGGCAAGCCTTAATATGTTACTTCCGTATCCAAACATTACTTTATGGCGTCCAAAAATGCATAGAATTGAGAGTAATTTTCTCCACACAAACTGTCATCTGGGAGTAATGAGAGACGCCATCAAGTCATTAAAGTACCTTGTTATGTAACTCGCAGGTCAGGAGATATTGGGGTTTAAAATATTTATTGCTGATGGGGATGAAAGATTAACAAATCCCATAAATATTTTCTCCTCTAATACCCACTTAACCCTTACTGTGAAGTCTAACTTTCTGACCAACATACATGTACGTGTTATTGAGCTCGGAGAAATGTGCCCGGCTATCACAGACCGACGTATCCTCCACAATTGAACGTGTATCTTTCTATGTATCCCCTCATTATGCTAATAAAACAATAAATAGATCATGTAAGGGAAGTTATTTTTTAAATACCTCGTGCAAGTTGGGAGGTTGAACAATCTATTTTACAGGTGGACAGTATTTTATCCCTCCTTTTGCGCTCGTGATAGGAGATAAGCGTTAGTTTGTTATCATAATCCCAGCGATGTGGCATGGCTTAATGAAAAGAAATCTATTTGTGAGTTATATATATATATATATTTCAACACAGACCAGCTGGCAAAGAAATTAGCTTGAGCCCTGCAAAAATTGTGTATGTTAAAACTAAATCAATTAAAAAACAGATGTAGACAATTTGTTCGAGTGACGTGTCTTTTATGGTGTATGATCAATGATGATCGTGATTTTGGCGAGTAATTTTAGACCGCTGCCCACCAAATTGAAGTTTAGAACCCAATATTGACGAAAGCGGATATGATTATCTTAAATAAGATGACCTAAGTCCTTTAAAAGCTGCGCTTCTTTGGCTTAATTTTCTTGCTAACTTTGCTTGATGCCGCAGGTATATGATACGAGAAAATAAAATTATCAGACTGACAAAACGCGTGCGTAAGCTGTGTAATTATAAATAAATGGAGATAAAGTGTAACCTCTAACAGTTCCAATCGAGGCCACTTCTATGCGAACGTGGGTTTGAAATGTTAATTAACAGAATGATACAAGCTAGAAGAGTCAGCTTCCGCTGCTGCTGTCTGTAACAGGTGGTGGTTAACTCTCCCTTACGACATCGCGATGCAATGCGTGATAAAAATTTTAAGCGGTGCTAATTTTTGCAAAGAACACTTCACGAAACTAGATTTATCTAGCGCGGAAGTTCATTTTGTTATTCTTAAGGCTGGATTTAATCAGACAGCAGGTTTCATTAATTACGTCGATGCTTGGCAACCAATCAGCGCACAGATTCTGGCAAAACCTGGGTCTTCCAATACAGGGGCGTTAACACTTTAAAGGGCAACTCAGCAAAAAAACTTTGCTCGTCTCAGGCATCAGATCTTGCAGTTCACGTCTTGTAGTAGAGACAGCTTTCGACGCTAATCAGTCGAATACGCATTAAAATTTTCAAGCAAGAAAGTGAAAGCCGTTTAGAAAAGTCAAGAACTGAGTTGTTATTCGGAAATAACCCGTCTCACGAAACTGCAAGAAACCCCAAAATGTTATCTAAGAAGATGCGACTTTCGTCAGTCGGAGTAGATCGATCCTTAGTACGAGGGGTTTCAACCAGAGTACCGAAGGAACGCAAGCGGTTTACACCGTGGCTAGAAGAACAGATCGAAGAAGGAGACATTGACGGCTTGGAATGGATCGAGAAAGATAAAGGTATTTTCAAAGTCCCTTGGGTTCGCGTCGATAAACCGGAGTTCGTCCTTGAAACTCATGCAGAGCTTTTCAAACGCTGGGCTGAGCACACCGGAAAATACCGTAAAGGAGATCAGCCTGATCCGTCCACATGGAAGACCAGATTTCGCTGTGCCCTGCGAAAAATGCAAGAAATTGTCGAGATCAGAGAACTGGGAAGTTTGGAAGGAAGCAAGCCGTACAGAGCCTTTAAGTTTGAGCCGAAACTGAAAGGTGAAGTACGACACAATTGTCATATTTTTTCAATTCACCTTGCACGCTTCTTATACTTTTGCTTTTATCATCAGATAATGTTCTCGTTACTTCGTGTTTTTGCATACAATATGTGCCTGTTGTCTCCAGAGTTACCATGTGTTCATACAAAAGCGTCTAGCTTTAAATCATTAAATGTCACTGCTTTGTTAAATGAACTTTAGATAGGAACGTTTCAAAACAATCTTGTTTAGTTTATGTTGCGTATTCAGTTCATACCGTCATAAAATCAATCAATCCTTTGCCTTTTTTAACGGTCCACCTGTTGGGGCTTAGCGTTCGAAATTTAGCTACTAATCATCAGAGGGACCACGATGATTTTGGCAAAAAGTCTGCCTGACGCGCGAGCATTTCCAGAAAAAAAATAACTCTTCCAGAGCAACTGTTCTTGAGCGATAAATGTTTGCCATGCGATAAGTTGGGGTCTTTTATCAGAGGAGGATAAGCAATATGCTTTTGATAAAAGAAAAAGTTCAATTGAACGAACACCTTGGAAGCAGTTTAACTACAGAATCTTTTTATGGCCATTTTCTTTTCCCCTGACACCTTTTAAGTTTGGGAGCCCTCTAAATAAAGTCTCCTTGAGACATCTAGCTCTATACAATGGAATTTTGTAACTTTTCTTTCACTTGCTTTACAAAGAAAACAAAACATTGTCAAAGGTACAAAGCTCTCGACCGATTACAATAGCTTTTGAAGACTCCGTTTACTATTCTCCGTCTTCTTCTGTAATTTTCTCTCTGAATTCCGTTCAATTTGCGAATTCTGAGGTCAGCCTTTAACACTCTCAGTTCAAGTCTATAACTAAACGCGAAATTGCTATCTCGTGTTTGTCGGCGTGGTCTTGCAGTTTTAAGCGAAAAATACGTGTGAGATGTCATGATAAGTGCTTTCTAACAAAGCTTAATGAGCAGCAAAAGAGACCGAAACTATTCTTTTTAATCGCAGACTCGCTTTTTGATGAAAGTTAGACGAGAAAAGAAACGCCTAGGCACGGGTATGCGAATTTACACCGGAAACCATAAACACTGAACGCGGAAATTCACTTTTCATCTGTTTCTTCCAAATCGAACAAAACGTGTGGGTAGCTGTTTTTAAACCCAGCACCAGCCGTCTAGGATGGGTAATGTAATGAGCAGATCATGTTTTGAATTTAAAAATAAAAGAGTTTCAGATTTTCGAGTTGAATTTGTTTCGCTTTGGACGCGTGCTCTAATGACTCGCGAACACAGTATGTAACGTTAGAATTTGGGGGCTATTCCCTTACCGTCATTATAAAGTTTTCAGTGTGTATGATTAAAACATTAAGCTCGTAATCCAATTTGCACCTTTTGCTATTCGTATCAATATTTCAACGCTTCCATCCATTTAGCGATAAATGGCCCCGATATCGCTTATCACAGAGCGCTGGTCCCACCTAAAAAGACGCGTTATTTTCAGCTAATACTTTTGGAAGATGCCTCAAGTTATTGTTCGTCAGTAACGAACACTTTTGTCTTTCCACAAGGAAGATTTGATAAACTTCCAACTCATTGGAATATTCTAGAATTTGCACAGGAAGTCGAACTTAAAAAAAGTATGTGGCAATAAAAATTTATTTAGATCATTACTCGTTGCCATGGGTTTGAATATTCATTTTCTTATTGATAAGGTAACACGTGTTAAAAGCGCACGCCAGACGCCATTGTTTTAAAGGGGGGTTTATCAACACCGCAAGCATCCCTCTTTTGTTTCGCACAATAAGAATGTTGCTCACTTGCCTAGCTGTAATGAAACTATCCCAAATTGTTTCTGCCATGTATGACATCTCTGGAAAAAGACAATCAAAATTTTCCTAATTCGTTCGCGTCATGACAGCTTCTCTATGGGGTTTTTCTTGAGCATAGCATATTTCAACCTAATGAAAGCAAACTGGCTTACTCGAAAACAATACGGAAACTTTAACTCTTCGTTTAACTTAATCTTGAAATCGGAATGCTTGGCGAATTTTTTGCATTCCTCAAAATCATCCGGAGACAAAGCTAAGAGCAGGTACCCTACAGAAAGCGGACAGTCAAACAGCATTCTATCTTGGCCTCAATTATTTTTGGACTTTATTTCAAGTTCCTTCCAGTTGGCGATGCGCCAAAGCAAACAGGAAGACAAATCTAGCAAGGCACCGGCCGAATAAGTTTCTCGTTTGCTTTAGAAATGTCTTTGTGTTGGTGACAATACTATTTGAGTGTTAAATCACGCTTCGCCGCAATTTGCTTTGCAACCTGTTGATTTTCAAAAACACTTGAATGGCAACGTGTCTCTCTGTACTCTTGTTTGCTTTGAAATGAAAAGGAAAAAGAAAGAAAACACAACCATTAAAGAAAAAAACATTATTTTTATAAAAAGATCGTGATCACGTACAGGCCCTGGAAAAACTCCAACCTCAAGACGGCAAATTTGAAAGTTTTATTACATAGATCTACTGATTAGAAAATAATTATGATCAAATCATAATTCATGTAGCTTTTCTCTATTTTGTTAGAGATAAAAAATTTAAATGCGGAAAAGGAAATTATTTATTGTTTCAAGTTTTTTGAAGAACGTTCCAACGCGGAAATTGAAAGGTTCATGCACCAAGATAAATCTGAATTAATCGTGCTCCCCATTAACAATAGTCAAGTAACAATTCATGCTGAACTAACTGCATGGCCGTCTTTTATGTTAGCTATGCCGGTGGCGCATTTGTTAAAGATAATTTTGGGACAGTAAGTCTGATTACCAAGCGAGAGTGACCGCAATGAGCTAGGATTTTTGTAAGAATCTGGCAAATGCGTCGTAGACATATTCATGCTCAATATCATACACGTGGAATCAAGAGAGACATCTAATGAATGAAATGATAATGAAAATTGCCCAGTTAACATGATAGAATCGTCAGTGTAACTCTGTGGCGTTTGTGGCTATCCTGAAGTATAGGTTCGAAATCCCTCTCCAGGACTGAAATTTCTTTGTTTGTCTCCACTCGCGACAATTAACTTTTTTTTTTATTATATTTTAATGAAAATATACGCTATTGTTTTCATTCTTCTTTTTTATGTAATTTTTAATAGACATTGGAAAACGGAATAAGAGCGAGATCTTCTCTATGAGTGCAATGCAAGACTAAAGACATTTTAAATATTTTACTTCTTCTGGTCGAGAAAATAAGTGTTATTTGAGTGCATGGTTTTCCAAAAGAATGCATTGACGCAGGTTGGATTGAATAGCTCTGAGCCAGCCAATATCAGTCGAATATTTATCCTTGTTTACGTGAAAATTACTAGCTCCGGCGTAATTTCATTCATCTTGATATTTGAAAAGTTTAAAGGGCCTCGTGGTAAAAGATACGTAGAAATCCGTTTAATCTGTTTCTTTTTATTTTGGTTGAGGCTTTCGTATTTTTCGCATAGTACTTTACTTATGCGAGAAGTTACGATTAAAGCAGGAAATTTATTACAAGGGCAGATTTAAAACATAAATTTTGATTTCTCCTGTTGAATACAAATTTTGTAAGAGATCGTGGTTAAAAGGACCATCATGAACAGGGTAATAAAATTTGAATATAAATCGAAGGTTCTCGTTACAACCGAATTTGATCGCAACTATCGGCCGGTGCCGCGCTGCTGAGAAAAATTTTTCTATTCCATTCAGATGCGACTGTCCCTTTTGTTAGTTTTTAAATCAGAATTTTCACGGTTAATTTTTATAAATTTACAATTGAAGTGGTAAAACAGACCAACCACTTCCTTATCTTCACAGAGATGACTTTCGATCCTTTTTTTTAATTCATGAATTCTCGCATCTCTTTAGTATCAGTGATGACTAATTGCCACGAGGTCTTGGATACAGACGATTTTTTCAGCTAAGTTTTTAAAATATGTTAGCCAAATTAGGTTTTTTTGTTTCGAATACTCAGTCGAAAGTACACGCAACATAAAAATATGCGTGTTGTATTTTAAGTATCAGCTTTGTTGTATTCATAATAAGCGAAGAAAACTGTCATTCAAGGGCGGAGCATAGGACATATTCGAAAGATCACGAATGAAGAGTAGAGTTTCCCTATGGCACCTTCCGCAACCCTTGTTAGCTTTGTGAAGATCGAATGATAAAACTCACGCACAGGAAAAAGTTGCTTTTCATCACTAAAAACGCAACATCGATCATAAAGAACATTTGACTTCCTTGTAGTATGTGGTGACATTCGTGGCCACAATTCTCAGAGTCTTTCATTGCTTTTGTCCAAGTGGCAGCCAGTGGAAGAAGGGGTAGTGAACACATCCACAATTTGTTAAATTTAAAATGTTTTATCGATGGCGGTATGAGGTTTTGAGCTTTTCAGGGGCCTTTTTGACGGCTTTTCGATAACTGGCTTTTTTCGAAAAGCTTGCCAATAACTCGAGAACTGATCTCGAACAATCTTGTGGAAGCTTTAACAGTATTTCGCCTCATCTTCCTGATTAAAATGATATAGTTTAATTAACATAGATAAGCGGCCTCACGCAACGGCTAGATCAGGGCTTTAAATGCGCAAAAATCTAACTCGCATGAAAAAAACAGTTTTGCCTAAATTTAACTCGAATGAAGAAAGCACAGTTTTATACTCAAACCTAAGCAACAGCTTTCGTTGCGTTTTAAAAACTGTGCAAAACTAAACTTCAAACGAATGATTGATTGTTTTCAAATTTCAGACCGTAGCAATGCCTGCAAGCGTTCGCCTGGGAAAAGAAACAGCAGACCCCCGTCTCTGGATTCAGTGGAGTCTGATAATCTCTCTCCGATGGAACCGATAAGGGGACCTCCAGATCCCTTGGGAGTCGGAAGAATACTGAATCCTCTACAGGTATAGAATGCAGAATGTTTTAAGTGATTATATCAAAGCGGCATTCCTGCGACTACATAAAAACGCAACCAGGCTACTTATATAGCGCATTGGGTTAATGTGTTTTAATTTTGTTAATACTACCGTGTTAATTGATCTAAATTTCGGTGTGATTTTGTGCCAGGCAAGACTATCTTAAATCTTGAAAATACGACTAACATAGATTTTTTTGTATATTTTTGTTAGTTATTTTTAAAAATCTACAGAATTAACTTTGTGCTTTAATTTCCTTTCCCTTACTATTTTTTTTATTGAGAGCAAATTCGGAAATGTGTTTTTCCTCATTAACAGAAGAAGTAGATCGATGTCTGTCGTTCACTCTTGAATAGATGTCTCCGTTCGGTTGAATGAGAAATTTCAGTTCTCTCGAAGACAATAGACCTCTCTGTGCAGTTTTTCAACATTCCTCTTTTTTATGATTTGTTCGAAAGTGTGGTCATGCGGCGATTAAAGTATTGAAGTATTCACCACATAACTACAAATTTGTATTGGCACAATTACTTCTGTCAATGGCTACGCAGTGTTTTCAATATGTGGGCTCTACAATTGTATTTGTAGGTTTGCGACGAGTATTACAGGAGTCCAGAAGGAAACATTATAGGTGGTAAGTACGGTCTGATCAAATACAGCCGGGCAGATACTCGTAAGAACTAATCCTCCCAACTATATAACTGTGTATTTCATTTTGCTTGCTCGAGTTGAGATTCAGATGCATCATGAAGACAAAGTCTCTCGGTCAATGCCGTTCTCAAGTTATTTTCTTATCTTCTTGAAATTGTATCAAAATTATAAAAGGGATTTTTGAAACCAATCATTTATTACTAGTACTAAAATGATTAACATGTGATACACTCTGGAGCTAACTTATTTGTGTATGAAAACTACACTTGCGCGGGAAGACATCACAATACAAGAAATTCGAGTGAATTCTTTCAATAAAAATGAAGCTTTATAAATAAATAAAATCGTATTTTCGCAGTGTATTTGCTATTTTCAACTTTTCTTGCCATAAGCTATTTGATTTAGATAAAGGAATGGACCGGAAATTTATTACAAAATAAGAGATGAACAAATTGGACGCACAACAATGTTCTCTTTGTTTTGTAACCTTCATTTTCTCCGATTTTAATCTACTCGTGCTCCAGTCATTCTTATAAACAAGACCTGTTGTTCCAAAACTAAATTTTATCTCTAAAAGAAAGTGAAATACTTAAACCCACATTGTGTTGGTTTTGTTTACTTTGAAACTAATCAAATAGCTAAAATTACACTCATTGTGCTGAATGTAGATTGCTGAGTAACAGGTAGTCTTTCGATTTCTTTGTTTGAGACAGAACTATATTAAATTGCACAGTTCCATATACAGCCCAAGGATTCCGTTCTGAGGAGTTTGAAAACAGGATTCGATTAATTTGTATAGAAGAGACCTATCTGCCGTATTGATGTGTTTTAATCACAATTTGGTCTCGTCCTTTTTGGTAACTGTGCGCCGAAAAGTATCCCCTGTCAGATTGGTTTGCTTTTGAAGGACTGCCTAGTTTCATTATGCAGAAAACTGATCCACAATTTTTTATTACTAGACTTCGTCGGACCAGTCGTGATGCCAGAGTACAATGGACCAGCGTATAATGGGGTAAAATTTTATTACATTAAACTCACTTATTAACAACAAGATCAACATTGTCCTTCATTTACATTTGAGGGATAATTCCGCAAATTTTTTTTTTGCTTTTTGTCGATATACTTTAAGAAGTATTATAGCCTCAAAACTACAATATCGGTCCTATCAAGAAGGATTTTTCCGACATAAGTATTTCGGACCAATACTCCTAAATAAACCATAGGGAATGAGTTGGTTGCAAGGCACTTCCCTAAATTCGATTGGATTACAACAGAGTCATTTAAACTTAAAATAAATACCTTAAAAATCCATGGGTTGAGCGAAGTATGTTCTTGAACATGAAAAATTCTTTTATTCCTCTACTCTGTGCAAGACAATGAATGGTGTAATTCTGGCATATTAAATCAGAATTTCAGAATTTCACAGGGAATGGGTGACCACAGGGAAGGAGCTTATAACTTTGTTACATTAGGCCAAGTTATTTCTTGTGAACTCAGGCTTTATTTTTTTTTATTAGAACCCCTCTAACATCTGGGTATTTTATATCTGTTCGCAGCACTTTCCAATAGTTGATTGGCGTGATTTTGTAGAGCCAATTATGTCAGAAGACTGGGACCGATATTTTCCGGATGGTATTAGGAATCAGTTCGGTCTGTCCGGCGGATCAAGTTATGGAATGAGGGATCAAGAAGCTAGCTATTACTATCAGGTATCCACTTACGCAGATATAGGCATATTAGCCTATTCCAGGCTTTAAGTTAGTACGACGGAGCGAGATCGTAGCGGTGTCACAGCGGCAGAGCGAAAACAAAGGAGGTTTGGGTCGGGTCGCATTACGTGACTCGACCTAAACTTTCCTCGTTTTTCACCCATCCGCTATTGCCACGCCGTTTGCGATAGCGCTGTGTTTTACTGACTGAATTCCTGGAGCAGGTTATGGGCATATAGGCGCTATAGAATATTATCATGCTTCCGAAAATTGACAAAGAAAAAAAATGGGAGGGGGACGTATTTTCATTTGCTTTTTCGTGGGAGATCTGGTATCTTGGTTTTATGTTGTTACTATGTCGGTCTTTGGGAATGAGATTTTAGAGGTCTTGCGGAGATTGGGCACCAAGCTTTTCTCATATCGATGAAATGCATTTAATTTGCACTCAAACATTTTGGCCAAGAAGAAATGCAAGGCAAAGAAAAGCCCGAGATATACATAGAAACATTTGAGAAATATTCACTTTTACATATATATGGCTGTTTGTAATTTATTGACTATTTTTTCCAGGTCTGCCAGTGATCATTCAGAAGCCTCACGTTATCTGATTTGTAATTCTCAGGCCAAACAGCCTTACGTTTCATTTAAAATTAGTTAGGAGAATCGCGTGATATATAAAGTAAGCACCCTCGATAGGTTTGTCTTTTACCTGATAAGGTAATAGACAATTTAACTTTGTAAATTCTGAGTTAAGGGATTAATGAACCATTACTTATGTAGCCAATAATAGTTTTAGCCATAAGGATACAGTAAATTCAAAACCTCTCTCGGGTGAAGATCTTAAGGGAACAGACAATTTAGCCTGAGGTTACACTACAGAGGAATCAAGCCTGAGACGAGGGAAAAGGGGACAGACTGAAGTCCGCTCGCAAATTAATTTTCAACCTCCTGTTTGGCGGAAACACCCTGAGCTGATCATAAGCTTAGAAGACATATGGTGAAAAGCATCGAGTTCTGCAATTATAGGAGAAGAGATTATAATTTCTCGAATTGTATGATTATGTTATCGGTACAGAACAAATTAAACCCACAGGAGAATTGGATTTAATAAGGAGCTGCACTTAAAAAAAGTTGCCCTTTGGCTAGGATGTTTGGGATAGGATTTGAACTAGTGCTCCGTTAAAGTTATAGTGAAATTTCAATTTTCCAAAGTTTCTTCAAAGTTTGAAGTTAATAAAGTAAGTCTATTTACCAGTCTACTGCCCGCGTTTGCAGTTGTTAGGATATAGAATTTCGGGATCAATATCAGTATCTGGGCAACATTAACCCTAACTTGTTATCAATTGACTGTTATATAGTAAGCTCAGTTATGCACGCATTCTGATTGGTTCTCACTTATGATCTATTGGAGGGCAGACCTATAGATGACGCCATCATTAAAACTTTTTTTAATTCTTTATGATATAAAACAAATAGATTCCAAGTTTCCGTGCGTCTGTTCAGTAAGACGCACGGCAACTTGAAATCTATTTGTTAATTGTTGAGTCAGGGGAGGGGTAGATGGGCAGTTGCCCAGATACTGATATTGATCCGAATTTCGAATCCTTAGGTCGAGGTTGAATTTTTAAGGTGGCAATTTAGGCTAGAATCCCCTTTCCTTATTTTTCATTTTTTCATTGCCTATTCATCGTTTTCCATTCTAATCATTTATTTCCACTCTCTCAGTTTTTAGTTCTCATTTCTTAGCGCTCGTTACTCACTTCCCATTCCACATTAAACTTTTTTTATAAATGATGTTCAGTAACTTCCGTTTCCAGCGCCATGCAAACGGGTCCTCTTTTACTTAATCAATCACCGTGTGAGTTACCGTCTGCTGTTTTTCTTTTCCTCTATAGTTTTAACTCCGGCTTGCCGGCAATCGAAGTTAATTACTAGAAATGGAATTCTGAAGTGTAATTTCTAATCAATAATTTTGAAGTTATCCTTTCTCATTTCCTCCTCCTATTCATCGTTTCATTCAGTTCTCAATTAAAGCCAAGCACATCCACTTGTGTAGTTTATTCTTCACTCTGTGTAGACTCATATCCGCTTCAAGTGCTATGTAACCAGGTCGTTACCTTGTCTGTTGTTGTCACGCAAACTAATTTAATTCAGAGCTCTGAATGGATTTTAGGTTATTTACAATGAAGCAAACGCCTTGATACTACTTTTTCCGAATTCCCAGCTGGAGTTTTTATCCATCCCATGCTATACGGCTCAGCAAATGCAGTTATTAGATATAAAAACAAAACAACATTGTTTGCACCGACAGTTACAGAAATCGATATGGTTGACAGCCGCTCAATTCACGTGATTCACCGTTCCGTGCTATTCATTTGTAAGCACCATGTGCGGAATGTTTCGATCACGTAAATGCACTATTCTCCTTGTTTTTGTCCTATTTTTCGCCCTGATTGGAATTGCCCTACGATTTTATGAGAGAAGAGTGTTTAATGTGATATCACCGCCTCAAGACACGGCAAAAAGGTAAAGAACACTAGTTAGTTTGCGAATATTAACACATACGGTTGTTGGTGACCATTCGTCTGGTCTGTAGAGGCCTTGAGGACTTACTGAATAGATTAAGAAGTTGAAATTTGCGATAAAATCATTTCAATCAAGTTCGCTTCTGAATACAACTATTCACTAAATTTTGAAATATTGAGGAGGCATGGTTGTACATCGTCACACTTGAAGTGAAATATCCCAGATGAGCACTGATTGTTTTGGAAGAAAAATTTGCATTTTTTGCCTTTAAGGCTTTGAAATTGTCGTCTCTCTGCCAATTAGTCATGTTTCTATAAATACGTTGGGTGTTAAGTTGTTTCTATTTCGAAAACACCTCACAAATTCGTCTTCACAGCCACAAATAACCCGGACCGAGATCTGTGAGTGCATCAATCTGATTATTTCTTTGAACTTAGTTGATATATGTTTTGATTTTTGACATTGTCAGGCTTAACAAATATAATTTGGCTGATGCTTGAGGATATTGCATATGATGAAATTTAACAGAGAGAGTTGTTAGAAATACTGTCAAAATTAGACAAGAAATTGATTTTTTAGCACTCAACAACACGGATTATTTTACTTGAGAGTTTTAATAATTTTCAGAAGTGTTCGTTTTCTTTTAATTTGCCGCTTGTTTGTAGGAGGGCTTTCTTATTCATTCAGAGCCGATCTATTTATATCAACCGAATATACCGCAAAACAAGTAGATTTTCATCAGATATTCTACGGATTTCTACTGACTCACTGTCAATAATACGTCTGTGTCAGGGATTCCACGCTTATATTCACATATTTAGAACTAGGATTGCGATTCTGGTTGTTTTTTTTTTTTTTCACAATTGTACATGAACGTTTTCATTTAACAACATTGGTTTGGTATAGCAGCTGTCTCTGTCACGCTATATATTGTGACAATCTGGCGTGACATACAAAATTCACCTCGGCTTCTCACAAGGGTGACATTTCGAAAAAATTTAACAAGCGACTGATATTCAGCAATTAATCTTGCCTGACGGAAGGTTAAGTTACTAAGGGATGGTTATGACAACAACTAGAAAGCTGTTACATTTGCTTTGCCCCATTGGTAAATTGCTGATAATAATGCACTGTCTTTACTCTTTCTATTGGTTCAAATTAGAGGCTCTCACAGAAATAAGTTAACGCAAAAAAAAGGATTTGATACTTCCTGTTTAAATTCCCCACCCCAGCTAGGTAAGGTTCAAATTCCCAAACCCCGGGCACGGACGACGATCAAATTGATCCAATACCTGTAAAAGGGAAAGGGGAATTTGAAAGCTTCGAATTGATAAAGAGAATAAATCCACCATAAAAATGGAGCTTTTAATGTGGGGGGGAACTTTATCTCAAGTCATTTGTAGACTCTACAGATCTGTTTTCTCGAAAGTAGTGACACAAAACCCTCGTGTGTAGCTTGGATGTCTGTGAAGAATAAAAGGAGCTGCCTGAGCTAATTTCTCAAGAGAAAATTTGGCTATTTTCCAATACTCCGATGTGCTGCGCAATAAATCAAAATAGAAAGAATTATCTTAGGTGGAGGGCCCATGAAGGGGATTCAGTCGTTGCAATTAGTATTTGGAAGAGGTTACTATAGAGATAATGTCGACACATGAACTTGTAAAAGATTATGCGTCGATCACTTCGAAGCTTCTACATCCCACCCCCGGGTATTTGAACTTTTAATGGTTGGTTCGTTCAAATTCACGCTCCCTCAGACAAAAATTGCGTTCAAATGCACCGCCCAAGCACAATTTTGTAATAAACGATTCTTTGAGTGATAAACGAATTTTGTAGAATTTAGCAAAGTCACTTTATAGTTTTCGGTGCCGCTGTTTGGTTTTTCACTTGTAAGCATCATTCTACCATATGAAAATTTCTTCTAAGCCATTTGCTAACGGAAGCGGACTTTAAACTCCTCTAAATTTAAAATTAAAACTTACGTCTTCCTCTGTCTCAAATTCCCCACCCCACCGAGGCAAGGTTCAAATTTCCCACCTCTGGGGCACCGACGACAGTCAAATGCCCGTGGGTTACCTTGGGTGGATGTTGAAGCTTCCAATTGTTCGGCATATGGGGATTTAAAAGCCTCATGTATACGGAAAGAAAAGTCTCTTAATTAGATTTTTTTTCTCTGTATTATAGGACTGGGCTATGGCAACGAGTGCGGATTGTTAGGTAAAAAAATAGAAATGTGCTGTTTGTGGTAAAAGTTTGAACTAAAAAGTCAATATTGCAAACTTTAAATGACAACTCTGGGAGCCAGTTAGAGCAGACCACCTGAGATCTATACATAGACATTTTCCAAAATGACAAGCATTGTTGGGAATATTGTTGTGTCTAAATTCTTTAGTTCTGCCCGTCGATTAGAAGGTTTTTCTTTCTTTCAATTCTTTCGTCATGGTCTTTGGTATTCCAGATTACTCTTGCGCGATTGATTCGTCATTCCGAGGCGAAAAAGACTAAGATACTCTTTTGACCTAGTGATGTTAAATGAAAACACTTAGCAACACTCTATCAAATATAATAAAAGCGTTGTCATGTTGACCTAAAAACGCTTCCGTTAAAAAGCATAGTGCGTCATTTTTACGGCACATATGATCTGATTACTGACAAATTAATATGCTAATTGCTAATTTGTCTTTCCTCTACTTTCTTCAGTGTGCGATGGCGTCTAGAGTTTTAGTTCCGATTCGTCGGAGACCGTTTGCGTGCTTTCTTTATATATCCCTGGTTCTTGGTTGGGCTTTGTATTTTAGCGGATGTGAAAGAGTACTTTCTTACGGATTTGAGTAAGTGAACGTTATATTTTGTTTTTTGGACAATAGACTAAGTGCGAAATATATTTTAGACAAGTATTACCGACACCGATGGTTGTTGTGGTTGAGTTCTCGCATTTTTGAACACAGATTTTGTGTCACAAATAAAGCCCGCAAGTTTTGATCGAGACTGAGAAAGTCTTGAAAATGACGCAGGCAACTCTGACCTACTCGTAATGAAATTGATTTTACCAAACTTGCATGATTGACATTCGTTGATTCGCAGAATAAATGTATTCACAAGGTAAGCGGAAACCAATATATATGTCCTGCGGAAATATTGATCGGAAACGTGATATTTGCCTTCTCGTGTACAACGGTATTTTGATATTTAACCGGCCACCTTGCTCAGTTCTCGGTGTATTTAATAAAAAAATTATAGCTCTTCTTACTGATTATATTTTAAACAGTTCATTTGATCGCTATTATCACAACAGAAGTCAATACTTTTTTGAGTTTTATGAAAGGATTGATATAAAATCCCGTCAAATGTGTGGTAAGGAATTCAAGATACTTGGATGCAAGTTTAACTCAACAACGATATGGTTGCAAAAATTATCTTGACTATCAAACCCAAACCAGGTTTATTTTAGAAGTTCTTTGGATAAATGGATGAGACAGCCGCTCAAATCTGCTGAGAAAAACTTGAGCTATGTGATATAAAACACAATTGCTTATTCACGACATATCGACCAACGGACGTGGTTCTCATTTAAATATAAACGCAAAACAATGTAGCAACTCAAGTTTTAGTGGTATTGGAGTTTAAATATTAATCTTCCAATGCTGACATTTATTTATCGTTTCATCGAAGGTTACTTGAAAAATATATGTGAACAGAAAAATAATATATTTTTCTATTGCAAATACAAAGAATCACCTTTGTTTGAATTTCTTAATGTTACTAGTACTTGCTGTGATATTTGTGGTAAGTTGATATTATGTTTGAAAGTCGCAGCAAGAAGATCTGAATAGACTGGCAATTTTCTTTCAAACACAGACATGACTTTTGTCACAAAAAGCAATATTCTTAACCCAGAAAAACAAAAAAAACCAAAAAATTTAACTACAGATGTTTCAAAGCGCTGCAGGGCGAATACTAGAGTCAGATTGGTTTTTGTTCAATTATGAATTTAAATTCACGATTTTTTTCTTTGTCCTTTTAAATACAGTTTTCTTAATGTTAATTTCCTTGTCGCAAGAGCCTTCGTTATCTTTGTCCAGTGGAACGGACATCGACACCTTGAAATCTAAATCGGAACCAGTCTTTTTAGGGTCCACTTTGACGGTGCGCATCCCAAAAGAGTTTGTAAAGATTGTCGCCTGAGCTTACGCACAAAGAGCATAGAAGCCATTTCCCTAAGATCACGAACCTTTGGGTGGAAGTGTTAACTAACCATAAACATAAAAAGAGCCTGGAGTGAAAGTTTGGTAAGGAAAAGAGATGCAAGAGTAATCTTTTCCTTGCTGTCGTCGTTTTCGGTCTCTCTCAACGGAGCGCTAAGAAAACTAGGTGGTGTAGAAAATTGGAAACGTGGTCAGTTATTGTGCGTGCACTCGTGCTACCATCTATTAAGAGCCGAAGGGTCTCAGTGTTTAGATAAGTGTGAAAGAGGCCTAAGAGCAAAGAGATGTCAGCCATACGTGTTAAACGCGCCCTTGGCTGTTTTTGTCGAGATTTGCTGAATATCGTTAACTACATGTACAGGAGCGCGAACACCTTGAAATACCCGACGACTGAAAAGAGCTTAGGTTGAGAGCGCGCTGTTCAAGGCACAAAACTCATTACTGTAGACTCCATATGCATTGGAGAGACGGTGGCCTGACAATTAGCACACTGGGTTCCGAGTGGAGTGGTTCGGGGTCAGGATCAGGTTGGGTCATTGTGTTGTGTGGATAGTCAGGACGCTTTATTTCCATATCGTTTCTCTCTTCCCACGGGTAAACGGTTACCGGCGAACCGTCATGGTACCTTCGCGAAATGCTAGGTAGTGGCCTAGCAATAGTCGGGGTGTCGTCTGGATTTTTTTTTAAGAGAAGGGGGGGGAGGTTCTCACACTGAGCCAAACAGAGGGTACTCACCAGATTGTTGTGTCGACCTCCACGCTTTGCTTTTATTAATGTGAAGAAAAAGATTTACAAAGGGGAGTTCACGGGCACCCCAGGACCTCCATTAACTACGCTTTTGATCTGTACTATGAGCGAATAATATGGTAGACATCTTGAATGTTGCATTTGAATAGTAACATATATGATTTTTTACTTTGATAGGAAAACAAGAACTGAAAGCTTAAAGCCAGTGAGTGTTTGTGACTGTGACAATGACTGCAAAGTTGACGATTTTGTAAATGATTTGCTATCTGATGACACGCCGCCTCCACCGTGCAAGCCTGTGAATAATATTTTATTCCTGAAGACGCACAAAACTGGGTCCAGTACTGTGACCAACATTTTAAATCGCTATGGCGACACGAGAGACTTAATGTTTGCATTGCCAATTTCACGATCACTTTATAGTTTTTTCTGGCCTCGACCATTTCAACTTAGGTTCACACAAGCATTTGGTAGAGCACCAAACATCCTCTGCAATCATGCAAGGTACAACAAAGTTCCCATGAACTGGCTCTTCCCAAAGACAACAACACGCTACATTACGCTTTTGAGGGAACCAACAGACCATTTTGAGTCTGTCTTCAACTTTTTTCATCTTGATAAACGTCTCTTTAGATCGAAAAACAAGGTCCTCCCATTGCAAGCATTTCTTCAAAATGCCTCGTTTTATCTTAAACAAGTGAAAAACATTACAGGATTGCTAACACTGACGAAGAATCCGACTTTATTTGAGCTGGGTCTCGATACAAAATATCACGAAGATTTGGACATAGTGCGTAACTACATTCGCTATCTCCAACATGAGTTCGACATAGTAATGCTGATGGAACATTTCGACGAGTCACTAATACTTCTAAAACGACGTTTTTGTTGGAAAATTGAGGACATTCTCTATTTTAAACTCAATGAAAGATTGCAAAAACACAAACAAGAAATACCAAGTCTAGTAAAGGACCAAATTAGACATTGGAATTCAGGCGATGTGCTCTTGTACGATGCTTTTAATACAACACTCTGGGAGATGATCAAGGAAGAAGGTCCGGCCTTCTTTGAAGATCTTTCACTATTTCGAAGGGAGTTGAAAAATATTAAAACAAAATGCCTGCGAGAGGGAAATTTTCTAACCAAGCCGTATTCTGGGAGATTTGTACAGGGTTATGCGGTACGACCAGATGTCTCTGAAGAACTAAATGATACATGCCACAAAATGATTACGAATGAAATTCCATACCTAGACTATCATCGTGATAAACTTGTAAAACTGTATCAAACCATTGATAGATCGGTTTACAGGCCTTTCAGTATGTGATAACATCTTTATTCGTGTTATTCCAGTTAATAAAGAAGTACGCCTCCTAACCATACAACTTTTATCTTTGTTATACAGAAGTATACATGGATTATTTAAGGTAAATTCTTATGTATTCTTTCTAATTTACACGATTTTCGGAGTATACATCTTCTTCATGGATAAACCGGAAATTGTGAAAGTTTCTGACAGAAGTGCTTGACTACAGTTCAGGACACCTATTTATTCGCCGAGGCAATAGTTGCGTTCTATCGTAATGTGGCGTTTCTTATTCTGTTTAAATGTTTTCATTCGTTACCACTGCTGAAGCAGCAAGCACTGAGGAATATTTCTAATAAAGTTCTGAGAGCGAATGTTTTTATAGATTAGAGATGATTTTTAAGGTAAATTTTAACTCTCTCTTTGTTCTGTACTTGAATCATGTGCAGCGCAATATGAAAAGTGACTCATAGAGCCAGCAAATCAAAAAAAAAAAACCTGCATACTCACAAATCAATTAAAATTTTCGATCAAACGTCCATTCGATTCACTTGAATAAGACTTTTTAAATTCGAAGAAATCGAAAACGTCCATTCGATTCACTTGATTACGCAGATTACGCCAACTAATCAAGACCACCTAAACAGTGGCCTTAATTTTCAGATTTTATCTCTAATTATCAGATGAAATTGAGGTTTCAATTCAAACGCAACAGATGTGCTGGTATATTGCATTTAAGGTCCGTTTGATATCAGCGGTCAATAAATCTCAATTTGACTTCTCCGTCCGGGACAAGAAGCGCAGTGATCCTTGGTTTCACTTCATTAAGCGACTCAAGCCAGAAGTTCTGCGACACCTGATGGAACAAAGTAAATAATGCACAATGTAATTAGAAGAGGATAAAACCAAAATAACTTTGATAACGTGTTGCAAAAAGTCATTGAGCGTTGCTCTGTCACATGTCTGCTAACAAATAGGTAATTATTTCAAGCGTTCTACAAACAAATTTTACAACCGGTTTCGGTCCATCAACATAAAAAAAAACCGCACTGATCAGTTGTTTTTGTTTGTCAGATTTTTAGGAAACATTCAAGATAGGAAGGTATTTTTTTATACAGATACAAAGCCAAAAAATTGCCTTTACTCGTGTTCATAGAGACCCAAGAACACCACAAAAAAAAATACAAACAATAAGAAAAGGCGTATTAAATACCAAAGAAGAAAATCGACTGTCAGGTTTAAAAATCTTACCCGAGATAAAAGAAGATGCATTTCCAGTTCTGCCACACGGCGACCTAGTAAGACAAAAAATGCTCAGGAAAAAATTTAAATGCATTACAAATAAAAAATCCTCAAGATCGCGCTCAACCAATTCATTGGTATCACCTCAGAAAATGGCTAGTACTCTTGTTTAGAAAGGAAGTTGATTTTCCTAAAAAAAAGCCTGTAGAGTGTAACTTGGGAAGCTCTTTTCTTTGGAAATTCGCTGATAAGCGATTTGATAAAGGAAAGATCTAAATTTCCTCGAACAGTGAAGGGACTAGATGTTTTGAATGAACTTCGTATACTGTTAATATTACAGGGGTCTATGACCAGACACACTTCATATAAATGTAAATTATGTTTTCCAACGATTTTTAACAAAAAACAGCGTTTAATACATCAAAACTGAAATTTCGCGATCTACACTCTTACATGTATCAGTAACACTCTCGCAAATATTATGGAATGAGGAATAGAAATACATTTTGCTGGTTATCATGCACGCTACTGCTTCGAGGGGGTAGATATAGAAATCCCCCCCCACACCCCCCCGCAAATCTTCTCCCCGGAATGAAAAAGTCACAATTAACAATACAAAACCTGATATGCTCCTAATTTCCAAATGAGACTGTTACTTAAGAACTCCCAGTTCAAAGCTCCTCTTTCTTACCAAGGCACATCCTGGTGCCAAATCCAAAAGGTTGCGAGGCGAACGCATGATAATGGGACTTGCTCGTGTCATCCCTCAGCCACCGGTCAGGTTTGTACTCCAAAGGATCATCAAACAGTGCTGGATCACGACCCATTGCATACAGTGGAACACGTATCATCGTCTGTTTTTTACCCAAAATAAAATAGAAGATTGAGCGAATCAAAGACCGCACAGGAGTGGTAAACAAGACAATTTGCGGCCACCACGTCAGTTCAATGACCCAGCTTATCAACTTTAACAGAACTACTCGAAATTTTCGTTTAAACTTTATACACTGGATGATCCATTAAAAAACCGTGGCTGAAAAGTTAGTAAAAAAATTCTGAAGAAAGAAATCGCGGAAACCTGATGACTTCAATTTTCTCCTAATATTACAATGTTCAAAGAGTCGAACGATTTTGTTTATTTTAAACACCACAAAACACACCACTTCTTAGTTATATTCCTTGTAGCAGTGGTATTGACTCACGTTTGGTGGTATGCGGTAGCCCTGAATGACGATGTCTTCCTGAAGCATGCGAGCGTTTTCCGTAGCGACTGGATAAAGCCTGGATAAATTTACATCAAAGCAGTTGCCATTTTATAAAAAGTAGAAGATATCAATTCATCGCTGCAAATAATAATCCTCGTATCAGGAAAAAAGCTAGGGTCAGTTTGGAAAGTATAAAGGTTGTCGAGTCAATATCCAACCGTAAGAAAGATTTTCACGAATACAAAAATATTACAGTTGCAGTTTTTGCCGGTGTATCTGTTAGCATAGCAACACACAGCATAAAACTGAAATAAATTGCCACAGTACCTTAAGGTTTCCTTGACGCATCCTCTAAGAAAAGGCATTTTTTGTAAAGTTGTAGGAGTTGCTAGTTCACCTGGTTGAAGAACTGCGCTAACCTCTTCATGAAGCTGCTTTTGTACAGAAGGATTTCGGGCAAGCAGATATAAAGTCCACAGGCTTGTGTTTGACGTCTGGGGATCACAAAAAAATAAGTTTAATTATTCAATTAAAGTTCGCGTTCTGGTTTTCCAGTCACGGGCGCCCCTTGTTGAATTAATCTGACAGATACTTGTATAATTCGTCCAATTCATGTCAAACGTTTCTTTGTAGATATATTAAGGTAATTTGATGTTATCTCTACTCAATGTCTCCATGGCGTTCTCCTAAGACGGGAGGGGAATTCCAACAGAGCTCTTTACGGTCAGGTATGATCGCTCATGCATGTAAAATCCAATTAATTCAAGATTTTCGTACCAATCTACTTCTTGTTTAAAACATGGCGATTATTATTCCATACCGTTTCCACAGCAGCCATCAATATCTCCACCAAGTTTGCAGTTATTTCTGTGGAACTGATGTCATCTCTGCTGATCAGAAAACTCAAAAACTCCGCTGCATCTTCATCCTGTTCTTCTCCATTTTCCAGTCTTCTGCGAATTTCGCTCAACTTGTTTTCGATACAGCTGTTGCCAAAGTCGTACATCACATCCATGCAGTCGTAAAATTCTCGAAAGCTCTTTGGTCTGTAGAATTTGTCAATCCAAAGAGGTATAACATATACCTTCAGAATCAGATTGAACATTTTACCCACTGCTTCAATAAACTTGGCAGCTTCTGGTGACGGCGATTTGCCAAAGGTGCCAAATCTTGTTTCAAAAAGGACCGCGCCAACCGCTGCAGTATGAAAGAACACGACATCTCGTTGACATTATTTTCAATTTTAATACCGAGTCAGCAAGTCACAATCCATGTTTAAATCTAAGGATCTTGGTTTTTCAACGTTTTCAAGTTAAAGTTGGGCGTTAGCTGTGACTTCATCGACACATGAAGCAGTTGTAAAGTCTAGAGAGCACGCAAGAAGTTAAAGGTGCTCACGGCTCCATCTCGAGGAACTGTCACGCATTCTTCGTGCTTTCCAATCTTTCCGCGTGCTTCATACCTCAATAAACGCATACCGACGCTTGAACCAATTGTTCATTTACTGAACTTTTGGAGCGAATTTAAACTGCGCACTAGACGCACTTGCTTTACCTGTTTTTTTTTTCTTTGACCAGACCGCCACCTTCGAGAAATCTAATACTTTGTAAAGCAGAGGATAAACTTTGCAAATATTTTTTCATTAACACTCACATTCCAAAGACCATTTGAAGAGTTCCTGTTGAATGTCTGGAATGCCACCATCACTATCACGTGTCTGTTTAGTCCGATGTAACAGGTCAGATATGACATCATTTAGTGGTTTTGAGTATTCACCAACAACTTTAGGTTTCAGCATTTTCATGTTCAACACTCGACGAACTTTAAACCAATCCTCTCCTTGTCTGCCTCACCAAAAAAAAATTATTAATGTTTTAATAATGACTGAAATTTACTATTTGTGTATGGACGAGAAGATAAATTTTTAGTGTTCCATCAATGATTTATTGCAGGTATTAGTAAGTGTGGTGCCATTATGGCATCAATAACTCTAAAAACACCCCCATAAACCATCTGCTGTACATATTTAAGGTACCAGAACAAAAAAATCTGGTTTTAGCACAAATAGGCAATAAATACTTTCAATAATTATGGTTACCATAGTTTCTGATCAATAGATGAGGTGCACTAATTTAAAGCAAAGTGTGCTAGACTCTGCTTCCAGAGATATGGATATGAGCCTTAACTGGGGGTAAAGTTTGTGTCTGGCTGTAACAAGACTAATTCATCATAGCAACATTATGCTACATCCTCAACACCCATTTACCAAAATCTTATGACTAAGTTGTGGCTAAAGTCTTAATATAATGTGTTAATTTTTAAGAAGACTGAAATTACATTTAAAAAGCAAAATTTACAACATACAAAAACCCGATATGACTCAGTCAAGATTTTCTTAAATCCTTAACACTCTTAACACCAGGACACACTCTCTCCATACTGTTCTCTGTACATTTCCTAAAGTGCTGACAAGGAGAATTTGTGTAACAATCAAGAGTGTCTTAAGTTGGTGATCATTTTCTTTATTCCTGTGACCTTAATGTGTGACTTAGAGGTGATATTGTGAGGAGAAATTAGATATTAGTCACTCTCATGGGGCCAAAGGGCTAAATCATGATGACCCTTACAAATACCAATAGAGAAATGTAACTGATGATGTTAAATGGCTTTGCTGAGAGGATTCATTCAATTTCCTGTGGCATGAAGTATGCAATAGGCAGAAATTCTTCACTCTTCGGAAGTTGGCCCTCTTTTCTCACCCCAAGTCCCTCCCAGCATACTGTCTGAAAGCCTGTGTCAGTAGAGAGGCAGCATAGGTAATGATGACCCATGCAGAGGGCTAAGACTAACAACTTTCAACCTAATGCATCTCTTAAGTCATCAATGAATTAAATGTATCATATCTGTTGTCCATAATCATTGTATGACAATATTGATGCTTGTTGCATGAATAAGACTCAGCATAATGAGTTTATGACTGTACAGTACTCTGTCTTTATGAAAATATCTATCCAAACCTATGTAACATATCTCAAATGCCACTACTGCAGGTGCCCTAAATGAAGTTTATTTCATAAATCACTAGCATCTCTACACAATTTCAAAAATTTGAACAACAAAGAGAGAGAATTCTCAAAACAATGAAATTCAGGATAATATGCAGCCATCATTCCACTATGTGCCACACATGAAGAAACAAGCAAGTTTTTTTCTTTGGTAAAAAAGGCATGGAAAGCTTTTTCAAGGAAACAAATGAGCAGTGAGTCCTTCTTTGTCTGTTGATTTAGCCAAAAAACACACATATTTTGAGTTTATGTAATTGCTTAACAATCTATGCCATTTTTGTGGCTAGTTATTTGAATGAATAGCTATTAAATTAACAGGTATTTTTTGATTAAGACACCTTACGCTGATACTGATGAGCTGATGTGACCATTGTTTCCAATTAGTGCATTGGGAGCAAAAAAAAAGGATGCAGTGTACCAACAGAGACATTAGTCTTTACAAAGACAGTAGGGCCATGAGGCTGGGGAAACTGTAGTATCTAACATAAATTTTCTCAGGAAAATAGTCCACTGAGACCTCAAAAGAAGCTTCCACCAGGAAAACCTGCTCATAGGGGCCCCAGCCCCTTCTAAGCTAAATCTATGTTTCTCCAGGCAATCCCTGGGATCTGTAGTACCCCCACCCATACTGCAGTCAATTTCGACTTTAAATGGAAGAGTTTAGACACTCTACAGTGGGTAAAGATAGAAGAACCAAGCCTCCATGGTTGATAATTCTTTCTTGCCCTCGCATCAGGTATTATATTCTCCATACCGTTCTCTATACATTTTCACGGTTTTGACATGGAGAATTTGTGTAACAAATAAGAGCTTCTTCTCATGAACCTCTAACTAAATGTTTGATTCAGCAGTGATGCTATGAGGAAAAATTGGAAGCATGAAACTCTTGCAAATTTAAGACTCAGAGGACCATATCCTTAAACAGAAAAGTGAACTTACAAGCTGAACACTCCGTGGGCCTGTTTCCGTTCTTCTTTATATTTCATCCATAGAGGAAACTGAGGTTCCCTTTGGGGGTATTTTCCTTCGTTTCGAAACAAATACTGAACATCGTCAGCGTTGGAGATGGTTACAGTATCCAGACCAAGGAGTTTCTCCCGATAAATCTCTCCATATTCTTGAACTCGCTCGGCCTGAATTTCATGCACTCTTGTGTGACCCTTATTTCGAACGTAGTCAAAAAGTGTTCCAACTAGTGGCAGGCCCTTCGGCCCTGGAATTTGGTCGTATGATTTCGTGTCGACGTTTTCCATTGCAGCGCGCGTTTGCTGCATGCGAATTAAACCTTTTCTCGCGATTCCTAAATGTTGCTTGCTTGTTTGCAGACCAAGCAAGGTCAGAGATGAACGGATCCCGAATTTGTACGCCATGATAAACTTAGAGTTTCGTTTTGCAAACAAAGCAAAACATTCAGCTGGCCGAGGAGATCTGGTGAGGACAAGAGGCTAAATGACTTTTTACACGACATACTTCTTGTAAGATAACGTATATACCGGAAGTTGAAACGCACCAACATACACTGGTCTTCTTCGGGGGCTGTTGGTAGACTTGCAAATGAATCAAAGTAAAATGTAGAATTAGCCCTCAATAATGACGCCCCACCCAGAAGAAGGTTTGTCCTTTTCTTTTCTCATTTTCACAGAGTAGAGGTTGCTAACCGCTTGTTTGATATATTCTATTAATTTGTCTTTTTGCAGACTTGTTGGGTTTGAAAAAATAACTACATGTTTCAATTGTGCCGCCATTGTATTTTGTATTTTGATAATCAGTTTATGTTTTTCATTTACGTGCAGATTTTATGTCACAGAAAATGATTATAAGTGGGTACGATATAGGAAATAATTGAAAGATCGTCTCAGCTTCTCCTAACGAGGCGTTCCACTAACAACCCCGCCTCTTCCCTCCCAACCAGCTTTAGTTAAACCTTTCACTCTCAAATCTCATTACTGAGTAATTCCTTACTGTCCGCTGTACAATTCTCATGATGTGAGTTTGGAGAATTGGTGTTGGAACAATGACTAATCCCCTTATTGATATTTGTCTTTATTCTCATACAAGTCTGCTTGATATTGTATTGATATCGTTAGGAGAAATTCTGTCTTGATCATTTATGGGAGTTGAAGGGTTGAGCGAAAGGGAAAGCCCCGTTATCAATGTCTACACACTTGAGTGAACATCAAGTGCACGGTATGTATAGCATACTATGGTTTATTTACAGAATTGTCAATAGCTTCAAAGTTTTTCGTCTTCTTTTTACGATGATAAGTCATAAATGGAGCCTCATTCAAGGTCATCTTATAGCAAGTTTTGTACAGCTCTTTGGAAATATTAGTTCTCAAAGCATAACCATGAACAAAAATTCTCTTTCCGGGAATTAACGGAGTGAGAACGTTATATTCTTGTATACAAGCACTCTTTACGGCTTTTAACTTTTGCTGAAAGATGGAAAGATCGCGGTAGAATTCTGGACCTTCGTCGCCTATCATTCTCCACAGCGTTTTGTTGAAGTAGTCATACAATAATACATCCCCAGCGTTCCACGTTTTAATCTGTTCTCTGACCTTTTTGGAGAGGTCTTTATTACGAACGTGCTGCTCCCCTCTCTCGTTGAGTTTGAAATACAAAATGTCCTCGAATTTCCAGCAGAAACGTCGTTTTAGAAGAACTAAAGATTCGTCGAAGTATTCCATGAGCATAACTATGTCAAACTCCTGTGCGACAAATCGGATGTAGTCGCGCACCGCAGTTAGATTTTCGTAGAAATCTGTGTCAAGTCCTAAATCGAATAACGTAGGGTTCTTGATTAAGTTTAAGGTTATATATCTACCAACCTTTTCTTTAACTTGATCGAAATATAATGTAGAATTATCCAGGAAAGCTTCCAACTTAAAACGTGCTTTTTGTAAGCCATCAAAATGATACCACAGATGAAAAAAATTAAAAACAGATTCGAATTGCATGACTGGATCTCTTAAAATTGTAATGTAGCGTGATGTTTCTTTTGGAAAAAGCCAGTTCATGGGAACTTTGTTGTACCTGGCATGATTGCAGAGGATGTTCGGTGGTCTACCATAAGTGGATTCTACAAACGAGAGACGAAATGACGATGGCCAATGGAATAAGAAGCTCTTGACAGGAAGGGTGATTATCAAATCATTTTTGTCACCATAGCGGTTCAAGATGTTTGTGATAGTACTGGAGCCTGTTTTGTGTGTCTTCAAGAATAAAATATTTCTCACTGGTTCGCATAAGCGAGGCTGGCTATCTAGAGATTCCCAGTTCATGCTGGAAAGTTCCTGCTCGGATGTCCTGTAGCAAATGAAATAATAAATGAAAAAAAACAGATAAATGGGTGAAAAATGAATAGATGAATGAACGAAAGTGAGTCGAGTAATAATTGATAATTAAGAAAAGAAAAGCAGGATAAGAAACATTTAGAGAGAAATGTTTATACTCTAGGAAAATATCAGCTAATTTGCTTTAATTAATAAAAGATAATTTGGTTTTATCAACTGAACTGATAACTGATGTAAATTGGCCACCGTTAAGAGTTTCTAAAACTGACGTTTCCAGCGGTAGCCCTTCGTCCAAGTAGATAAATCGTGGGTTGAGTCTTGCCTGAGAACATAAAATCAGAGCACCATTCGGGCCCTCGCTTAATGATATTTTGTATACTTTAACGATAGTAGACTCGGGCTAGCTGTGCCTACAAACGAGTAGAGAAATTGTGGGTTGTGTTTTGCCTGTGAATACAACACCAGAGCGCCGTTTCGGGGCCCACGCTTGATAGACATTTTTGTATGCTTTAACGATAGGAGACTCGGGTTAGCTGGGCCCACAAACATACTGCATAATGCTGAAATGTTCTATCCTTTCGAAGCACTCTTCAAGGGAACTGTGGCAAGGATCAATCGGCAAAGAACTTAATCACAAAAAGGTTGACTTTCAAAAATATATCAAATTTAATCTGTTAAAAGTACGATGTACACAGCAATGACTTTCGTGGTTTTATTTAAATAAATTTTATATTATTAAATTTTATTTTATCCATATAAATTATAAATTATACAACACCTTATGGAAATGCTCTCCTAGCATAGTGCCATCCATTCAATACTTACTGTGAGGTAAAAATTTCATGTTCTTCGTTAACTTGTAGCAAGAGGAAAATCAGCATCACAATGGAGAAGACGAAACAAAATGAAGTTTTCTTGTGAACCCTCACCCTCATAATGTCAGTTGGTCTCAAACTGAAAATATACAAAACAAAATACATCATCTATTATGCAAATAAATACAAATCATATTTGGTTTGAAAGAGACATGTAATTGCCACATTCTTAAATGTTATTGAATATAGGGGTCAAAACAATCAGTATAAAATTTCTGGCTCGATGAGGCAATTCGTCATTGAAATGTCGGGCAAACTTGACTGAATAATTTATTTGTTTACAAACATCGCAACTTATTCAATTCTTTACCAAATGCAAAACAGACATGCTTTTACGCCATGATGGTGGTCAATTCACAGCTTTTAGGAAGTTCCATTTGATTCACGTTCAAGGATTTGAACCTAATTAAAAGGAATCCTCGTTAATATCCTAAGAGGCTAGGCCTAAATCTCTTTAGTTCACCATTATATTCGTATTCCTTGTTAACCCAGCTTGATAGTACCATTGAAATATAATGAAATATCATGAAGTCCTTTTCATTGAATAAGAAGTAGAGAAGGGAACAGACAGAGTGAAATCCGATGATGGTGAATAAAACATGATATAGTGATCTAGTTTTTAAGTAAAAGTGTGCAGGAATTTTACTCCACGGTTGTTAGCTGAAGTTAAACGCTAAACGTGTCAATGGGCTGAAGAGACGTTACTTGGTATAACAATCACGAGATGGACTATAATGTGGCTGGAAAGACACGAATCCTGAAAAAATATAGCAGTCGTTTCGTGTTTTCCCCCCTCAAGACATTTCTAGATGCTGAACTGAGCAGATTAATCTAAAATTGAGTCAAATCGCCCTGAAATGTTTCGTTTCTCCTCCGCATATAGATTATTTCTTCTCTCTAACTTGCCTGTGTCATTGCTCTTTTAAAACCGTGACACCAGCCGACAAATTTAAATTGATGTTCTCTCTACAGGATATACAGGAGAATACTAAGTAGTATGTTTGGAAAAAGGATGATAAACCGGCTTACCTTCTCGACGTTTTCTTTGGATTGAGCGTGGGGTTGAATGCAAAAAACCTGTTGAGGCGATTGGGAACTGACCTTATGCAAATCCTAGCAAAGAAACATTAGTTTAAGGTTCGCTGATTTTCTATGAAATTTATGTTAAAGATCACAATGTTAAATTATGATGTTGCGATCGACGCTAAAGCGGAATACAGAATATGCAAGAAGGTCTGTATTTTCTTCCTGCAAGATTTTACCTTATCTTAAACTCGGTCAAAACTCTATAAATATTCAGGCGATCGTGATCAGGACAATCACGAATATCTAAACGCTTGAATTACGCTTCATGGAAAAATAGGTTGCATCAATCACGCTGCCTGTCAAAAAGTTAGGAATCACCAGAAAATATGACAGATTCTTATGTAAGGAAGCACGAAATTAAACAGCTTTTTATTAGAGGAATTTTGGGCGCATACTCTTAAGTTTTGATGATCCAGCCTATAAAATTCGGAGAACGCAGTACTTGTCTGCATGATATATCAATGGACATAGTTTGTGGGTCACCGCAGGCATACTTCGTGTTATTTTCAAAACACACATAAACAACTTAATAATACATTCCTAGTATTTCTGCTGAAGAAAAACAACTGACATCGGATCAGCACGGCAAAATTTCTGCCGCTTATCATTAGCGTGACTAGACTGACCGAAATGAAAAAGCTTGTTTTATGCATGCATGACTTGAGTAATAATTTAATGCCATCCGAAATAAACAATGGTTGTTATGCTCGCTCCTGATGCATCGCCCTCCGCAGAAGGGATAAGTTATATTGCTGGTTCCATGAGGGTGGGGGTGGGGGTGGGGTGGGGGTGGGAGGGGAGGAAGGGTAAGATCAAGCTTTTGATTGGGTAATATTTACATCACTGCGTTACGTCGGGTTTGAGAGCGCTCGTGGGGACACTTTCTGCACTTTCAGCTGCGCCCCTCTTAATATTGGTCTCCGACTTACCGTGTAGAACTGGGAATTGACTTCACTACAAGTATGCGAGGAGCTAGAGAACAGCAGTAATGGATCGTTGGCAAGTAAAACAAAAAACAATGAGCAGTATACACGTTTAAATACTTTTAAATTTTTCATCTAAGACGATCTACTTGAATTTCATGTTTGTCTATAGTTAAAAGTTGTCGATACAATTTTTCGCGATGGTAATCCAGATATGGTATCTCATTCATTATCATTCTACTACAAGATTCATTAAGACTTTTAGAAATGTTGGCTTTCACTACATAGCCTCGCACCAGTCTCCCAGCATAGGGCCTGGTCAGAAAATTCCCCTCTTGTAGACAGGTCATTTTGACGCATTTTAATTGTCTTCGAAAGATTGCGAGATCTTTGAAAAAATCTGGGCCTTCTTCTGCTATCATTTCCCATAACTTCCGTTTAAAAGCGTTATACAGAAGCTCATCGCCAGAATTCCATTTTACAATTTTCTCTCTAACATCGTTATATAGATTTTGTTTATCGGTGTCTCTCCTCTCGTTGAGTTTAAAGTACAGAATATCGTCGATTTTCCAACAAAGTCGTCTTTTCAAAAGCACCAGTGACTCATCGAAGTATTCCATGAGCATAACAACGTCGAATTCTCTTTGTAGGAATCGAATGTAGTTCTGCACTAGACTTAGATCATCATGATACTTTGTGTCAAGACCCAGATCAAATAACGCTGGATTTCTCATCAACTTTAACAAACCAGGGTTTTTTGTTCGATTTGCTACTTTAAGGTATACCTTTGGGTTCTGAAGAAACTTTTCAAGAGGCGACGAAGCATTTTCCAATCCTTTAAAATGTTTGCCGAGAAAGAAGAAGTTAAAGATAGACTCAAAATGCTGTGTTGGTTCCCTCAATATTGTAACATAGTGAGTTGTCTGTTTTGGAAAGAGCCAGTTCATTGGTGCTTTTTTGTATCTGGCATGGTTACATAAGATATTTGGCGCTTTCCAAAGTACCTGTGTAAACCGGAGTGAAAAGGAAAGAGGCCAATAGAAACTGTAGCTCTTTTTAGTCGCAGGCATGGCAAATATTAAACTTCTAGTATCGCCGTAACGATTTAAAATGTTTGTCACCGTACTGGAACCGGTTTTGTGCGTCTTTAGGAATAAAATGTTGTTCGCCGGTTTACATTGAAGTTGCAGCTTATCTGTTGACTGTTCAAGAGGGTCAACTTCCATCAGTTTCCTGTAAAGTTAAGAAAGTAGTCAAGAATGACTTCATCAATAAATAGCAAGTTAATTGTAATAGGTTTGATTCAATGGCTCGTCAATCATTGGCACAGTAAGTAGTGGCGCTCAAAGCTTGTATTGTTGTTTTTTCCGTGTCCTTGGAGCCAAACAGGGAAAGCTTGATCGAAGCAGGTGTTCATTTACCCCATACCCTCTACTTTTTCCTCTCCCTGTTTGCCTTCGAGTAACTCTTGGCTAAGCTTACGCTTCTACCGTTTCCGAGGAAACGCAAAAGACCGCTATACAGGCAATGGTAGGTGGTATCTGAGAAAAGAAAATTTTAAATGATGCACCCCGCTCGAAAGCTTTTTTTTTTTTTTGCATTTAATAAATAATTATTTTACATTACAAGGGTACAGGAAACGAATGAATGAATAAAATAATAAATAAACGAAAACTCAAAAACAAAACAGAACAAAAAAACATAACCATGCAAAAACAGCACACTCACCTTTCTAAGCTGAGCGATTTGCTACACAGGTCTCTTTCAGATAATTGTAAAACGAGCCATGAGGCAAGAAGAAGAGTGGAAAATACCATAATTACGCGTTTGTGAAATTGCATCATGTCCTTAATTGCACCTCCGCAAACGGGATCGTAACCTGCAAATGGGCATAACACATGCATTTTGCTTTGCTTTCATCAAATATCAAACTTCACGTATTTTACCGGCAGCTATACTGAATTGTAATAAGAATGATAAGCGATTCAGAATTCAAAAGATTGTTTTGGAATACTTAAGAAGCTCCTAATAAACTAAATAATAAACTCAGTATTTATCTTTGTTCTGAGACATCACTGACAATCGAAGCCATGTATCGCTCACTGCAGGATTTCTTTATCTTTTTTCTTTCATTTCGTGGTTAGAATGTTCAATCCACCTCAATTTTGAGTCGATGAGCGTTTATGTAGCAAAACTCCTTCGCTATCCGCCACATAGACCTAAATATGATAAAGCTTTTAGGTTATGAGACAGTTAAAACTATGCAGAAGTACAATGATAATCGAGCGATATCGTTCGTTTTACAAAGTAATCAAATAATGTACAAATAACCCTAGGTCTTGTATTTCACCAAGATGAACGATGACGACCTTTTCAGTTAACGATACAGTTGCTAGTTCTTAGCAATCACTAACTTGAACACCAACGTTCTTCGAGAAATGAAATATGGAGGATTAAAGCTGTTCTGAATACAAGAGGCGAATAATTTTAACTTTAACAGCCGATATACTTAAACGAGGTATACACTCTGCTAAAGCTGAAAAGGAAAAGGATGGATGCTCGATAAAATGGCCTCACCGTTTCTTTTTCCGTCGAATCAAGCGCGTGTCAAACCATTCAAGCGTTTATAAGATGCACTTATGCTAATCTTGTCGCATAGAATGATTAATTATTTTACAAAACGGAAATTTTCAATGTTAGGACGATTAGACTAAGTGCCGTTTTCCTACAATAGTTTTGTTATGCTTCACTAACTAACTAGTAGCTACAAAGCTCAAGAAACTAAACCGTGGTTGACATAATAATGCGGGTGATTGTAAAATAACTACAGCTACAGTTCTGACAACAAGAGCAAGCCTTCGACTACGGTTCGAATATTCGCTTTTGCAGTTCAAGTGCCCGTTAAATCATTCAAAAAGGCATCAAACATCTTACTTTCAAATTGCTGATGTCAAATTTCACCGCTCCACGCTTCCAAATGTTGGATATTGAAAGGAAGAATTATACGCAGCTTTAGGCAATGGTTGCCGATTCAAAAGATTGTTTTGGCGTTATCAAGCGCCCTGTCGGTTCTCTGCAAAGAGCCTTAAATTAATAATTCAGCATTCTTGCCGAGATATCATTGAGGCTGATTCCATTTTTGTAAACACCTGTCACATTAAGAAAGAAAATGAAGCATTGAAGTTAGTTTATCTGCAAGTTTTAATAATCTTGTTTTCTTTTGTTTTTGTCTTCAGTTATTATTAAAAAATTTTAGAATTATGAATTTGTTATTTCTGATTTCGATTGCAAAAATGACAAAACAGCCCTCTATCAAACAGAACTAGAACTGATGATCAATTTTACCTCTGGTCCAGAAAGGCCCGTTTTGAAAATTCTTTTTTTTCGGTATATGTAGCAACAGTAACAGTCGGAAAAGCTATGGTTTTTTTTTTTTATTTTTTATTTTTTTATCAAAATTTCCAATGTTCTTAACCCTTCGAAATCGAAAACACACAATAAATCTACTTCGCTTTATCATTTTATTGTGGACGACATATAACTGGTCTCTGAGCGACCAGGAGTTTCTATTGTCATGAACTCATATGAGGGTCGTAGGTTGGTTCGTCTCCTTTCGACGTATTTGGAATCTCTTATTTTCAAGCGTACTTTTGTCACAGACTAATAACTGAAGGTCATCATGTCTTGATCAGTGCTTACAGTTTAACTACGACTTGGAATTTGTCATGAGCCACGGTGAATATTTTCCGATTAGTAACTCTTTTCAAGAAAACTCAGGCAATTGAAATGATATGAAATTATGAATAAAATCGGAAAATTGAAAACTGAGATGACACCATCAATTAAAAACTGTGACAGACGTTTAGCTGTTGCAATCATAAATCTCTCCATTGGATTTCTGTCGTCCTCTTACTTTCTTAGAGATCAAATGGTCAAAAAAGAAAAGGAATCGACCTACAATCGGTTGCCATGGAAACCAATTTCAAACGCACATGGCCTAGGCTCAAAACCTGTTAGTTTAACAACGACCAACATCAAAAGACAGCCAAAGTCACACAGGGGGTGTCTCTAAAATCTTCTCTTTATTTTACAAAACACCACCAAAAATTTTGCTTGGACCCAATTAATTATTGATTCCTCATTGTAAACTTCTTTTATTACTCGCTGTAATCGAAACTTGCTCTCTTGCTTTGTGTGGAACGTTTCTACGTTCACGACGTAATTGAAAATTTGGTTTATCTAGTCAAAAGGAAGCAGCTTTTTACATATATACATATATATACAACATGAGAGCAAATTTTCCTGGTTTGATTTTGATAGTGGTTGCAGTTTTTCAACGAGGATTTGCGAGCGAACACAGCGCCACTCAGGCCGAGGAAACCTCGTGTTCTAAGGGTCATTGTTTTGCAGAAAATGAAGGACCATGCAAAGACGATGGACAGCACAAATTATACCGCTGGGATCCTGTGAAGGTTAGTCAGTCAGAAAATGTTCACGATATGATCAACCCTACATAGCTTCAAAATAAATCGCCTACTCCTCCACGAAATAGCACTAAGAAAATTCCCTAAACTTTTTTTTGGCGGAATGAATTCAAAAGTTATAATCACCGCTTATTTAAAGAATACGATTTCCTCTGAGTGTCAGAATTGTTGTTTTCTAAGTATTGCCAATTTTTTTTCAAAACAGCTCTAAAATCCTGTCAAATTTTTTTATGCTCGAGTAAAATAACAATATCAACAATTTCCGTGGAAATTACATAATACAGACTCAGACGATCATTCAGTCAGCTATTAACACGATTTGTTCGATTCGGTTGGGTTTTTTTTTCTTATATTATTCCTTTTGAATAAAGTTGCTGTCATTTCAAATCTCTCCACGACGTAAAATCAAATGAAAGTCAATGATGAAACTAAAATTACTAGGCTCGAAAAATCAGCCGCTGTTTGGGAGACGAGATCAAGCTTCTCTTCCCAGGGAGGGGAGCGAGGGGGGTGGACAAGGACCGAACTCGAGAAAGCGGCGGAAACGAAGAAGGCATAAACAGTTTATAAACTCATGTAGAAACTGAGCTACCGAAAATCCGATCAGTTCCTTAACTAAAATTATAAAGTTATAAATTTGTTATAATGATGTGTAAACCATCATGGCATTATACTATAATCATTTTAGAGAGGGAAATAGCGCTCGCAAGCAATTTTAATTTCAACACCGATTCTTTGGTACTTTGATAATCGCCAGCAGTTTTATGTACCTCCGTGCCTGCATTCATGGTACTCTTGATAAAAATGTTATTATCCTTCTTAAGTGAGCAAAACGTTTGCAGTGCCATTAGCACCGCAATCCAAACATGAGGTGCCTTGACCTGGTTAAGTCAACACAGTGGTCAAACGTGCGAACGTTGCAATAGCGAGGTGGCGGGCTTCCAGGCCATCAACCACATAAGCCACCATATGAAGATGTTCTTAAGCCGTGTGACCTTTTTGATCACTCTCAGAATAAAATTATAAATCAATAGGATACCTGAAATCAAAAAAATTCTGTGTTCTTTTCCCTATTTTTGTCTCCTCTAATAGTTTCTATGAACTTTCAATTTTTTTTCACATATTTCTCGTGACAGTGGGTATTTCTGATATTTCCTTTGGAAATTTGCGCAGGAAAATGGAGCACAGCCAGTCCGGCAAAATTAATCCCCATGCGCTTGCACCACGCTTGACCGCTGTGTTGGTACTCTCTATGTTTTAGGCTTTAAAAGCAACCGCTGTGCGGTAAATGGATGATTCAGTTGACTTTGAATCCCTCAGAAAAGTTATCTTTCTTAGAAAAGTTTTATGGAATCTCAAGTTAAAAAAATGCGTCTGCTTAACTGTAATAGCAGAAACTTTGCTGCGTCCACAGGTTGGCTACGAACGAAAGGTCAGGCTCGAAGGAGAGAAGATCTATACCATGATCACCAGGGCTGTACAACCGGCGTTATTTGGTACAGCAACGAAAAAATTATCCATTCTATTAGAGACACAGATGTTTATTTCTCAGAGTGAATTTGTGTTAAGAGAAGCGCCAACCCCTTGTAATCCAAGGAGTGATCAATGTTTACCTCTCCTCGTATCCAGTAAACGGATGATGAGAATTGAAGACTCATCAGGTTTAAATTGGGCGCTGTAACCTTGATTTAAAACACCAAATTCTCTTTAAAAATATGAGAGAACATGCAAGGTACTCCAAAAGAGAAAATAATTGTGTCAAGAACTTGGAAGTTAGACAGTCATGTTGGGCCACAAATAAACTGGTGAATCTGCTATGGCAAAGGATCTAAAATTGTAGCCGATTTTGAGGAAATAAGTCCATTTTTCACTCTGATGCTCCTAAAAATTGTCCCTCGTCAATTCAGAGAGCTTCATTGGCTCGCAATAAAGACTGAAGCTGTTAACATGATTAAATGAGTTAATATCGTCAACTGAGTCCTAAGCTTCTAGAAAGGGATTGTGGGACTCTAATCATGTACTCGTCAGCTCCTGCACAATATAACGGTGTGGTTAGTATTTTTTAAAATCTACACACGAGAAACTACCTAAAACCATTCAACAAATGCAGCTGTAAAGAAGCCTTGTGTTCTCTCCAACTTACTCCTGTCTTTTGATATGTTTATTTTCACTTCATTTCATTTAGAAATTCCGGATTTCTTGTCACCGGAAGAAGCCGATCACATAATTGATGTAGCTGAATACGTTGGATTTGCTAAAAGTGATATTCACTTGGACCCAGTAGCGAAACAGCACGGGAAAACAGTCAGATCAACTGAAGGTAAATTACAGGTTCAGCCCTAGGCGCTTCGGGCAGTCTTTGCTCGTGGTGGTGTTGCTGATTACAGATATTCAGCCCTAACCCTGGCCTGGAACAAACACTTTACTTTGCAAATCTTTCCGGAGAAAGAAATTTGCAATCAAAAGAAGAAAAAGTTCGGCTGGATTAGGCAAAGATATTGATTACTTTGGGTTTCACAAAATACCCGCAAATGAGTAATACCACTAAAATGTAGTTCCTTACAAGATGATTTTGTACTTTCGACTTTAAACAGGCCACTCAAATAGCTCTGCTGGATATTTCCTTAACTGGGACTTCGATCGAGATTACGAAATTACAAAAGATGAGGTGAGCTCGTATTCTCTACGTTCACTGAAGCTAGTCAATGAACTTAGACCAATTGGACCTAACTGAGGTTTATCTCATCGCGGGTGAGGAAGGAGTAGGTGGTATCATCCAAGAAGCAGTAACTAGTATGTAATGAACTATGAAACTGCAATTTCCCTTATATCATTGCTTTTTACCCGGGGGAATCAATTTGTTGAAGGAGTTAAGACACTACATTTTGAGTCACGCGTAATTTCACGGAGAACTGCATTTGAATGGAAAATAATCGTAAAACGATTAAGTTTTATTACTGTAGTCAGGTAAAGGCTGAAGGGAAAGTTAAAGCTGATATAAAACGTAACAGCCATGATCATAATAATGATGGTGATGATGACGATGATGACTATGATGATGATCATTGATTGTCAATAACTTGATGATAGTTGATGATGGTTGATGGTAGCTTAAACTTTCATTCACTATCTTTAACTATCATTTTTGCGGTCATCGGTTCATGATAGTTGATCATAGTTGACAAAATCAGTCCATCAGATCGCATAATTATAAACAAACATGGCGCGCGTTGAGGTGGCATTTGAAATGTGAGTCAAGAAGTTGCGAGTTGAAGATACTGAAGCCTACCAGGGGATGAGGAGAATGAGGTACGAGAACATTCCGCGAAATTTTGAAGGCTATTTTAGTCACATTACTACTAGCCATTTCGGTTTGAGCCCGTTTTTGGCAAGACTGCGGACCGAAGAAACTATCATTTATTATCATCTGCTCGTTCAAACGACAAAAACTATCATCAACTATCATGTAGAATTTGAATATCACCAAATTACATAATAATTGATAATAGTCGATTATAGATAATAGTTCGTGTTCAAACGCGCTTGGTAGTCGATACTATCATGAGTGTTTGAACGGGGCTTTACTTGAAAAATGCACATTTTGTCCTGGTTCAAATTTTTAATATTAGATTTTTCGTTTTTGGAAAAAAAATCACGGCTAGGACTTTCTGATGAAGAATTTGAAACACAACGTACACATATCCATACTTGATTACGCATTATATGAAACCATTTGACTTTCTATTTGTTTCACAGGTGATAATATTTGCTAAAAAGTTTAAACATCTTTATCTTTCACCGAAAGAGGTGGATGAAATGTAAGTTAAATTTTCATTAGTTCATTTCTTTGTTTACCTACCCATAGAGTAAATTACGGCATAACTATGATTAACTCATTTGTTTTACAGGATAGAAAATCTGGAGTTGAAAGAATTCGAAGACGGTAAGCACGAGATATGGTAGATAAAATCAAGTTAGATAGACCATTTCTCGGGTTTTTCTTCAAGCCAATACGAGCGCTTTGTGTCTGTCCTATTTGAATGAAGAGTTAGAAGGCTTGAATGGGAAAGAATTAAACTTCAGATCGCGAGGTTTTTCTTGTAAAAGCGATTTTTTTAAATTCTCTTTCCGAATTCGCTCATATCAGTTTCACATACACTGTTACGAAGCGGTCTGGGTGCTCACTCGCTCTCCCTTATTTCGATTCTCGACCCAAACGAAGCCAATCGTTTTCTAGGAATTCTACTAGGAATGCCAAACGTGACCTATATTTGCGAAAGACTATTGAAAAGATGTTCGGAAAACAGTTTTAAAAAAATGAACATTGTGATGAAGTGGCGCGGAAGCTCATAGCTTTCATGGTACACATGACACTAATTTTTATCAGTTTTCAACAGGCAAAGTAGAATACCCCGAGTGGAGGACATTTAAAACACACGCCATTGACATGTACATGAATGATATGAAAGAGAAACATCCTCATCACAGAGATCGCTTCAGTGATCAAGTGTGGCTCTTTCAGACAGCTGAAGCAGATGATGTTTTAAGAAGACTAAGAGAACGGTAAGCTTACAGATCATTCCAACACATGATCCTGCTTTTCCAATTTTTGCAAATAAGCATGCGTGTAAAATGTTGGGAAGACTGACAAGTCTAGGGTAATAATTATTTGCACCGAGTTACTATGAAAAATACCAGTCTTTCAGTTTTGAGTCATCTTCATTGGTTGCAAGACTCAATGATAGTGTTTTTTAGTTGTGATTGGACAATTTTATTTCCGTCTTGAAAGTCAAGTCACTCTAGGGGCCTCTTAAGTAATTTTAAAGTTGACAAGAAGTTTCTCACGGGGATGGTTGTTGTTGCAAAGCACAATTGCTTTAAGAAATCTGTTTTAATCCAAAAGTTTATTTTTGAATTTTGTTTCCAGCGTTTACAAGCTTACTCGTCTTCAGAAGGGAATTGTTTATGGAGGTGAGCCTCTACAGGTAAAACTCAGTTTCGAGCTTACTTTTAAATTTGAAAATTAAGAAATATCACGAGGTATTTGCATCTGTACCAGAACTTAGCTGTTTGATATCTGGTTTATTCTAGGTCGTCAAATATGGTCCCCATGGCCATTATCATGCTCATTATGACAGCTCCAGAAAAAGTGATTACCCGGATGGAACCAAATGTTGTCACTACGACCTCAAAAATGCACGTTTGGCTAAATGTAGAATCTGCAGGTACGAAGCTTGTTACTCCTTTCAGCAGTCCGTCCTGTTTATTAGCTGATCAATGTTTCCATTATAGAGGATATAAACCATCCTCAATGCCAGCTGAGGTAGTTTCTTTTGTCATTTATAGGAGAAGCTTGCACCGGAAATGATACTTATAATTTTCATCGCCGTCTTTAAAAAGTATATGAAAAGTTATGTTATTGACCGTGTTTGGAAATTCCAAAGAGTAACCTAAATTTTCAAGAAACTAAAAGTATCACTTAATACGGCGGTTTATGTTAAAAGAAAACAGTTGAGACCGCGATCACCACAGTAGTCGTGTTTTCGAACTGTGCGTTTTGCCTGTCGCCTTTCAGTTTCAACAACACGCAATGCCTGGCCGCTTTTCTATGACTTAACAGCCCTCAGGTCACATCATGGCTACACTTGAACGGAATAAATTCAATCGGAGACTCGAGTCAAAAGAAAACAGTGGAGGCTGATCACCACAGAAGTAGCTGTTTTTGAACCACGCATTTTGCTTCCCGCAATTCAAGTTCAATTCCAATACGTGATGCCTGTGTGTTCAGGTTACTGATTTGGGATAAGCTGTACGAAATGTTACTTCGTCATGTCTTGTAAAGTTATCACTTACATAATTTGATATGCTTGAATGAAAACGAGTTTTTTTAACTGCACAGGTACATAACTATTCTTTACTATCTAAATGACGTGGAAGAAGGAGGTGAAACAGCTTTTCCTGTAGCAGATATGAAAAATTTTAATGAAACAGTGAGTAAAGCTTGTCATGATTCCTTATTAACATGAACTGATGTACAAATACTTGCTCTATAGCTACTTGTACACACACACGCGCACACTCACACAAAAAGAGAAATGAAAGGAAGAAAACAAATGAAATTAATAGATGAGAACATTATTGACAACATCGCCATACTCGCCTACGGTTCGTGCGCACGATAACATGGAATTTAATTGTTGACTGGCCAAGATAATTAAGGAAATCTTTCTCTACCGGTGAAAAATAACTAAAATAAATAAGCGTGCTTTTATCTCCTAGGAATTTAGGGACCGCAAAGACGGCGATCGCTTCAATTTAAATGAATATTGTCTAACAGCCAACATCGTTGTTCCTGCCAAGAAAGGAAAAGCTATCATGTGGTATAACTATGAACTGGATGGAAAAACCGGCTGGATGAACCACAGAGACGATAGATCATTACATGGGGGATGCATCGTGAAGAAAGGCATCAAATACATAGCCAATAACTGGCTCCCAGCCCCCGAGAATGACTCTGCTCATCTTATCAGTGAATATTTTCGAGACCCGGATGAAGAATAAGATATTAGAGGCGCCAATTTGATGTATTTTTAAAATACTTGGTGCTTATTTCTTAAATTTCTTAGCATAATACCTTAATTGATTCTCGCCAGACCAAAATTGCAGAAGTAATTATGTTTATTATGTTATAGTATTCCGCCAGGCGGAGGTGGAAAAATATTACATGTCGTGACCAGCAAGAAGGGTCAATATATCTTTACAATTTTTCTAGGTCTTCTTGAGTAAAATGAATAGATGCTTTCCCCATACTAATAACCCATAACGGAAACTTTATTCCATTTGTGATAAATCATCACAAATGGCTTCCCGCAACAAGGTAAAAGAAATCATGGCCACTGCGCATGCTTACTGAGCTTGGCTACCAACTTAGCGATGTTCCGCACTAACCCTTTACTCCTCAGTGTGAACGGTGTTGCAAATTCTCCTCACAATGTTAACTCAATGCCAGGCGCATTTAAGATCACTGTCACAGAAATAAGAGTGTTCTTATCCATCCACGAGTCCCCATTGGCGATACAAATACCTGTCTATATCAAATCTTAAGATCTTAAGGTATCTCGAACCATGTTGCTACAAAAATGTCTAGTCACCCGAAAAGAAACAAATTTGTTCTTATATTCCTTGGTAAAGGTGATTGTTCTCCTCAATGGTTTTACACATCATCGTTACAAATAAAGCTATCTCTTCATCCCTTTTGTATTGAAATTGCAATTTAATCAAAATGGCTTTACCTTGTACCTTGAAATGTGACATCGGAAATGCCTTGTAGGACGTAATAGTCTATTATGTCTTCTTGTTAATACACCTTATGATTTCTTTCTGTGTTAATCTATATATAGCAAATAAGTCATGCAGTAAAATTTCTGTAGAGAAAACGTTTGTTGCATGTATATCGGAAATGGACATCTGACGACGATGCGTATTCATATAGACCTTTCAATTAATTCACAAAAATTTTCGCGTATGTGCAAGATTTAACGGAAATTGTAATCCCAGAGTGAATGATGAGGGGTTAGCAATCAGTTTTATGCGTGGATCATTTCGAAGTTTCAGCATCCTCACTTGGGGAACCTTCCGCGCGTTTAATTGTGAAGATTGGTTTGTTGAAACTCCCGCCCCACGGTGCGAAAATTATGTTCAAATGTCCCACCTGAAATGCCGGAGTTGACGGTCAATTTTTTTGTAAAAGGCAAAATCAGCGACGAACGATCTTCCGCGTGAAAGTGACCTCTTTACCTTTAAAAACCTTCACATTTGAGATAAAATCCCTTGTATTCTCATTGGAAATACTTGACAGTTCCGATTCAAATTTCCCACCCCAACCAGGCAAGATCCAAATTCCCCACCCATCGGGCAAGGATGACAGTCAAATGCCCATGGGTTTCCCGGGAAGGGGATGTGGAAGCTTCGAAATGATCGAAGCATTAGAAACTCTTAACAGTGGTCATTTTACATTATCAACTCAGTTGATCGTAATCAACCCCCAACGACGACGTATCGCAGTCTCTCTAGAAACTTACCCATTTTATTCATTTGCTTTTAATGACGCCAACCAATATATAGGGAACATAAGTTCGAGCCATCAAAACTTGCCCTTTTTGGACTGGTTATCGAAACAAATTTGAATCCTTGTTTATCCATACCACGCTCCAAACAATCTTTATTTTCAAGTAGAAAATATCAACTAAACGTTAAGTTTCTTGTGAAACTGTCAAAATGTTTTACATTTAGCGCTAAAAGCAACACCCTATTACTTCGAACTCAGTTTCAATATGGTGAGTGATTCCCTTGATTGAAACTGGTGATAAAGGAAGAGAGCCACCGACGGTATACACTAAGAATCTGGCAACTTGCGAAATAAAACAATAAAAATAGGCAAACAGTTAACAAATGAAAAGATGAATAAACGAACAATTAAAAGTGAATAACTGAATCAGGAAGTAATTGATAACGAAATAAATAAAACATAATCGCCCAATTAACATTAAAACATTTGGCTAGATAAAGCGTCTCGTATCTCTAGGTTGCCAAAGACAGTTCGAAGACGCAAAAAAACGAAAAAGCTGGCTACTCGTCCTCCGCTTTTTTCCCCTCACGTTATGTTCTTGTTTCCCAGTTGTTTGCCTCGTTCCTTCCCAGTGGTCCTGAGAAGGCCGTTGTAGATGTTTAAGCTTCCGGCAAACTGACGTCGACATAGGTCGACATGACGGTCGATATGCAGCTTTAACAGCTGGCTGAAACAGTTTCAGTCAAGTATCGACATTTGACTGCCTACCAGTACCACACGGTTGACTGTTTTAGTTGCCATTTTCCATGAGGGGGTGAAAGGGGTTTGTACGTGGTGTGGGTTTAAGTGTTTTTGATTATCGTGACCAGAGAAAATACGAATTTAAAACCCCGCGAACTGTGAATTTTTCGCTTTTCGCGATACGTGAACCTTGCACCATCCGACTTATTATGTAATTTATACTAAACGACTTCAGAGGTTAGGTAAGATTCAATTATACTAGACATAATAAAATTTAAAATTTATGAAGTATTAAGAATTTGTTAAATTTTTACAAAATTTTCTAAGTTTACTTCGAAAAATGCTACAATCCTCCACCTGCTTTCCTTTTTGGAAGTAATTCTAACAAATTGAAAAAATCAGTTTACTCAAGCTGATCCGTCTAATTTGCATTAGGTTTTCGTTCGTTTCACCGTTTCACTTTGCATTAATAATTAATCTGTTTTAATTTTCATTAAAGTTTTCTTTTTCTACAAACATATTTAATATACTAACATGAGACTAACATGATCCACATCGATTTTCAACCTGAATATTCAACAACAGTTAAGTTATCACTAATCAGGCACACTCCTAAACAAAGTTATTAATTGTTCAAGCCTGTCCGCTCCCTCTAATCTAAGACTGCATTGTGTTGCCGGAAGGACAAACTTTTGTTCTGAATAAAATTAAGGCGCGAAGTCTTTGCTCTCATTTCACGTTTTACGTGCCAAATATGAAGCATTTTAAAGGGAATCTGCGAAAATTTAAGACAAAGCTATGAAAATTCATGCTGTTGGAAATGCAGTCACTATTCTTCGGTCTGACTTGTCGTAGATCACGGTCACAAAAAAACATAGTGCTCCATTCCTTCCATGTACACCAACTGGCCATAAAAATTTCTTTCGTAAAACAATCCTGTTCTCATCAGATCTATGGCGCGTTGTAACATCTGGGTTAAGAAAGGTTTCTTCAACTATCCTCCAAACAGTAGTTTCGCAAGTAGATAGGAAACAGCTTTTCCCCTGCTCTCCTGGGTATATATGATTTGCTCTGATATGTTCCTTAACATTATTGGGCGTACATGTGATATCATGCATCCAACTCCTAGTTGATGATGCCATTTCGCTACAACGTTCCCTAGAACTCTCAATATGTTTTTTTGGTCTGACCACAAGTTTCCCTTGTTAAACGCCGTTAATTACTTGCACAACATATCACTGACATTCATAGTCACGGTTTTCACTTCAGACTATTCTGGTGATGACATCATTTAAAGGTCAAAGAAGTAGCCAATCAGTAACAATTTATTTTTAAATATTCAAAATGAAACTAGGCGGTAGATCATCGATCCTATCATGGTTAGTAAATCTAGTCTGTAAATGTTATCAGCATCCAGTTGCCTGGATACATCGATGGTTGGATTTTTCGGCCAAAGCAATTATGTTACACAGCTGTGAATTAGAAAACTAGAAAGACACGTCGGCAATTATCTAGCCAAGAACTGAATGCATAATGTAGTCTGGGCTGTGCGGAAATTTTATCATAATGCAATATAACGGGCATGTTTATACACTACTTTCCAAAGGATGTAGCTGTATGGCCAAAATGGACGCGTTTCGATCGTCGACGTCGAGGAGATTTTACTCTTCAATGTTGTCGGCCCTATGCTCCGAATACGCCTGTTACGAGCACGTACCACTAGTCAAATCAGGGGAAGATAACCAGTGAATTCAGCTAAAAAGAATGCTGATTAAGGGCCTGTATTCACACCGTTCACGATTGTTCAACATTCTTTCCGGCTGACATTTCGTAAGCGAAGAATGGTGAGCTCCTTATTGTTGTTTATTTATGTTTTGTTACTACATTTTTTAAATAACCATTTGTGGTTCAACAGCGAACACGTGCTATGCTCATGCTTGAGTTCAAAGTTATGGTGTCTTAAATACCTGTATGTTGTTTTATTTGCAGCCGTGGTCATTTTTTGAAAGATTGACTTGTTTGCTGTACTATCTTGGGTAAAATTTCCGCACAGCCCCATACTACATTATGCATTCAGTTCTTGAATAGAGAAAACAATGACAAAAACAATACATTTCCAGTGGGAAAACAGATTTGTTTTGCAGTAGTATAAGGCTGTACGGACACTTCACCCTATATTGTTGTAACCATAACTTGTTTTGATTGTAACTTAAGTTGGAACATATTGTATATCGCCATAATGGCGAGTGAAGTTTCGACCAATATTATGAGTACTGTCTTATAATTAGAGTCATGTCGATCAGTGTTAGACCAATTCACATTGAGTGGTTTCGCTTTAATTTTGTTTTCTCACGTGTCTCGCTAGCCACAACAAATGCAGTGATTGAATTGCAATAATGATGAAAAGTATTCACAATGTTTGTAATAATACTCCTGCAAATAGATGATGCCCATTGTACACTGTGTGTGTGCTGAGTTTTTTGGTTTAAGGACTACAGCCTGTTTTCTTTTTTTTTTTGTTAGAATAATAACTCATGAAGCCTTCAAGACAAAAATAATGAAGAGAAGAAAGTCAAAGAAGCAGGTAAGTGTTACAATTCATTGCTGATTTACCTAATGATGACAATTTTGTTTGTAAAGGGGGCAGGGGAGTAATCTTTTATTAGTAATTCTCTCTACTATCTGTCATACAATTCTTAGGGTGCTAATTTGGAGAAATTGATATTGGATAAATTAGTAATCCTTTAATTGG